GTGTACCGACCCGGTGTCCTCTTACTTAAGGGTCTTAGTACGCCGCTTATATAGTGACAACACAACTATATAGGATAAGACTTATTGCCAGTCCTTAAGTACACGGTCTATGACTTTTCTAGTTTTCGTGGTAGATAACGTGTGAGTTCTTGGGAGGATTATTTTCAATATACCTTCTTTCCTTGTTCCTTGGTTAGTGTTAAAACATTTGAATTCTGTATACTGAGTCTACGGTATGATTTGTGTCTGAGAGTTAGCGTGCCCAATGAGGCGTGTAGCGTGAAATGTGTAGCGTGAATCGCGTCTCCCTTCCTGTAAAAGAGAGAGGAAAATAGTAGGGTTTAAACTTAGTTAGAATAGCTGATAGATTATATAATCAACCCCTGTAAGTAGTATATAATTGAATAACTGTTTTCTTAGTCTTACTTTGAGGCTAAATGAATTGCCTGTACTTAGGTTCTTACTTATCTCACACTGTTTGAGATGAGTGAAGGTGGGAAGTGCTCCATTTATTACATGTGCAAAATTGGGCTCCTTATATACCTTTTGGAGGCCCTGATTACAAAGCATGAATCATCACATGGATTGGTAAGAATGTGCTTACTAACAATGCCATTTGGTGTGTTGAGTCAGCTTGTTTACTTAATTTACATTATAAATACAGTGTAGTTTACAAAGCATGACGAATCATGGCATGAGTCATCACATGGATTGGTAAGGATGTGCTTACTAACAATGCCATTTGGTGTGCTGAATTAGCCTTCTTACTAAGTAGCTTATAATACAGTTAGAAATCTTACAAAGCATGACGAATCATGATATCTACCAGTCACATGACATGCTTACAAACATGCTTGGTGGCTGAAAAGAAAGTCTGTTGGCTGAATATGCCTGAGGAAAATAGAAAGAGATGGAATGTCATAGAACAAAATAGAAATACATGGAAAAAATGGAAGTGAAGATTGAAAGTGAAAATACTAGCTAATAACTAAGGGGAAAATGATGGGGTAACTTGGTGATAGGATACAGTAGGGTCTATTATACCATCCTTATCACATCTCTTGTGTATCTGTCATGGTATGAGTTGCATACCATGCATGACACCGGCCCACCCGTCAACATTGGGTATATACATAACATCGGCCCATAATCCGCTGGCCCGTATTACACGGGATATTATGTAGGTCGGGTGACCCGTATAATACGGGATTTGTCACTGAAGGGGCTCCCTAAGGATGAACAAAACAGTGAAGAAACAGTGTCATTGGCAGCGATGGAGGAAACGGATCCTCACATGGGAATGGCCGTTACTGGTATTGCGTAAGTTTGGTTTCATCATATGCTACGTGTCACAAGTTCCAAATACAAACCATTATTCTTACCTGAACACTCATAAAACACCCTTTAAGCGCCCGTCACAAGCGCCTGTCGTTAGCACTCAGTCAGCGTCTGTCTGATAACCTTCACAAACCCTAACCCGAACACATCCTTTACATTTCCGAACTTCTCTATTCCATTAGCGCCCACTACCGTTATCTCCGATATTCCCGATTTCAACTTCCTTTCACAAGCGATCAAGTCACGTGACTCCAGAACCTTCGAGAACCCTTGCACAGCTGTGTAACACGTTTCATGACATCATAGGTGTAGTTATATTTAGATCATCGTACGATTCCTTTTCTATTAATGATTGGCTAGTTAGTTCATACTCAGATTCAGTCTCCACTTCAATATATGTATATAGGTAGCTCGTTGTAGTCAGTAGTTCTTCAGTTCAAACCTCTTTTGTATTAGCTTACTGCTAGCAATCCTAAGACGTCCCTGCTATCCTTTACTCTCTGTTGTGATATCCTTGTTTAAGTCCTAGTCTCTGCCCCTATGTTTAATTCGTTATAAGGGTTGTGATACTACGCGGGGTGCTCACTGTCGTTCATTAGACTTTTATCGGTAACTGTGGTCATCGCATTTTGTGCTGAGTATCGTGAGTGTCCCACACTGTTCCCTTGATCCCATATTCAATTGTACCAGTGATTGCATCCATCAAGGAAACTGCAGTCCGCTATTCCATCTCGAAGGCCTTCATTGGCAATACTGCAGAACATGTCACTTCAGCCTGGATCGCAATGAAAAATAGATACAAGCTCATCATCACCATTTTGCGTCGGGAATTTGATTGTGAGTGTTTGACCGTTCATTATGAGATCGTGTTTGTACTGGCTATTGGGCAGAAATTGCCTGCCTCGTAGTGTCACTTCTTGCGATTGTCAGTTGGATGGATGATCATGTATTGCATCTCTCGAGGTGTTGTTCTCACTGTCCTTTTTGTTAGTGTCGACCAAGCCCTGACATTGCACTTCCACGACTTCGAGGTCTGTTTATTCGGAACATAATCTGTCTCATTATTTAACTTGCTAACAAATTCAGACAATCGTCTTCTTTATTTCTGAATTCCTGGTCAACATATTACTCATGTCAGTTTCCCTCTCATCGAGACTTAACTCACATGCCCCAGGGACAGAAAAGGAAGTCTTATGCTCATTACCCTCTACTTGGTCATCGCTGTCGCATGTAAGTTGTACATTGAGCCATTTAATCGCATTCTTATCGCTGTTAGTTTGGGTGGCCTGAGTTCCTATCAATTATTGTGACTATTGGTGGCAAATATTTTTCGACACGTCTCTCTGAGACGCTCTCCTTCATTTTCTTTCGACGGCAGAGAGTCGAAGTAGCCAATAATAAACTGGTTTCTGCACTACCTATTTCTTTACGCCACCTATTTTTTCCGGCTACATAGTAAATTGCACGATCATACATGGATTTATCATATTCACAACATTAATATCATGCAAGTGTGAAGGGTCACTTTTCTGAGATACTGAGGCCGTCTCCCTGTCTGGTCATATAGTGTTCATTACAAAAGGTGGTACAAGCTATGCTCTACAAGTAGATCACATAGACTGTTTAGTGCAGTCCACGCGCAACGGTACTCGCTAGCCTCTATGACTTTACTTTTGACCTTTTCGATCACAGCGTGTGTGATGACTCGCTTACCCCAAACATTACCATCCTTAAATTTATATGGGTAGTAGGTACGAAGGAGATGTCGGCAGAGGTAGTTCAAAGTGTCACATGCTTGCACATGGCGTGGTTCCCGTTCAAACCAGCAAACTCAGCTGACCACATTGTATGAAACGGACTTAAGGATACTACTGTTCTGATCGAAAATCATAATGACTTGGCTGGAAAATACGGGTGTCTGTGGAACTGTGGTTATATAAAAAAAGTGAGAGACCCCATGGTGACAGTGTGGTCTAGACTCTAGTGAGGCCGTAGTGTGATTACTTAGTAACTTGATGAGTGCGGATCCGAACAAGAGTCTGGCTGGATAAGCGCCTACGTCAGATGAGTTTCAAGTGGGTAGAAATCCAACTCTACTCATGACACATAGAATTGACGACATAGGGTACGCTTCTCATAAACTTGAAATATCACTGACTGTCTGTCTCCCTGTCTAGGCCATTACGATATGTCAGGACTACTTGATGTAGCAAACAAGAAAAAGCATCATAATGTGAGAAGAGTGATGCCGGCGCCAATGCAAACAATGTGATTGCACGTGGACAAAGTATCAGTAGTCACATTCTTCAAGATGGCCGATGGGTTGTTACTGGTTCTTGGGACTGCACCCTGCGAATTTGTAACATACAGAAAGGAGCAGTGGTAGGGGGGCCATTCATGGGACACAGTAAAAAGGTGTTTTCAGTTGCGGTATCGCCAGACGACAGGCGAATTGTGAGCAGTGGAAAAGATAACACCATCATCATCTGGGATGTCGAGAGCAAGTAGATGGTATTCAATCCACTGGTGAAGCATACAAAATGGGTGTCTTCGGTGTGCTTCTCCCCCCGATGGCAAGAGACTCGCAAGTGGGTCATACGATTCAACAGTGATCATGTGGGATACAGAGACTGGCGCTGCCCTCTCAACACTCCAGGGTCATCTGGGTGGGGTGTCGAGCGTCGCATTCAATCCAGATGGTCTAACATTAGCATCCGGATCATTGCGTACCATCTGGATTTGGCGCACAGATAATGCTGAACTTGTTTTCAAAACAACGCTCATGAAAATTGGGTTCTCAGTGTTGCGTGGTCGCCTGATGGCCAGCAACTTGTCTCTGCATCGTACGACAAAAAAGTCAAGTTCTGGGACTCCTCGAATAGATACCAGATTGGTCAACCTTGCACTAGTCACACTTCTGACATTAACTCACTCGCCATCTCTTCTGATGGTTCCTTCATTGCAACTGTCTCTATACTCTGTGCACTAGCTAGCTAGGTGTGTTCGCGTGCCCTCCGTGCTTCCCTCTCAGTCGTTAAAGATTTTGCCTTTTTTCAGGGCCCTTCTGTCTTCATTCGTGCCGTTGTCCTTGGTGTGCTACCTATCGCAGTGTGTCCCTCGGACGACAGGACTGTGCAACATTGGAGCACAAAGTCACACAAGCAGATAGGACAACAACTCAAACACATCGTGGATGTTACATGCGTCACCATTTCTCCCAATGCAGAATTGGTCGTTGTCAGAGACCTCCATGGTGGGGTTCAGCTCTGGTCAATCAAGAACACACTTTCGGCAGCAGTCCAGTTATATTCCTCATCTGACTCTTACTTTGCACACTGCAGTAAGGTGAATTTGGGACAAAACCTCCATCCCAAGGCCCTTTTGGATGCCGAAAAGGTGCAGACAATATCTGACATTGTTTTTATAGCAATTGTGACGAACTGCTGATTCATAGGTTATCGAACTCAACCCATCGTCTTACCTTGGATACAAACTGAAGCATGCAGCTCTTTATGGAGCACAGCGCTATGATGACGCAATTGAGGCCTTCAAAAATAATGCTTTCCAAGTTGGATGATGCACCCGACTCACAGATACAACGTAAGCCCACAATACCTCAGGAGCCAAATTGAAGATGATTTACTCTTTTTCAGAGTTGCACCAGCAATATGTCAGTCCATCTGAAGTAGAAAATGCTATTTGACAAGCCGTACATGCTCACCTGGAAAATGCCCCACTTCGTCTAATTAACACCATCACTGGGAACCTATGTGACCGACAGGCACAGATCAATACCTTCATGAAAAGCACAGTGTACAAGGAGATCTTATCTTCATCAATGCTGCATAGGCCCCTCCAAATGGAGCCCATCAGAAAAATGGTCGTGAAGTACTTCAGTTGGGTCATGTTATCCCATAGGTGGGAAACCAAGGAGCCCCAGCTGCACGAAATTCAGGACAAGGACATTTACACCTTGTGTCCGGTTGGAACCATAGTGAAACTGCAGAAATTCTGCAAAATCGCTCGCGATGCAGGACATCATTGGGTGTGGAGCGATACATGCTGCATCGACCAGAACAATAACATCGAGCTCCAAGAATCAGTCAACTCCATGTTCATTTGGTATCGCCACTCAGCACTCACCATTATCTATCTATTGGATGTTTCCCCTTTGTCAAAGTCTGGTGCACTGGCAAACAGTGTTTGGAACACGCGAGGATGGACTGTTCAGGAGTTCCTCACTCCTACAATTGTTCTCTTCTACCAAGCAGACTGGACCCTATATCTCAACGACCGCTCACGCAACCACAAGGAATCTGTCAGTATCATGCAGGAGTTGGAGCGTTCAACTGGTATAAATGCAGGGGCACTCATCGCTTTCAGCCCAGGGATGAAAGACGCCCGAGAGAAACTTCGATGGGCATCATGCCGTGTTACGACATTGCAGGAAGACATTGCATACTCATTGTTTGGCATTTTTGGCATCCATCTACCTGTCATCTATGGAGAGAGAAAACACAATGCACTCAGACGTCTCTTGCAGGAGATCATCGCTCACTCGGGTGACATCACAGCCCTGGACTGGGTTGGACAGTCATCTAGCTTCAATAGCTGTCTGCCAGCTGACATTGCTTCATACAGAGGCCCACCATGCACACTGCCATCTCTATCCGAAGACGAGATTCAGTCATTGGTCTCCTTGCTGTGAAATAATGTGGCTCGGGAGTCGGTTTTGAAGCTCTACACCATCCTTGATAACATCAATGCACCTCGCTTCGCCAATTGCAGATTGCGACTGCCTTGCATCACATTTCCAGTCACAAAAGTCAAACAGAGGGTCGGTACACCTTGCACTTATCATATAAAGGCGGACGGACTCCAAGATCTGGAAATCACAACAGGGGACACGCTGGTACAATTCTGGCCTGGAAGGTCCACCTCGCAGAAATTCTTGCTCATCTGTCCATGGAACTGTCATGATCTCGGGCTGCCCGACTTTGCAGACAAGATACAGAGCACGGATAGGCCTGAGCTTGGGTCTCCATCAGATGATCCGCTCGGCTTATCTACTTCAGACAATGAGCTGGCTGGTTCGCAGTCTCTTACACAACAGTCGAGCTTGCTCATTCGCCTCAGACAGCGTTTGGGCACACTTTGGCTAGGGGAGCAGGAGCTGGCTGATTCGCGGTCTCACGCACGAGAGTTGGTGTTGGTTGTTCACCTTGGACAGCCTTTTAGCGCACTTTTACTAGCACAGCAGCGGGGTGGGGAGTATAAAAGAATCGCTTCGGGTTGCAATATCATGGCACGAGTTGGGGGACATGACTCGTGTCAATGACATGATGAATGTCAGGACACTGGAGATATTGTAGCTGCATTCTTGTCGAACAACAGGGATCTCTTACTCATTTTCGTTCATACTTTGACAGCCCCTGCATGGAAGATTGTATAACAGGCAAGTAAATTAACCCCCCCAATTTTATAATTGAAATCGTCATTTAAGCATAGCTAGGCTAGACAGTCTTGTGAATTTTCGTATCCTTACCCTGCCAGAAGCCCTTGTAAACTGTGCTTGTATACGATTGACAGAGAGGTACAGATAGGCTCACCGCTTTCCTCCCAGGGATGGGGACATTGGGAGGCGCCCGAGAGAAAACTCTAGTGGGCATTGAAATATTGACGGGCAAGCGTGATAGGACAGAAATCTGTTGCAGGTCCGAAACCTGCTCAATGATCTTTTCCTTTTATCATGCCTTGAACATTCAGTTCTTCAGAGGTTCATCTCAACTCGTGAAGTATACTGGCTAAAGTGATTACCACAACAGAATCAAAATCTGTTTCTCTTGGAGACTGCGCAGCTTCGAATTTTGCTGACGGCAAATTTTCTCTCTCTCAGACAGACCTTGACATTCACTCATGGATGGTTTCGTCAGAGGTTCATCGAACTGGTCTTAGCTAAGAGGTCACCATAACAGAATCAAAATCTGTTTCTATGGACTGTGCAAGTTCGAAACTTGCCAATTGACAGGTTTTTTTTTCCATTGGAGCACACCTGAAGATTCACTCATGGGTGGTTTCCTCAGGGACGCATCTCAACTTCATCCTGGCAAAGTGGTTACCACGACAGAATCTAAATCTGTCTATTGGATTGTGCTGTGCAGGTTCAAACCTGCCAATGACAAGGTTTTTTGTGCTATCGGATCATGCCTTGAAGATTCACTCATGTATAGTTTCCTAAGTCCTTGGAGGTCCATCTTAACTGGTCTTAAAGCCAGGTGATTTCTGCAACAGAATCAAAATCTGTCAAGCTTGCTGATGACAAGGTTTTTTCCCTGACATACTTCGACATTCACTCACTGTGAATGGTTTCGTCGGATAGCCATCTTAACTGGTCTTAGCCAAGTGGTTACTGCAACAGAATCAAAATCTGTTTCTTTTCGACTGCACAGGTTCAAAACCTGCCGAATCACAGGTCTTTTTCTATAAGAACACACCTTGACATTGACTCATGAACAGTTTCTTCAGAGGTCCAACTAACTCGTCTTAACCAAGTGGTTACCACAACAGAGTCAAATCTGCTTCTCTTGGAGTTGGTTCGAAACCTACTGACAATATCTTTTGCGGTGTATAGATACTCGGAGGTGCATCTTGATTAGGCCCAGTCATTGCACCGAAAGGTATGATTATGTATTTTTCGAGTTCCTGCAATGCTAATTTCATTGTGCAGGTCGCGCGGGCTGACTCTACATCAAAGTATTTCTACAGCTTGCTATTATCATACAAGCACAAGGACGACCTCATCACCATCACAGGTGCTCTTTCACTACCCAGAGATGGGACATGCATGAATCAAAGAACATCTTGCAGGAAATCCTCACTGTGTCAGTCAAGCCAAGGTTCACGGTACTTCTTGCGTAGAAGGCACGAGTAAAGCAATCTTTAATGCACAGTCTCAGTCTGGAGCTTTACAAGTAGTGCTGCCGAAGTTCAGTTCCGTCCGGTTTTTTCAAGATAACTGAGGACCAAGAACTGAACCTCGGTCAAGTTCACAAAGGTAGGGTGGACTCTGGGCCAGACCACTTCGAACGGGTTCACAATGGTCGGGTTCAAGTTCGAACCAGTTCGAACCGCCGAACGCAACATGAAATTAGCAAAATTTTCCAAGTACAAACAATTGTAGGCTAGACTATTCAACAATAAAAATTTGAGGAGCAACAAGCTCAGCCTGCACCATTGCTGATACATGGCCTTGACGGTACGCACTTTTTAACAGTTGAAGTGCCTCAAATGTCTCTGGAAGCAAGCAGTTGCGACGTGTGGTGCCGGTGATGCCGCCACTTGAGAATGCCCATTCAGATGCTACCGCAGACCCCTGAATAGTGAGGTAATCTTTTGCGATGCAAGCAACAGTGGGATACTGAACCATGATGCTTTAAAAAAATAATTGTCAGCTTCAAGTTACACGGAATATTAAGGATATGAGCTTACACCCCACCACGCGACTACATTCTCAACATCCTCCAGTGGTGCAGCTAAGTAGTCCTCCAATTCCCGACGAGGCCTTTGACGAGCTGCGTCATGTGAGACACGAGCTTTGATTGCATCGCGCATCCAGCTCTGGCCATAGGAACCTTGGCGTGAGAGGGATGGTGTAGCAGAATGTGTCATCGCAGCAGATGAAGGAGGGGCACGATAATACTGATCAAACTAGATACTAAGTTAGTGCGCAGACAATTTATTGAGATACCCATGGACTTACCACGTCTTCGAGCCGTTTCACTCCATCAGCAAGTCTTGAGATGCCCAGAGCCTGAAAACACACTTACATCTCGGTCGGCATCTCCAAATGCTTTTATTTGCTGGTAAGCTTCTCAGCTTCCTTGGCCTCTTCATTGCCTGAATCTGCAACAAATGACTTGTCCTTGTTTGTAGATATGACATCATCGTCGTCGTCGTCGTCACCCGCCACCATCATTGTCGCCAATTGTAGAAGAGCTGGTTGCAGAGACAAGCGGGCGCTTGGTGGCAGGGGGCATGGTGGTAGTACCTGAACATTTGGCAGGAATGGCACTGCTCGCTGCTTCTCGCACCTTTGCGGAAGGCTTGATAGGCCGGCCAGAGCGACGAGAACCAGCAACAACTGTTGTGGGCATTCAATGAGAGCCTACGAAAGAGTCCAGGGTACAATGAGAGGGTGCTGGGGGCAAAGCCTTAGATGAGGATTCAGGATGGGGCGAGATGGGCATGTCATCATCAGGATCATGATACCATTCGATTTCGGACGCATCCTTCAAAACACCATTAGCATTAACTGCAGAGTTCGACATGTTTTGATGAATGAGCTAACCTTGGACGCACCCCACCCTTTTATCCTTTGCTGATGTTCTGCGTAAGACCAGAATGAGATATGAATATCCACTCTGATCAATTGCAATCGGTGATGATAGTGCCGGTGATGATTGCGCCAGTGATGATTGCGCCGGTGACGATTGCACCAGTGATGATTTTCACCGGTAAACTTACTGATATGTCAACAGTGAGCATCTTTCGACGAACCTGAGGAGTCGCAGAACAGAAGCAACAAACCTGCAACTCTAATGATGGGTTCAGACCGGTTCAGACTCGTCCGAACGGGTCCGACGTCCATCCGAGACCACCTGAACGAAGAACCTATGTAAGGTTCGGTCCTGTATCGTATGTCGAACTACTGACCGAACGGTGGTTCCGTTCGCAAAAGTTCAGGTTCGAACCTAGGTTCGGGACTGAACCCCAGGGAAAACTGGACATGGCCAAAACGGTTGAGATCGAGCGGAATATGACGAATTTAGAAGCACAATATTTCAGTATAGGAGACTCGCTGTGGAGACAAATAGAATATTTCGCATCTGTTGCAATCTTCTCGAATGTCGTAGGATATGCTAAGAATATTGTTATCATATTTCAGCATATTTCAGTTCAGTTCGTGTGGTACGACAAAATCGGTTGCATTCGGGTGAATTATGCTATAATCTACTGATACAAACGCTTCGACCTGCGACCAGCAAATACAATACAGGATGATAATGATAGAACCAGCACGACAGCGAGAAGCATGCAAACTCGACAGCAGCAAGAGAACAGGAGCGATGTGGACGGGTGAGAAGTGAGACAAGCGAGCACAGGCAGCAACCAGCAGGTAACGGCAAAAGAACAGGAGCGATGTGGACAGGCGAGGAGTGAGACAAGCAAGCACAGGCAATTGGGAAGCAACCAGCAGGCAATGGCAAAAGAATATTAATAGGAATGATGTAGACAGGCGAGGAGCGGCAAGATAACGTGATGGGAGAGCATCCAGCAGCAAAAAAGGCATAGAACAAGAGTGAGGGAGGTGAGTAGTATACTGAAGACAACAGGACGGAGGGAAATCATGAGGCGGAGCTACTGTCGACAATAAGCACCCTTCCCGCTCCTAGTAAACATGAATGATCATAAATAAGAGTTCGAGAGCCGAAACTTACCAGCTAGCGCTAAGTGGATCATAAGCCTGCAGAGACAATAAGTTAGTGCCATTTAAGAAAAGCAGTAACAACACGTATACCTGAATCCACGAGACCCGCATATTTGTGGAATCAGTGGAGGAAGGCAGTGGCAAGGACTCCTAGCTGTTGGGAAGATGGTGGTAAGAAGAAAAGGGGAAATGGACTTTGCCAAAATTCCCCAAACATTTTTAAACTTTGGGGTGTTGGTAGTTTCAAAACTCACCCAAACTTTGTGATCACACGAGAATTCGAGTGGAGCTTTGCAGAGTAAGTAAGCTGTGTGATGTGTGAATGCAAAGTAGTGATCGAGACATGGACGGAGTGATGTAAGATTGACGTGAACAAATTGTGTGTGTTGACGAAAAACACGCTCGACGACGTGACCAACACAATATTGCAAATGTAATGTTTTTTGCCATGCGATGCGCAGGACGATCGTGTCGTTGAAGATTATACAATATTATAGCATAAATTATATGTCTAAACAATATTTCACACTATCCTGGCCGTTTTGGCCATGTCCAGTTTTCACTGGGACTGAACTGCGGCAGCACTATTTACAAGTCACGAGTCTGACTCGCTTACATAAAGTGCTGCTTGACCTTACGGAGCCTTTAAATTGCGGGCGCTCTCTTTAGACGGACCTAAACCTTTCCACCCCCACTTCGGCTTCACGCTATAGAGAACGAAAGTTGGCTAATATGCGAAGGTTTAGCCGCCAAATCAGGAAAGATTTAGGGACCGTCTATGTAATTTATGAGAGGACTCCCGTAAGGTCACGGTGAAGTTGACATTGACAAGTTAGGGTTGAGCAGTTTCGAATTATCGTCGATATGCCTGCAAACACCTAGACCTACGCATTCAAAGACATCGTACCGATTACTCAAGATATCTTATTCCCTCCTAGTAAGTACTCACTGGAATAAGTACAAGTCGTACGTGTGTAACTCGCGGACATGTAGAAACCAGCTTTGTCACGGTATACTGGCACACCGCTTCCGAGCCCGTCATAATATTCGCAGCGAACTGCGCACCACAAGGCACCTGCCCTGGAGACTCGAGTCTGGACGCGAAGACTGTATTGCAATTGAATTGAGTCATGTAAAAAGTTTTTGCTCAGCGGCATACATATAAATTGACACGCCCGAAACACAGTTCTTTCATCCCCATCATGTCGTCGGGCTGGAGAGACATCTACATTGGCGCCTTGACTTGTGCCGCTCTTGTTGGTGCGGTCTGTTATGTTAGGGAAAAGAGAAAAGTGCTTCCGCTGCCGCCGGGACCGCGGCCTATGCCAATCATTGGCAATATCCGGGGGATTGACATCAATGCCCCATGGTTGGCTTACACGGAATGGGGTAAACAATACGGTGAGTGCGATGACACGGAAACATAAATATGACTACGCAGAATTTTGCTAAATGGTCTCCTGCTAGGCGATATTGTATACTCGCACCTTTTCGGCCAACATATTATTGTGATCAACTCCGAGAAAGTGGCAATCGAGCTTTTGGAGAAACGGTCATACAACTAACTCTGACAGGCCGGAGCTTCCAACAAACAATCTGTAGGAACTATTCTTAATTAACCTGCCAGTACAGTTCTTGACACCGTAGCGTCTGTAACAGTCTCGGTTTCGATTTCAACACCATACTCATGAGATACGGAGCTCGCTGGCGTCGCCAAAGAAGGATATTCCATCAAGCATTCAGGGCAGAGGCATCTCTAGGTTACCGCCCAATGCAGCAGCAGAAGGCTAAACAGCTCATGTGTAACATGCTTGATACTCCAGAAGAGTTCGTAAACCATATTCGCGTGTAAGTCTTCCTCCGCTGGCCAGTGCGGTGTATTATTAATATCGCGATTCTCTGCCAGATTTTCATCTTCCGTGATAATGTCGGCTTCATATGACTATGATACAAAGTACGATGACCCATTGGTGGCGCTCATCGGGACGTCTCTCGAGTTGGCCGTGCAGGAACTCAGACCTGAGGTGGCTGCTGTGTTCATCGCATTTCCGAGTCGTGAGTCTTCAGTCGAATTTTATGGGCTCGACTGGATGCTATTTATACAGTTCTTCGACTACCAGCATGGTTCCCTGGTATGTCGATCAAGAAGAAGGCCATCCAATCACGAGAATGGGTTCGAGAGTGGATGGACGATCCTTTCCAGTATGTGCTCAAAAGAATGGTATGCGTCGAGTTCCCGCATATTCGCACCTGACATGTCCCAAAAGGCTGAAGGGACAGCCCAGTCATGCATAGTTTCCACGCCCTCAGACGGATCGGCGGAAAAGGTACTTCTGGTGAGATATCGATGATCAAAGAATGTGCAGCCACGGCATTTGGAAGTGGGTACCAGTCGGATACAGTGTCGAAATAATATTGACAAGAACTGTCTGAGTAGCTGCTTTCGAAACGGTATTCAGTTTTCAAGAGATCTATCTTGCACTGCTCTGATTTTCGCTTAGACAGATTCGGTATTGCAAATCTTCATCCTTGCCATGGTGCTCTTCCCAGAGGTACAAATGAAAGCCCACGCTTTGATTGATGCCGTCGTTGGCACGTCGAGGTTGCCGACTTTCGAAGATAGATCGTCCCTGCAATATATCGATGCTATCCTTCGGGAAACTCTTCGTTGGCATCCGATTTTGCCCCTATGTGCGGTGTACGGTCTTCAGGCGCCCGTCCGTTTCTTACGGGAATGTGCATTGTGTAGCAGTATCCCATGCGTCAGTGGATAGCGATATGTATGAAGGATACTATATACCCAAAGGCACGAGATTACATGTTTTCTGATGAATTTCCTTGCTAGCCTCGTAACAGGTGCCATTATTATGCCGAATGTGTGGTGAGTCCGCATATCCAAGGGATCACCCAGAGGTCAACCGCTTTGTAGGGCAATGTCACAAAATGAAGAAAAGTACCCAAATCCCTCGCAGTTCTCTCCCGAGCGCTTCCTGAACGCTGATGGCAACCTCAATGATGATACCGTCGATATGGCCTTTGGATTTGGAAGAAGGTTTGTCATGATATCTCTTCTTTTCATATGACATCGAACATCCTGCAGGATTTGCGTTGGCCGACATTTTGCTGACGCATCTGTATGGATAGCAATGTCCGGTCTACTTGCTATGTTTACATTTTCGAAACGAATTGGTGCAGATGGGGAGGCGATTGAGTTCGAACCACAATGGTTCAGTGGTATCGCAACGTACGTTCGCTCCCGTTCCTCTGTGTCCCAACTAATAAAAGACTTTGTTAGTCACCCACTTCCCTTTCCGTGCAGCGTCATTCCAAGGCTCCGCAAGGTAGATATATGATCATTAGTCCGGCGATTTTAATTGAAAGGACGGTTTTTTATACAAAGTAATTACATGTGGCTTCATTTTCACATCCTCTTCCCCAGTGCTCTCCCAGTGCTTTCCACCCTCATTACAATGACATCCTGCTTCACCAAGAATGTGTTGATCTTGGTAGTGTTCCTGTCGTTACTGTCTCTAGCGTATCTTATACATGAAGATTGATATATATACTCACTGGCCGCCAAGGCATACGTGAACGTCCCTCTGAACAAACATTAGTACTAGGAGAGGAATTGGGCTGATATGTATCCCTGCTCTTTTGCGATTCGAGGAATAATCGCATGTCTCTGCAAGCTTAAGTTGAGCTGATGTAAAAGCGATAAATCTTTAGTAAGAGCATGCTCGTGTGGAGTACTAAGGCTGGCAGGTAGAAGGTGAATAAACACGCAGGGTGCCGTGGCGAAGTCTCAGAGATCAGCGAGTTACAAGGCTCGAACAAGGTCTCAAAGAGGGAGTAACAGACTAGCATTGTCTAAAGTTTTCGACAAAGCAACTTTTAGATTGAAAGAAAAGTCTTTGCTTTATGCCCACTTGGTCATCAACTGTACAGTTCTTGTCCTTTGTTCCCGTGCACGTACTAAGCTTGGTCTGTACTGTTTCGAGGGATGGCAAAATCTTGCTTAGAACACCACCTCAGCACTACGTATGCCGGCAGTTACACTGACCCAGGACGCGACCCCAAGCATGCAGCTAACGTTCCCTAGCAGTTCGCAAGCGGAGTCAGTTCAATTGCCTGTAAGATATGCCACACGCCCTGTTCATTCGTGATCTGACATACCAATTCATACTAGGCAACGCAGACTTTTAGTACATCATGCTCAGCAGATCTCCCGCCCAGTGTCGGATCCCGAGAAGTTAGGACTATCCCCAAACCGCAGCCTAAGCGCCGACTCAAGCCTGAGGGATCTTCACTGTCCGAGCACATCAAAAACCGCGACTTACAATGGTTTAAGGCGCAACAGCCACCAGCTGCTCGACCTGGTACGCTTGTATTATTGAATAATGTAGTAGTGGCCCCTACTGCAGAGAAGTCAAAGCCATCTCGCGTGCCAGGAAGGATATATCCAAGACCGCCACCCAGCGAACTAATGACAGCGAACCAGCCTACAGCTACGGGAACCATTCATCGATCGAGTACTTCTACCCAGGCTCCAGCTCCTGTAGACGTCAAGCAGTCAAACGAAGAAAAAATCACGCCCGCTGTAACTGATATTGCTACGAGTGGCCTACAACCAGACAATACGCCTCGAGACTCAGACATACATCCCTCGGGTGCGCCAGCTCCCGATGTTACTACGTCCTCGCTAAAACAAAACACGGATTTCCTAGCTCCAACGAAACCACCCGCGACACCTTCGGACTATGTGGGAGTCAAAAAAGGCGATTTCCGTCGTGTCTAGTTGCCACTTACCGCAGGCCAATTCCCCGAGATTTGGAGGGGGATATGGCTGTGATGATATATCGGAGAGGACTTGAATCAGCTCGCAACACCATTAACATCACTTTCAATCTCGATGATTTACATTATTCCTACATTGCTCGGTGGGCGAAGTCGAAGCGTACTAAGTCCTCACTAACGTCGTATGTGACAATTTTATCTTGTCCGTACGTAAATTTAGCGGTTCACAGAGATTTGGAACAAAGTGTTTGTGTGTCGTTCGCTTGCTATCACCTCCCTAGTCTCCCATCCAATCCACTAGAAGGTGATGGACTTACGCCACGCATTGAGATACTGATGCGTTCGCCATGCTCGTGGCCCACATCTGGGGACCTTTCACTGCAGACGAAGCGGGGACGGAAAGGATTTTATCATTCCACTAGCTCCACCGATTTTCGTGAGTATCAGTATGCATACTAAATTACAACGAAGTTGAAAGGTTCTATTTGACAGGTTACTCCAGATAATTGCATCGATATCTCTGCTTTCATCAGAAGTGGAGAAAATACCTTTTCAGTGGTCCAACAGAGCGACATGTCAGACTATTTGTTTATGTTCCTCGTCCACTATCCCACGCCGGAGCAACTTAGCTATCTTGCTTCGTGCAGAGGTAGACGTGAGGAGTGGGCGAAGAGCATACGTGATCTTTGCAAGCTTGAGCTGAGGGAACCGTAACTTATGGAGGCGATCGCCGTCAGAAGTTATATAATCTCGCCATATCAGTTAACACATTATACCTAAGTCGAGCTTGTACTTCACTCTTGAGTACGACCTGAGTTTTATTAGATAACGCCATGGACTCGATGACGAGTTGATTTTGCCGGCTCTATGGCACTGTCCGAATCGCGATTCTAAGGAGCATGATGTATTTCATCACCTATGTAACTATATCTGCTAGTGCATGTAGTAACCTCGTACCAGGCTCTGACGACCCTATCGGAGACAAGGCAGTACATGGTAGTCGAGGTTGCCACGTCAAAATGTTGACGAAGTTGCGGTCGGACCGTGAAGGTACCGCTACATCGCCATGGAGTTCTGCCTGCAAAATATTCAGCACCTAGAAGCAGGCCAGCCTTCTGTAGTCTCAGCGATGAATGTCCCTCTAAAGTGCTGCGATGCTTATTCATGCTTGCTGGAATTGGCGTTACAGTGAGTATGAGTAGGTTGCATCCTTTAACCACACGACTCACCGGCATCGTAGGCCATCTGGGAATGTGTAGCAGGTTGAGTGGCATGTCGCGACAATGAATTACAGCGAGTCGTGTTTCTGCTTTCGCATGGGTGCAGTACGGCTGATGGACGACGGACGAGTTTACTAGTGGTTTGACCGACATCACTAATGATGTGTTATTCAGACTGAGATATAGCGCTTTTTTCTTTCCGTTGGCCAGCCGCGTAACAGCTTACCTTGGAGCCCTTTCAATATTGTCACGACCTACCATCCACCTCATGCAGCATTCAATATTGATGCTGCTCGCACTGATACACAAGCAACTGAAGCGTGTCTGGTCTCGTTTTTCAGCAAGGTAAGAACTCCGAACTGAAAGCTTGGGCCACTCAATAAGTCACTGAATCAAAAGACACCATCAACTCGCAATTTAAAGACAGCGGGAGAAAATCATCACTATCAAACTAAGGAAGACCAATGCAAGGAGTCACATCAGCGTGGGTATCATTCCAAGCGACCTCTCAGCCAGCTCAAAAGGCCCCTCGTCCCTTCCCTTTCCCAAACCTTCCTCTGAGGTATACGGAACCTACCAAGCGCAATAAACATCACTATGTATACAATTAATGCACGCTGAACTACTCACAAGTTACCATCCACCAAGAAGACGTCCAAAGGCAAAGACCAAGTTCTGCAGGAAGCTTGGAAATCTCGTTGTCTCTGAGGTCTAGTTCCTCTAATTTCCAATCGGGCACCAACGGTTACCTTTGAACAGATCTGCGATGCCCTGGAAAGCATCAAGTTCGTCGATTCGATTGCCACGGAGTCTGAGATGCCTGAGGCCTTTACGGGAATTGGAGTTGTCTGCCAGGATGAGGGAAGACAAGATGTCCTGCCGCAGCGAAGCTGACGTAAGAGCGTTATAAGATAAATCCAACGTTCGAAGACTCGGGAAAAAGCGCGTCAATAAAGGTAGAAGTGTATCGTTCGAGCGCGGAGGTGTGGTAAGTCCCCGTGTCAATTTGATGCGACACGGAGACTTGATCACCGAATCCACACCCATCCAGAACGAGTTCCTCCAGGCTTGGGAGTAAGACCTCGCCAGTGGTTGGGAGAGAAACGCAAAGATCGAATTTGCGGTTGCGTAACACGAGAATCTTAAGCGTCTGTGCAAACGACTGAGCTGATATGGCAACGAGGGGAAGTGTCAATGTAGGCAAGGGCAAAATCAGTTTGCCTTGAGAGGATGGTGCACTCGAGAATGGAGTTGCTAAAGAGAAGGATCGAGCATGACTCTCTTTGTCGGAGCTGAGAGCGGGGGTAAAGTGAGCGTTTGAGTGGTAGCATGGTAGTATTGCGGATTCGTTAAACTTGTGCTCGATGATGGTTGCGAGGGTGCTAGCAGGCGTAGGTGGGCGCCCGTGTCCGATAAGGGAGCTAGGCTTTCAAAGGTGTTGCAATATCTGCTGCAGGCATTGCCGCCGCCGCTCTTGCCCGCCGCCGTCCCACCCTCCGTTAACAAACACTGTTCTGCCTCGATCTCCCAAGCCTCCTTGACTACATCCGCATTGTTTTGGCCTACGTCCATTTTGCTGGAACCACCAGTACTTTCCGCATCTGCCACACTTTTAGACACACGGCTCTTCACCCTTCTTTCTGCCTCTATCTCCCAAGCTTCCCGAACAACCTTTTTGCCGACAGACACCCTCAGAGTGCCTTCGGGAGGCTGCTCAGTAGTGAAATCGTACGTAATATCCTGCTTTAGCCCAGACCAACGCAGATTGCAAGCCTTCCATGGTAGCGCCGAGTTTCACCCCATATCAAGGATCTGCAACCGAGGGAAACAATGGATTTTCGAAGTGGAATAAGTCACTGGGGAAAGCATCATCGCCGATGTCGGCGGTTATCACAACGAAGTTCCTTGAGAAGTTCAAATGACTAAGGGCTCGAATAATGCAGCTGTCGAGTTCGAGTCTCCCAAAGCTAAGGGATTCGCGGCAAGTCAGCTTTTGTGATCAACGGAGGCAGATTGGCGTGGTCTATGGAAAAAGCGGTGAGTTTATTGTGAGACGCGTCCAGGACAGAAAGGCGTGGTAGTGGCGATGAGGCTCTCGTAATGACAGGACCAAAGAATCCCCCGGAACTGAAGGTATCGTTTCGCGCTTTCTGTGAGGAAGACTTCGAGAACCGGGCACCAAAGGAGAGCTCGCAGAGGGGCAGTTATGGGACAGGTTCATGACCGTGAGATTGGGTAAGGCGAAGATATTTGAAGGTAGCGCCGCGAGGGAATTATGAGAAAGATCTAGGGTAGTTTAAAGCCGTAAGGTCGGCAAAGGTATCAGGTAGGAGAACAATCTTGTTTTTGATGCAACTTGCAATGGACCATATATAAATACCATCTATCACGGAAAGATGTGGTCAACACTTACAATCAACGGTCTTCAGCGATCCAAAGAGAGAGATTTCGTGCTGTATTTCGACAATATCGTTATTCCACACTTTGAGCACATGCAAGTCTTGGGCTTCAAACCACGCTGGACCTTCTCGTTGACCAGTCCGCCTGGACGAACTTGAAGCATCCGTGGAGGAAGATATGGGTGGCTCGGAAGCTACCGACTTCAATGGATCAGGAGTTACTCCCAAATGAATGTCAAACAAAGGCAGAAGGAATGCATGGTAGAGAGCGAGAGGACAAATTGATGGCACCTGCAATAGTGACCTTGTCTGATCAACGGCACGCATCCAATACGAATCACATCCACTCACCTGTGCTTCGAGCACGCTCAATGGTCTCTTTCACAGACCACCTCCCTAATTCGGGTGTGTTTCTTCTTCGTTCTTCTTCGCTACCACCGGATCTGCATCTTCGAGGTTCTCAAAATCACCAAAGCCTGCACTATTGCCAAGGCCTACTCGGGATGAAGAAGTAGATACGGCCTTTCTCGCTTCAGCTCGCTTGAGAGCGACAGCTTCCTTGATGCTCAATATTGGTTTGGGAACAGGTGGCTCATTTTCGACAGGTGGTGGCCTACGAATAGCCTTAGACGGAGATTTTGGGACCGACTTAGTCCTCACGCGAGGGGAAGATGCACTGGCGGCAGGCTTGGACGGCGACGGAGCCCGTGAGCGAGAAGGTGGCAACGAGGGTGGCCTTCACTGTTGGACGTGGAGATGGTTGAGGAATGCGAGACATTTTCATATACTAAGATCTAGTTTGAACTATAGGAAGAGTAGACTTGCAAATAGAGAAATAAATGAAAGAGGTAGAAGTTCAACGTCACGGTTGAATTATTGGAGTCTTCCGAGTTGGAACAGTCACGCAAATTAAGCGGATTTTAACGACAAGCGTGAGTGTAAATAGACTCAGGAATGGTCAAGTGACAAGGAGGAATGCATATGACTTCCTGAAGCAAAGCACACAATAAAATATACTACGTGCCATCCGATAATGCCCCCCCAGAATCGCCATCTCCATCATCATCATATATCCTGACGTTTTGAACGTCGCCTTCAACCCTTGCAACATCTTCCGAGTCGCCCTGCTCCCGACGGTATACCGATAGATCCCAGTCTTCGGTTTCTTCTTCGTCGTCTTCGAACCATTCTGGATTGTATTGGAACTAGAATTCTCTTGAGTTAATAGGGATGATTGCGTATTGTCCTATTACTACGTACCAAATCTCGTCCACTCATGCCTGAGTTCTTACCAGCCGCATGCTGCGTCTCTTTCGCTTTCCGCATTGCGTCTACCTCGGCCTCTTTCTTGTCCATTCTAGTTTTCTTCCATATCGCGAAAGTCTCTGGAGTGACTGGAGTTAAATTTGACCCTAGTTTGTGGCGCTGTGATTTCGCAAACGTGAGATCCTTTGGGGAATCGCATTACTCCTTGATTACACTCGCCTGAATTTCAAGGAAGTCTTCCAGACTGATAATGTTGGATTTCGCTGCCTCTTCGGCTGCCTTGCGCTCCGATTTGAGCACAAACCCAGGAGGTAAAGCATGCCTGTATTGGCACTTTTCATTTCCATTAGGGCATTCCCAGAACCACCCAAACCTTGAAAGAAAATGATTGTAAGTCGGTCAAAATGCAGAGTTCAAAATTTCCGCACTTTTGAGTCTCGATGGCCTCGATAAAAAATTTGCATACGATCTATACGTACGTTGAGTAGAGGTCCGAGCGGTGATGCATCCCGACCCACGTCTGTCGTTGTTCTAGGATTGCCGTGCTTCGATAGGACTACATTCCGTAGCTTCTCTTCGTCCCAGTTCTCCATAGTATCTGATAGAGGACACGATGAGAGACTCGGTCAGTTGATTCACGAACACCGTACCTTTCATCTGGTCTTCCCTGCTATCTTCATACAGATTCTTTCTTCTCCACCTTGCGGCCAACATTGAGGTCATGGCTGAATTTGCACTTATTACCCTTCTCACAGTTTCCGGCTTTGTAGAAAGCGCAAAGCACCGTTTGGGATCGACTCCGAAAGGTAACTTTCTGTGTCTGAACAGGCTTGAACAAAGCAGCTTCCTCTTTCCTGCGCTTCTCCTCCTCGAATTTCGCTTTCTCGCGCAGTTCCTTTTCTTTCTCCTTTGCAATCGCTTCCTTGGACTTTCCGGTCATAGCTTGCTGCTGCTGCAAGATCTGCACCTGCTTCTGGACCTTGGCAGATTTATTTTTCTGTATACACGGTCAAGAAAAATATCGACAAGAAGTGTACTGACTGTGCCTACATTCTTCATGCCAAAAGTCTTCGTAGAGTAACTGATCAATCAGTTCTTTCCTGAGATGTAGCTGCGTGATGATCTACCTTGTCATCCTTAACCTTCGAACCTGAGGGTGCGTTCTGCTTCTTTGGAGGCATGACTGGGGTCACAGCTGGCGATCGTGAGCGAGTAAAGACTGTATAGAAGGTCAACGATAGTACTGTCTAGTGGTCCTCCACGAAAGTCCTGTCACTTGCAAAGATCGTGCGCACTTAGAGGATGTACTTGGTAGTGGGTTCTCAGGCGCTTCATGAGCCACAATTCATTCTACTGCTGACAAATTTTACAAAAATGGTTTACAAAGCTTCGCTACTAATCCAGCAGCTTGGCCTAGGCTGAGCGCTTACGCACTGGCACGCAGATCTCATTTTGCGCTCTAGCGGAAACGTTCTCCCTCCTTTGCAGTTACCGGTAATAGTAGCGATGCTGATCAGATAGCGCTCAATATGCCAGTAGTTATCTTTTCCCTTCGATCTATATCTCATCCTCCATAGAATCGGGGGAGGTCGGTGGCATACAGTTTCGCTAGTGAGGCATGTCTCCCCTGATTCTGGTATTTGTATATCTGTATGATTGCGTTATCGAGAACCATATCGGCCGACCATCTAACCAAGGTCAATAGAATTTTCTTCATCTTGACCCGCGCAAGTCTGGATCTATTTTCAAAGGCACAAAATTCGACCTTGGAAAACCCAGTGAGTAAAATTATCGTACGAAAATTATGTCGTATATCACTTGACAATACAGAACAGGTTGTCTTCATCTGGCCCACGACTTATTGCAACCCTGTCCACCGACGGCGTCAGGTGAAGGTCACTAATGAGGATCGTGTTATATCACACGTAAGTCACTGTGTTCTGCATCGCTGCTGGGTGAATAGACCGTGAAGACCGCACAAGCAGACTCGCCATGAATTACGAGGACTGCACCATCTTGCGGATCAGGCACTGCCGTCCATTGAGCGACCGTGTGAGGCCCGTCGAAGGGACAGACAGGGCACGGTTGGCTGAACGTCGAACCTTCGTAACCTTGTATGCTGCATGTGTATATATCAACCATGACGATCAACGCAGATTTATTGGATTGATCGCGACTAAACTCTGTGGGTGGGCGTAGATCGACCATCAGTGTCTTCTGCTGGTCTGGGCAGGAGTGCTGTCCGGAATGTTAGATACTTGAAACACCTTCCGGATTGCTTAGCGCTGGTAAATAGCATAACAACGTGCCGAGCGGGACCGAGAAAATCAGAAGTGATTGATTTGGACCACGATCTACAGCAACAAGATAATCGTAAGCCACTCTCGCTATAAGTAAGGTTCTTTGAGCTCGCCATCGCTTGCAAATCGAGAGCAAGATCGCGTGTTCAAAACAATTAAGCTCTGACGACAGTCAATATCAAGCAGAGCTGATGAGAGAATGAAAATTTATTGTTCAATTTGACGAGGATCTTTGTATGACTGGAAGTCTTTCTTCATCATAGGATTTCAGCAAAGGTGGGGGGCGGGATGCCTTTTGCGAACCAGGGCTGATTTTTACTCTAGATTAAACTATGCGAATCAATCAGTCGCTTGAACGGAGGCATGGTCACCGAACCTGCTGTGTCTTATTTGCCTGAATCTAAGCCCTGCCTGCCAGTTGGGGGGAACTAGGTTATGCGTGCGGAGTCTGGCATTGTGCACTGGACAAGAAGACGACAGCAGAACTGACCGGTGACCGCCCGCAAGAAAGGCACCATCATGACTAAGTGTCTTCACCATCCCTATTGTAGGCCTAAAGAAGTTCCAAACATGTGGGAAAATCCACAATTTGTCCTGGCGGCGGCCCAGAGTAGATATACTATCTTGACCTCTGATGGTTTTTCTGGAACGATCATGTCAGGCGGGGTTCACTTTCACAACGAGAAAACGTACCCTGCAACTTGGAAAGCTTTGGGATCGTCAACTCATCTAGGAGAGTGACAAGAGAATTAGATAGTACATTAGCCTGCTACGAATGACTTTCATGAGAGTGATTGTCCGCCTTGGAATACCATGCGTACTTGGCGCACTTACACTTCACGCCACAAGAGAGAGTAGTCACCCAATGGACTGCGCGTATACCCCTACGCTGGGGTATTCGCGAGTCCAGGTGTTGCAGACTAGTTAGTACTGTCCGACATAGGGTACGTCACCTCAATGGACAGAAGTCGGAATGAAAAAAATACCACGTGTATTTGAGGGCGAACAGTACAACTCCGAGAAGGGCTGGAAAAGAAAAGGGAGAACTTCGCGCCACTGCAAACAAATTCCCCATCTACATCTGAAAGGACACTTCCCCCAGTAAAACAAATGCAAAAATCAACCGCCAGTCCCTCAGCCGCCGTGCAATCAACAAGCAATGACTGCATCGCCAGTCAATGCAACGACACAAACAAAACGGCCGCTAAAACCCACACGCTAAATTGCGGCAGGTCCAGGTGTCGAGTCGTTTTCGTTTATGCCGAAGGCACCGACTGGCCCACGGTCAGTCGCCTTCTCGATGATCACTCGCTGGTCTGCAAGGGCGGGCTTTATCTGCTCGCCAATTCACCTCCCCGCTCCGACCCACACGATCCACAATATGCGATAAGCCCTCCGCAGGTCATTCCTGAGAGCTTGGGCATCGATCAGAGCAATCGCGGTGATGAAGTCGTCGCGGGCGGTAGAAAGCGGAGAAAGGAGGACCAGAGAAAGCAGGAGCTCGAAAACGACGAGTACACCGAGGATGTGCAACCCACATCCGTCAGGTGTCGCGGATGTCAGAAGGCCATCAGCCTTGACAAACGCTCCAGGTACTATCCTGGACTGTGGGTCAAGCACAGGAGCAAGTGCCCTGGCATCCTCGAGCTAGAGGTGAGTTGATTTCTCCTATGAACGGAATGAGTAACTAACTAAATTTATAGGAAGATAAAGAGCTAACCAGGAGAAGAGACTGGTTTTTTCAGCTAAATCCAGAACCGCGCCCACCAGCCGCCTCCTCATTTGACGCGAGCGGTGAAAATTGGGAAGAGGGAGAGTCAGAAGAGGATGAGGACGAGGACAGGGTAGTGGGATTCAGCAGTAAGTTAGTCCTCGATGGGAGCAGATACTGTGATTCATCACGAACTCTAGCGTCGAACGTGCAATTCTATGACGACTGCTGGGACAGGGGAGAAAGGTGATGGGCGTACCGGTACGCCGCTACGAAGGATTTCACGGATAAGTTTTCATCTTAAATATTATGGGTGAGTGTCAAAGGCGACGATTCAGAGCGTGCTTATCAACCCTTTGCTTTGTGCACTTACTAGTATCGGACGTCCACGTCCCTTTGTTTACAAATCGTTGTAGCTTTCGTTCCAAATACAATTTCCCTTTGATGTTCTCCAGGATTTCCGTGACGAGATCACTAACAAAGGAGTAGGCGTGGAAGATGATGATCCTTTGTGCGCAATCAAGGTCAAGCACGATATCATGCATCATGATCGACACCTGGATATAGCCGGTTTTGAGTGCTCGGAAGGAGCCGGCACCATGGCATTCTTTGTCTTTGTGGTTGCTTTGTCTCTCTTCGCGTCACCACCTTCCATTCCCATCATTTGCAGTTTAACGCATTTCGGTTGATGTATCGACAGCAGAATGCGATGTCCAGCTATATATATCTCGATACATGACATAGTCGGGTCAACAGCCTGTGCTCGGTCCCAGCACCTTAACGTCAATGTTTTTGCATTAGACGAAGCTGGGCGAAACGGACAGCCCCTCATTTCGTAAATCAATCGACGGCAGTGTCGAACTGTTGTGAGATGTGCGGCCACGGCGACAACTTGGCTGACAGTTCTTCAAAGCTTCACGATCCAGTTCTTACTGTCGCAAATTGTGCACTTGAAATACGCCGAGTACATCTATTACCGCCCCGCCTGTCCCTTTGACCATATCCTGCGCGCCCACGCCATATCATCGACTCCAACTCTACAACTGTCAAGTATCCCGAGCGACTTACTGCGTATGACGTCCATCAAATATATCAGAATCCGATTGCAGTCTGCGGCGTTCCGTGACCGGGAAGATGTTGACGACGGGCCCAGCTGGGCAGTACCACGTTGTTCACGAAATGATACAGGCGTAAATTTGTTCTGGATCACTGATCCCACAAAGTGCGACACCTTAACAGCTCCTGGATATCGCATCATCCGACTGAGGGTGTCGCTGTTTGCAAGATATCTGCCTCAGTTATTTCGGGTATGTGGTGTCATGACGCCTTCTCAGGACAGCCATCGCCTTGACTATTTCTGGAGGGTTATGATGATCTCGCGCCGAGAGCATCAGTGAATGGAAAAGTTCTGGGTGAAGTGAATATTAAAAATAAACATAACACATAGCCGCGGAGTGCGGTCCACAATCCATAATCATAGTCAGCTACACAGCTTTAGTCTCCCCTAGCTAGACCAAATAGATCTGGGGATACTCAATTCTGCCTCGGAATTGACAGATGCTTATAGCCTCCTTGCGTCCGTGGGTCAGCTCTTCTAAGAACTAGTAGAGATTGTGGATTTTGTTGAGTGAAAGCTGAGACGGAACTGTGCCCTATATGCACTGCGCGGAAGACATCAGCGATAGCGCCCAGCCAGAAATTCGAATGACACACTGGCATCTGCCAGACGGACTGCGGATAGTGACTTGTTCAAGCGACGGTTCGCTCCGGGCATGGAATTTGAAGACTGGGAAACATATCGAGAGGACTGACGGCATGGAGAACGTCTATACGTACGTGGATAGGACCTCGTCCATAGCATTGGAAGACGTGTCTCCTGGAGTCGGTGAATGTTGAGCGCTCGAGCGCCGTATCTCACGCGCATGATCGAACTTCCTGGCCAGTACTTGCATTCTACTTCTTTGAATGTATGAATCAATGTTACTGTAGCTGGTGATCGCGAGCGAGTAGAAATCGTATAAAAAGATTATCGGCCATAGCCTTCCGCGGGACTTCCACGGGGCAGTGGTGCACAGCCACAATTCCCTACTAACGCTGACAGTGACACTGACAGATGTCACAAAAATGATTAACCAAGTTCCGAACTTGAACACTACTTCTAAGAACAGCTCAATTGCATGATCCCCCAGTACTATAGTAGGCTGAGCGCTGCGCTCACATCTTCTCGCGGTCTACCTGAAACATTCACCGGCCCTATATATCCTGTTACAGGTACTATCAGCGATGCTAGATAGCACTCGAAATATTCTCAGTACGGTTACTCTTCTTCCTTTGACCTACATCTCATCCTCTTCACAAGCCTGAGAATCAGAAAACGTCAGCAACTAAATATTCGCACCATGACCCAAGTCGCGGAGGTATACAGTTTTGTAAGCGCAAACATGGCTTCCTTTATGACTGGTCTTGGTATATCATCTATGTATGATTGTGTTATCGAGAACCATATCAATGGCAATATGCTAACGAACGTCGATAGAGTTTTCTTAATTTTGACCGCACAAGTCTGGATCTATTTCTGGAGACATAAAATTCGATCTCAGGAAAACATGCAGAACAAAGTTATTGTATGAATCACGTTGCATATCACAGACTAATCGCTGACAGTGCAGGACAGGTTACCTTCATCTGGTAAATATCTCTGTTATGCATGCAGTTGACGGAAAGATTGACGCTTGCATTACAGGTTAATACAAGCTGCTCAAATGTGAGTCCCTATGGAAAATGTATGTACTGGCCACTGGAAGTCCTGCTAGGGTAATTATTTCTCGGCTCTCGTCCATTCATACGATGGAGTTCGAGGATAGATCTCGTTTCCTTGGCCATCTGTTGACGTCAGTATCGTCGGTTATTCATCAAGACGCTTTCTGCTTTCTGACAGAACGACAGAGAATGGGCGCTTTATACCGGAATGGGTGTAAGCGGGGCTTTTCTTCCTCTCGACCTAATTAAGCTCACTGTCGTTCCACAGTGCTTGACCACGTCCCTTGTGCACGGCGTTTTCGTACATAGGGTTTTCAGACGTACGTGCTACTCACTTACAACTATCATGGTTCTTTCTGATGTGCACGTAAAGTTGAGAAAATTCTTTATGACAGACGGAGAATATCATTCATTTTGGTAGGCACTGCGTTTGGCTGGCGTGGAAACTGTGACCAATTGCGCCAATCAGATTGCATTTTGTGTCATGGAGCAAGGTGCGGTAGTTTACGTTTATCCTGCGACGAATAATCGCTACTTAATCACGGAAAACAGTTTTTGGTCTTCTTAGCACAATCTGCATGTAGGTCAAATTTCATCACCCTGTCAGGCGTTTCTCAAATACGGAAACAGCTTCAAACTACGTGATGATCTTAACTATAATGTCACGGTTATTGTAAGTTTGTTCTACCTTTGATCGGGATGCAACTCACAAGGATGAAGTGGTCTATTTCGATTTCACTTGGTTGTTCAGCGATCAACGATGTTCTTATCGCTGGAACTTTGGCCTATATTCTCCACAAACACAGGACTGTATTCCGAAGGTGATTAATTAGTTCGAGTATAAAATTAACCTCTGTAATTGACCTTCTCGGTGTTCAGAACGAACCAAATGATCACGAAACTCATCATATTCTGCTCGCAAACGGGTTTGATAACAACGCAAGTTCCTTGGTATTGACACATGATGGGTATGTACTCACTGTTTCCGGTGCAGCGTGGCGGCATCCATCACTGTGGGACTTGTGAGTGCTTCATCTCGTGCGTTAACCATGGCTCTGACCAAGATGCAGTGGGCAGTTGGCCGTTTCGAGATTAACCATCTATATATGAGTTTTCCTATTGGAGGCTGTGAGAGTCTTGTTGTTATCAACTCGAATACACGGAATATTCTGACGTCCTGACTTGACAGTATATGCCACATGTCTTCTCGCCAAGTGAGTCGTTCTCAGTGGTAATAGAAGAGACTACTGATATCTTGTTCAGCCTCATCGCTCGGGAATCCTACCTGCAGCCACAGACAGTCCACCAATCCGGGATTTCTGAAATAAGTTTTACAGGTTTCGCGCAGGTGATTCATGTTGACTTACCAGGCAATCACTCCGGGCATCAGGAAACATTGGTGATGCAAGGAGGAACTGATTCCTCCAAAGAGTCTTCCTGTTGAGTTGAATGACTATAATCCACCATCTCCGTATTGTTGTAATTGCCTAGAGTTAAGTTGTCATCGTAAGTAGTATGTGTCCAGAAGCTGCTCAATTTCCACTGTATATTTACATTCATCGGCCGTAGTCAGACCATCAGAAGGAATACAGATCGTTTATTTTCAAAATGCCTCCGTGCTGGTACAGCTGTACTTCGCGTTGAACCATGACAAAGGCGAAATAATAACTTTCTGTACGTGGTAACAACGGACCCCTGCAATTCATGCCTTCAGTTGCTAAATCTGCCTTTCTCCTGGGGATGCTAGCTTATGTATTGCAGTTTATTGTCCTGCACGCTCAAAAATAAACTGGCGAAATAAACTATTATTGAGTAGGGTTTATCTCTGTCGAGAGTGCTTTGTCCGTCAGCCTAGTGCGGTTCTTTCGGACATGCATTCGTCTCTTGTAACCATATGAAATGTTGATCTTGTCTGGTTTGCTCATGCGCCTTCGTTCCATGAGAATAGCGTAACTTAGTGCGCTGTCGGCTCCCACTCTCTACACTGCTGCTCAGCGCTTTGGCTGCCACCAATCCTCCGCACGCGTCAAGAAACACATGGAGCAGTGGCTTACATCTGATATTACAGTACACGTAAATAGGAAATGTGGAATGGGCCAGTCAAACGTATGAGGACACTACCTGTAACTTAGGACGACCTCAACGGGCGGACTAAAGCCAACGAGATTCTACATAAACAGGCAGGACTGGATGGATGGCATTGACCAGAAATTTGTTCCCATGTACGTCTGAAGGAGCTTAGGAGAAACTGGAGTCTGGGTTGCTTTAAAGGGTGCTGAACATGACTCTGGGAAAGCTGACCGGACACCAGAAACGAGTAGAGAAATGTATTGCACAGATCGTGGAACGTTGTGTACAAGCCTTCAGCGCTCAGCGGAAGGAATCAAATAAAGCAATTGACCGGTCAAAGGAGTCGGGGACTCGCGGCGAGCCACCGCTACGATAATAGTAGTGATGTTGATCAGATAGCACTCAATATGCCAGTAGTTATCTTTTCCCTTCGATCTATATCTCATCCTCTATAATAGAATCGGGGAAGGTCGGTGGCATACAGTTTCGCTAGTGAGGCGTGTCTCCCCTGATTATGGTATTTGTATATCTGTATGATTGCGTGATCGAGAACCATATCGGCCACCATCTAACGAAGGTCAATAGAGCTTTCTTCATCTTGACCACGCAAGTCTGGATCTGTTTCCGAAGGCACAAAATTCGACCTCAGAAAACCCAGTGAGTAAAATTATCGGACGAAATCGTGTGGTATATCACCTGACAATGCAAAACAAGTTGCCTTCCACTAGCCTATAACTTATTGCAGGGGCCAACCCTGTCAACCAACGGCGTCAGGTGAAGTCACTAATGAGGATCGTGCCATATCGCTCATAAAGCCACTGTTCTGCGTCGGTGCTGGTGAATAGACCGTGAAGACAGCGCAAGCAGACTCGCCATGAATTATGAGCACTGCGCTGGCTTGCAGACCAGGCCCTGCCGTCGATTGACCGGCCGCGTGAGCCCATTGAAGGGACAGACAGGGCACGGTTGGTTGAACGTCGAACCTTCGTAACCTTGTATGCTGCATGTGCATATCAACCATGACGATCAAACGGAGATTATTGGATTTATCGCGACTAAACTGTGTGGATGGGCGTAGATCGACCATCAGTGTCCTGCTGGTCTGGGCAGGAGTGCTGTCCGGAATGTCAGATACTTGAAACACCTTCCAGGTTGCTAGCGCTGATAAATAGCATAACAATGTGCCGAACGGGACCGAGAAGATCAAAAGTATTGATTTGGACCACGATCTACAGCAACAAGATAATCGTAAGCACTCTCGCTATAAGCAAGGTTCTTTAAGTTCGCCATCGCTTGCAAATCGAGAGCAAGATCGCGTGTTCAAAACAATTAAGCTCTACGATGTCAATACAAAGCATAGAGCTGATGAGGGCATGAAAATTATTGTTCAATTCGACGAGGATCTTTTGTATGACTGGAAGTCGTTCTTCATCATAGGATTTCAGCAAAGGTGGGGGCGGGATGCCTTTTGCAACCAGGGCTGATTTTTACTCTAGATTAAACTATGCGAATCAATAAGTCGCTTAAACAGAAACATGGTCACCGAACCTGTTGCATCTGATATGCCTGAATCCAAGCCCAGTCACCGGTTGAGGGGGAACTAGGTTACGGTTATGCGTGCGGAATCTGGCATTGTGCATGTAAAGTTACTGGACAAGAAGACGACAGCAGAACTGACCGGTGACCGCCCGCAAGACAGGCACCATCATGACTAAGTGTCTTCACCATCCCTATTGTAGGCCTTAAGAAGTTCCAAACATGTGGGAAAATCCACGATTTGTCCTGGCGGCGGCCAGAGTAGATATACTGTCTTGACTTCTGATGGTTTTTCTAGAACGATCATGTCAGGCGGAGTTCACTTTCACGACGAGAAAACGTACCCTGCAGTTTGGGAAGCCTTGGGATCGTCAACACATCTAGGAGAGCGACAAGAGAATTAGACGGCACAGTTAGCCTGCTATGAATGACTTTCATAAGATGGATCATCTACCTTAGAATAGCATGTATACATCACGCACTTAGACTTCACGCCACGGAGAGATCAGTCACCCAATGGACTGCGCGCATACCCCTCACGCTGGGGTATTCGCGAGTCCCAGGTGTTGTAGACTAGTTAGTACTGTCCGACATAGGGTACGTTACCTCAATGGACAGAAATCAGAATGAAAAAAAAAATTCCACGTGTATTTGAGGGCGAACAATACAACTCCGAGAAGGGCCTTAAAAGAAAAGAAAAAACTTCGCGCCACTGCAACAAATTCCCCATCTACATCTGAAAGGACACTTCCCCCAGTAAAACAAATGCAAAAATCAACCGCCAGTCCCTCAGCCGCCGTGCAATCAACAAGCAATGACTGCAGTCGCCAGTCAATGCAACGACATAAAATCAAACGGCCGCCCAAACCCACACGCTAAATTGCGGCAGGTCCAGGTGTCGAGTCGTTTTCGTTTATGCCGAAGGCACCGACTGGCCCACGGTCAGTCGCCTTCTCGATGATCACTCGCTGGTCTGCAAGGGCGGGCTTTATCTGCTCGCCAATTCACCTCCCCGCTCCGACCCACACGACCCACAATATGCGATAAGCCCTCCAGCAGCTCATTCCTGAGAGCTTGGGCATCGATAAGGGCAATCGCGGTGATGAAGTCGTCGCGGGTGGTAGAAAGCGGAGAAAGGAGGACCAGAGAAAGCAGGAGCTCGAAAACGACGAGTACACCGAGGATGTGCAACCCACATCCGTCAGGTGTCGCGGATGTCAGAAGGCCATCAGCCTTGACAAACGCTCCAGGTACTATCCTGGACTGTGGGTCAAGCACAGGAGCAAGTGCCCGGGCATCCTCGAGCTAGAGGTGAGTTAATTTCTCCTATGAACGGAATAAATAACTAACTAAATTTATAGGAAGATAAAGCACTAACCAGGAGAAGAGACTGGTTTTTTCAGCTAAATCCAGAACCGCGCCCACCAACCACCTCCTCATTTGACGCGAGCGGTGAAAATTGGGAGGAGGGAGAGTCGGATGAGGATGAGGATGAAGGATGAGGACGAAGACAGAGTGATGGGATTCAGCAGTAAGTGAGTCCTCAATGGGAGCAGATACTGTGATTCACCACGGACTCTAGCGTCGAACGTGCGATTCTATAACGACTGCTGGGACAGGGGAGAAAGGTGATGGGCGTACCGGTACGCCGCTACGAAGGAATTACGGATAAGTTTTCATCTTAAATATTATGGGTGAGTGTCAAAGGCGACGATTCAGAGCGTGCTTATCAACCCTTTGCTTTGTGCACTTACTAGTATCGGACGTCCACGTCCCTTTGTTTACAAATCGTTGTAGTTTTCGTTCAAAATACAATTTCCCTTTGATGTTCTCCAGGATTTCCGTGATGAGATCAGTAGACAAAGGAGTAGGCGTGGAAGATGATGATCCTTTGTGCGCAATCAAAGTCAAGCACGATATCATGATCGACACCTGGATATCGCCGGTTTTGAGTGCTCGGAAGGAGCCGGCACCACTGGCATTCTTTGTCTTTGTGGTTGCTTTGTCTCTTCACCCGGACCGTACATTCCGCTCACTCCTCATTCAACGTTTCAACCACCTTCCATTCCCATCATTTGCAGTTTAACGTTCACATCGCATTTCGGTTGATATCGACAGCAGAATGCGATGTTCAGCTATGTATATCCCGATACATGACATGGTCGGTCAACAGCCCGTGCTCGGTCCCAGCACCTTAACTTCAATGTTTTTGCATTAGACGAAGCTGGGCGAAACGGACAACCCCTCATTTCGTAAATCAACTTGCTGACGGCAGTGTCGAACTGTTGTGAGATGTGCGGCCACGGCGACAACTTGGCTGACAGTTCTTCAAAGCTTCACAATCTAGTTCTTACTGTCGCGAATTCTGCACTTGAAATATAAGTACATCTATTACCGCCCGCCTGTCCCTTTGACCATATCCTGCGCACCCACGCCATATCATCGACTCCAACTCTACAACTGTCAAGTATCCCGAGCGACTTGCTGCGTATGACGTCCGTCAGATCTATCAGATTCCGATTGCAGTCTGCGGCGTTCCGTGACTGGGAAGATGTTGACAACAGAGGCCCAGCTAGGCAGTATCACGTTATTCACGAAATGATACAGGTGTAAATTGGTTCTGGATTACTGATCCCACAAAATGCAACGCCTTAACAGCTCCCGGATATCGCATCATCCGACTGAGGGTGTCGCTGTCTGCAAGATATCTGCCTCAGTTATTTTGGGTATGTGGCGCCATAACGCCTTGACTATTTCTGAAGGGTTATGACGACACACAAAGCTATGCCACATGATCCACGCGTGATGATTTCGCGCCGAGATTCATCGGTGAATGGAAAAGTTCTGAGTGAAGTGAATATTGACAATAGTCGAGCATAACAAGACACATGGCCGCGGAGTGTGGTCCACGGAATGCAATCCATAATCATAAACGAGTCAGCAACACAGCGTTAGTCTCCCCTAGCTAGACCAAATAGATCTAGGGATACTCAATTCTGACGACAAATGCTTATAGCCTCGTTGTGTCCGTGAGTCAGCTCTTTTAAGAACTAGTTTCTCTAAGTAGAGATTGTGGATTTTGGTGGATGAAAGCTGAGACGGAGCTGTGCCCTATATGCACTGCGCGGAAGACATCAGCGATAACGCCCAGCCAGAAATTCGAATGACACACTAGCATCTGCCAGACGGACAGCGGATAGTGACTTGTTCAAGCGACGGATCGCTCCGGGCATGGAGTTTGAAGACTGGGAAACATATCGACAGGACTGACGGCATGGAGAACGTCTATACGTACCTGGATTGGACCTCGTCCATAGCATTGGAAGATGTGTCTCCTGGAGTCAGTGAATGTTGAGCACCGTATCTCACGCGCATGATCGAACTTCTTGGCCAGTACTTGCATTCTACTTCTTTGAATGTATAAATCAATGTTACTGTAGCTGGTGATCGCGAGCGAGTAAAAATCGTATAAAAAGGTTATCGACCATAGCCTTCGAATTCCGCGGGGCAGTGGTAGTGGTGCACACAGCCACAACTCCCTACTAACCGTCTGACAAATGTCACAAAAATGATTACTAACACATCGGAGGTTTGGACATTTTACCTCTTGCAAAATTTCAATCAAAAGCAGATCTAGACCTATAGCCTGGAGCGCTCTAGATTGCATTTCGAATGTGATTTCACTAGTGGCAAAATGTGGCAAAATGTCGAAACCCCCGCTGTGTAACCAAGTTCCGAACACTACTAGAACAGCTCAATTGTATCCCCTCTCACTGTGCCAGATCTCAGTACCATAGTAGGCTGAGTGCTACACATCTTCTCGCGCTCTAACTGAAACATTCGCCGGCCTTACATATATATCCGGTTACAGGTACTATCAGCGATGCTAGATAGCACTCGAAATATTCTCAGTATGGTTATTCTTCTTCCTTTGACCTACATCTCATCCTCTATACAAGCCTGAGAATCAGAAAACGTCAGCAACTAAATATTCGCACCATGACCCAAGTCGCGGAGGTATACAGTTTTGTAAGCGCAAACATGGCTTCCTTTATGACTGGTCTTGGTATATCATCTATGTATGATTGTGTTATCGAGAACCATATCGATGGCAACATACTAACGAAGGCCTGTAGAATTTTCTTAATTTTGACCGCACAAGTCTGGATCTATTTCTGGAGACATAAAATTCGATCTCAGGAAAACACTCAGACCAAAGCTCTCGTATGAATGTACGTTGCATATCACAGACTAATCGCTGACAGTGCAGAACAGGTTATCTTCATCTGGTAAATATCTCTGTTATGCATGCAGTTGACGGAAAGATTGACGCTTGCATTACAGGTTAATACAAGCTGCTCAAATGTGAGTCCCTATGGAAAATGTATGTACTGGCCACTGGAAGTCTTGCTAGGGTAATTATTTCTCGGCTCTCGTGCATTCATACGATGGAGTTCGAGGATAGATCTCGTTTCCTTGGCCATTTGTTGACGTTAGTACCGTCGGTTATTCATCAAGGTGCTTTCTGCTTTCTGACAGAACGACAGAGAATGGGCGCTTTATACCGTAATAGGTGTAAGTGGGGCTTTTCTTCCTCTCGACCTAATCAAGCTCACTGTCGTTCCACAGTCCTTGACTACATCCCTTGTGCATGGCGTTTTCATATCCAGGGTTTTCAGACGTACGTGCTACTCACTTACAACCATCATGCTTCTTTCTGACGTCCACGTGAAGTTGAGAAGAGTCTCTATGGCAGACGGAGAGTATCATTCGTTTTGGTAGGTACTGCGTTTGGCTGGCTCGGAAACAGCGACTAATTGCGCCATTCAGATTGCCTTTTGTGTCACGGAGCAAGGTGCGGTAGTTTACGTTTATCCTGCGACGAATAATTGCTACTTAATCACGGAAAACAGTTTTTGGTCTTCTTAGCGCAATCTGCATGTAGGTCAAATTTCATCACCCCGTCAGGCATTTCTCAAATACGGAAACAGCTTCCAACTACGTGATGATCCTAACTATAATGTCACGGTTATTGTAAGTTCGTTCTACCTTTGATCGGGATGTAACTCACAAGGACGGAGTGGTCAATTTCGATTTCGCTTGGTTGTTCGGCGATCAATGATGTTCTTATCGCTGCAACTTTGGCTTATATTCTCCACAAACACAGGACTACATCGCCAAGGTGATTATTTAGTTCGAGTATGAATTTAACCTCTGTGATGGACCGTCTCGGTATTCAGAACGAACCAAATGATCACGAAACTCATCATATTCTGCTCGCAAACGGGTTTGATAACAACGCAAGTTCCTTGGTATTGACATATGATAGGTATGTACTCACTGTTTCCGGTGCAGCGTGGCGGCATCCATCACTGTGGGACTTGTGAGTGCTTCATTTCATGCGTTAACCATGGCTCTGACCAAGATGCAGTGGGCAGTTGGCCGTTTCGAGATTAACCATCTATATGAGTTTTCCTATTGGAGGCTGTGAGAGTCTTGTTGTCATCAACTCGGGTATACGGAATGTTCTGACGCCCTGGCTTGACAGTATATGCCACATGTCTTCTCGCCAAGTGAGTCGTTCTCAGCGGTAATAGAAGAGACTACTGATATCTTGTTCAGCTTCATCGCTCGGGAATCCTACCTGCAGCCACAAACAGTCCATGAATCCGGGATTTCTGAAATAAGTTTTACAGGTTTCGCGCAGGTGATTCATGTTGACTTACCGGGCAATCACTCCGGGCATCAGGAAACATTGATGATGCAAGGAGGAACTGATTCCTCGAAAGATTCCTCGAAAGCGTCCTGCTGTTGAGTAGAATGACTAAAATCCACCATCTCGGTTTTGTCGTAATTGTCTGGAGTTAAGTTGTCATCGTAAGTAGTATGTGTCCAGAAGCTGCTCAATTTCCACTGTATATTTACATTCATCGGCCGTAGTCAGACCATAATCAGAAGGAATACAGATAATTTATTCTTCAAAATGCCTCTGTCCTTCTCTACTACGAGACTTATTTTGGTTCGAATGCCGCCGTGCACAAATCCTACTTGATGGATAGTTGATGATAAGTAGATCGGATGTCTATATGAGAATGTTCGCACAACCACAATTCAAACTTCACGACTTTGACGGGACAGCTCACATAGCATTGGAAGACGTGTCTGCTGGAGTCGATATGGTCGGTGAATATTTGAATCATGATGTTCAGCGCCGGATCTCACGCGCATGATTGAACTTCTTGGCCAGTGAATTCTACTTCTTTGGAGGTATGAATCATTACAGTAGCTGGTGGTCGTGAGCGAGTATAAAAAGGTTATCGGCCATGGCCTTCCGCAAATCCGCTCGGGGCTGTCACTCGGTCATAGACGGGCTGGACACGAGTCTAGTCATTCGGAGTCGTGGTAGTGATGCACAGCCACAATTCACTACTAGCGCTGACAAATGTTACAAAAATGGTTAACGAAGTTCCGAACAACTCAAATTGATTGGCCCATCAGTGGTTCCAGCCTCTCACTGGATCTCTGAGATCTCAGTACTCAGTGCTGAGCGCTACGCTCACATCTTCTTGCGCTCTAGCGGAAACATCCACCGGCCTTAGTACATATCCAATTACCGGTACTATTGGCGATGCTAGATAACACTCAAATATACTGTATAGTTACTCTTCTTCCTACTACATCTCATCCTCTATACAAGCCTGAGAATCAGAAAACATCGGCAACTACATTCACGCCATGACCCAAGTCGCTTCGGCATACAATTTCGCTAGCGGAAACATGGCTTCTTTGATGACTGGTTTTGGTATATCATCTATGTATGATTGTGTCATCGAGGACGGAAATATACTAACGAAGGCCCATAGAGTTTTCTTGATTTTCACTGCACAAGTCTGGATCTATTTCTGGAGACATGGAATTCGATCTCGGGAAAACAGGCAGAGCAAAACTCTCGTACGGATGTATGTCACATATTACAGACTAATCGCTGACGGTGCAGAACAGGTTGCCTTCATCTGGTAAATATATCTAATGATGCATGTTATGCATGCAGCAGTTGGCGGAAAGACTGACGTCGTGTTCCAGGTTAATGCAAGCGGCTCAACTGTGAGTCACTATGGAAAATATATGTACAGGCTATTGGAAGTCTTGCTAGGGCAATTACTACTCACATCTCGTCCGTTCATATGATGGAGTTCGAGGATATACCCTGTTTCATTGGCCATATGTCGACGTAGGTATCGTCAGTGACTCATTAAGGCGCTTTCTGACAGAACGGCAGAGAATTGGCGCTTTACACCGGACTGGGTGTAAGTGGCGCTTTACTTCCACTGGTCTCGACCTAATCAAGCTCACTGTCGTTCCACAGTCCTTGACCACGTCCCTTGTACACGGCATTTTTATATGTAGGATTTTCAGACGTACGTGCTACTAACTCACTACTGTCATGCTTCTTTCTGATACGTACTTGAAGTTGAGAAGTGTCTCTATGGCAGACGGAGAATGACATTCGTTCTGGTAGGCACTGCGTTTCACTGCCTTGAAAACAACGACTAATTGCGTCAATCAGGTTGCATTCTGCGTCATGGAGCAAGGTGCGGTAGTTCATCCTGCAACGAATAATTACTTAATCACGGAAAATAGTTTTTGGTCTTATTAGTGCAATCTACATGTAAGGCCAATTTCATCAGTGTCGCCCTGTCAAGCGTTTCTCAAATACGGGAAACAGCTTCAAACTACGTAGTAATCCTAACTACGGTGCCATGGTTATTGTAAGTTTGTTCTACCTTTGATCATGATGCAACTCACAAGGATGAAGTGGTCTACTGCGATCTCGCTTGGTTGTTCAGTAATCAATGATGTTCTTATCGCTGGAACTTTGGCCTATATTCTCCACAAACACAGGACTACATCGCCAAGGTGATTAATTAGTTCGAGTATGAATTTAACCTCTATGATTGACCGTCTCGGTGTTCAGAACGAACCAAATGATCACGAAACTCATCATATTCTGCTCGCAAACGGGTTTGATTACAACGCAAGTTCCTTGGTATTAACACATGACGGTTATGTACTCACTGCTTCCGGTGTAGCGTGGCGGCATCCATCACTATAGGACTTGTGAGTGCTCCATCTGTGCGTTAACCATGGCTCTGACCAAGATGCAGTGGGCAGTTTGCCGTTTCGATATTGGCCACCTATATATGTGTTTTTCCTATTGGAGGCTGTGAGAGTCTTGTTGTTATCAACTCTAGTACACGAAATGCTGACATCCTGGCTTGACAGTATATGCCACATGTCTTCTCGCCAAGTGAGTCGTTCTCAGCGGTAATAGAAGAGACTACTGATATCTTGTTCAGCTTCATCGCTCGGGAATCCTACCTGCAGCCACAAACAACCCACCAAACCGGGATTTCTGAAATCAGTTTTACAAGTTTCGCGCAGGTGATTCATGTAGGCTTATCAGACAATCACTCCGGGCATCAGGAAACATTGGTAATGCAAGGAAAAACAGATTCCTCGAAAGATTCCTCGAAAGCGTCCTCCTGTTGAGTTGAGTTGCTATAATCCACCATCTCGGTGTTGTCGTAATTGCCTAGAGTTAAGTTGTCGTCGTTAGTATATGTGTCCAGAAGCTGCTCAATATCCACTGTATTTACATTCATCGGCCGTAGTCGGACCATTAATATTAGAAGGAATACAGATCGTTTATTTTCAGAATGCCTCCGCCCTTCTCTACTATGAGACTTGTTTTGGTTCGAATGCACAAATCCTGCTTGATGGAGAGTTGACGACAGTCACGGCGGTTGTCTATATATAGAGAATGTTCACACAGCCATAATTCAAACTTCACGACTTCCGAGTCAATGAGGCTTCGACGGAACGGCTCATAACCTCTCGTGACCTGCTCGCCATGGTGTCGTTTGCACGGTATCGTTTAACCGCGGGTGTCGGGCCCGAAGATGATCTAGTGATACTGATAGTAGATGTTTCTTGTATTTCAGTCACCGGCCGTTCCTGTTACCGGTAGTAGCGGGATATGACAGACAGCACTCAGAAATATACTGTAAAATGAATCACTCTTCTTCGTTTTATCCCAACCTACATCTCATCCTCGAGCTCCCCAGAATCTGAATTCCATGGCTACGGCAGCATACAGCGAAAGCATGGCGTCCCTGATGACTGGTCTCGGTATATCATCGATGTAGGATTGTTTCATCGAGAACCATATGAGCGACCGTCTGATAACGGACGATAGTGTTTTCTTGATTTTGACTGCGCAAGTCTGGATCTATTTCAGAAGACATACCATTCGGTCTCGAGAAAACTGGCAGAGGAAACTTCTGGTATGGATTAGATCACATACTATCACCGACTGGCAGCTGATAACGCAGCACAGGTTGCCATCATCTGGTAAATATCTCCAATTGTGCACTTGACAGTGAGGACTGACGTCACTTTATAGGTTGATGCAAGCTGCTCAAATGTGAGTTCCTATTGAAAGTATGTTTGCGTGACACTGGAATTCCCGCTAGGGGAATCACTTCTCGGATCGTGAGCGTTCGTTCAACGGATTTCGAGGATTTCGCCCGATTCATTGGCCGTAACTCGACGTCAGTATCACCTGTGACTCATCGATATTCTTTCTGACTGAATGACAGAGAATGGGCGATTTACACTGGAATATGTGTTAGTGGAGCTTTCTTCCCCTGGTCCTGACTTTAAGCTTACTGTCGGTTCACAGACCTTTCACAACATCTCTTGTGCATGCCGTTTTCATCTGTCGGGTTTGCAGTCGTACGTGTCACTAAGATGCCACTATCGTGCTTCTCTCTAATGCGCGCATGAAGTTGAGAAGAGTCTCTGTGATAAACGGAGAATGTACATTTGTTCTGGTAGGGACTGCATTGAGCTTCCTCAGAAAAGGTGACTAATTGCACTAATCAGATTGCATTTTGTGTAATGGAGCAAGGTACAGTAATTTATCCTGCAACGGAGAGTTGCTTCTTAATCAAGGGAAATAGTTTTTGGCATTCTCAAGACTATCTGCATGGTGTAGGTCTGATTCCCAATGTTGCGCTGTTAAGCATTTATCAACACGGGAGACAGCTTCAAAATAAGTGATTATACTTACTACACAATGGCTCTTGTAAGTTCGTTCTTCTGTTGATCGGGATGTAACTCACGAGGATTAAGTGGGCTCCCCCGATCTCAATTGGTTGTTCGGCAATCGGTGACATTCTCATCGCTGGTACTTTGGTCTATATTCTTCACCGTAATAGAACTGAATCACCAAGGTGATTAATGAGTTCAAGCACCAAATGTGCACCAAATTCACCTTGATGATTAGAACCAACCGAATGATCACGAAAATCATAATATTTTGCTCACAGACGGGCTTGGTAACAAGGTTAGTCCATTAACACTGATAATGAGCGTATGCTTACTCCTTGCGTAGCGTGGCGGCATTCAGTGCTCTTGGAATTGTATGCTTTTATCTATCTCACTCGTAAATCATTGCTCTAACAAAGATGCAGTGGGCAGTCTTCAGTTTCGTTATCAAACATCTGTATATGTGTTTTCCTATGGGATGCTGTGAGAATCTTGTTTTTATCGCTAGAGTACATGGAATGTTCTGACTTCCTAGCATGATAGTATATGCTACATGTCTTCTCGCTAAGTGAGTCGCCCTCAGCGGTAACAAAGCAGGACACTGACTGATAGCTCATTCAGCTTCATTGCCCGGGAGTCCTACCTGCAGCCACAGACAGTCCACGAACTCGAGATCTCCAAAATCAGTTGGGCACATTTCACAAAGGACTTGAGTTCAAATTCGTCTTCAGACACAAAATCGGGGCAGCAGGAGACATTGACAATGGAAGAAGGCAGAAGTTCCGACTCCTGCATACCGAAAGCGTTTTTAAAATAAATTAGGTTTTGGTTAGTGTTCCTTACATCTATACACAATACACGAGAGTATCACGTCAAACCATTTGTAGCCTTGAATACTTCATTGTTGAAATAAAAGGGCCTTTCCATCGAATCTAAGGGGAAAGGGGGGGGGTTCTTCGCGTAGGAACTGAGCTCGACGATTGCACGACCGGGTTAGAAGGATCGTGATTCTGAACACGCCAAAACCGTTGTGACCGTTTTCGCTCCAATAACAGGTCCTCAGGCGAAAACATCCATTTCATGCACGCTAGTTTCCTTTCGATGCACACGATTGAAATCACAACAATAGTTATACCAAAAGAGTCGCGCACGCCGTCGATGAGCGCGATTTGGGGTCCTTCGGTATTTCTACTGGCTGGGATGTAAGGTTGTCCTTTCCTTTCGTAAGTAAGTTCCAGGATATCATAATGTTGTGCATCCAATAGTGACATCGTGGCGAGATGGTATACGGGCCATCTGGAGGAGTATGCTGCGAAGGCAGTAAGTCTGTGTAATCATTGATCAGCACTTAAGTGCGTAGGCATCGAAATATTCCTGCAATATCCATTGCAAAGAACAGGTTATCGTTAGAGTGAGGACGCCGGACCGCCCGCAGCCGTCCACGTGACCGCGTTAGAAAAAAACGTGACTTGAACGCAACGTGTCACGCGTTTGTCACGGAGTGTTGGTTTGAGTGGACTTTGGAGGACTGCTGCTGTTCTTCACTCTTGACTTTGTACCACGATGAGCCGTCCGAGATACAGCGTTCTCAACCTCTTTGATCCGCTCAATGCGACTCCAAGGAGCGAAGTCACAACGCCAGACTCACTCTCTGGATCTGACAAGGAAAATTCTGAGCCAAACTACGAATCCTACTATGAATCCGACAGGCTCACGATGACGGCATTCTTCAAACCGTACTTACAAGACGAAAAGCAAGCACTATTCTCCAGTAGTTCTCAAAACTCGTCTAGTTGATGTCGGTGACATGACTATCATGGATGAAACCGCTGATCTTCTTAATGGGCTCACTATCGAAGAAGAGCCTGAGGATGACATCGATAATGCGTCGCTTGTTCATGAAAGTATGGACTTAGATGAACAAGACTCGCTGGCCACGCCGATGAACAGTCCTCAGAGACAGACGCACAATCGCTACAATTCCGCGCAAACACCACTGCCAGAACAGACTCCTACTCCTCATATTCAGCGCACCCCTCTTGCTGATATCTCTATGGATGCCACACCCGTTCCGCGCAAAGTAGTAAAGCTCGCCCTAACTTCCCCCGAAGCTCCAAATTCTGGCGTGGAACGTTACTCCTCACCAGTGACAGCGGTCCGCGCAAGTCACGCTACCTTGGCACCGACTGGCTCACCACTAGCTTCTGTGATCAATGCAATCAACTTCACAGATCAAAATGTGCCATCGGTAGGGCGCATTCCTGAACATGCCACTCCTACCATCGTCGTATCGAGAGAAGGAAACTTAGGTTCATCTACGGCACAACTGTCACCGTCACCGTCGACTGCTCTCCTCACGCACACACACCTCTCAGAATTAACGCTGACTTCATCTGACGCGCCATTGTCGCCTCCTTCCAAAGATCAGACCCAGTCATCTCCTTCGCACGACACATTAACTGTCCCACCCGCACGTCCCCGTTTACGTGCTCGAGCAAGCACAACATCTTCGCCATCATTTAATCCGCGCAGAAACTCTGTGGATCTTCACTCTTCGTTCAACCTCCAACTAAATTGCCCTGACGCGTCTTTCGATCTTCTAAATGACAGGATCTCATTCTTCGGCGGTGATGCTTTTGCGATTGACACCGATGATTTCGACATGCAAGCCGAGGAAGAGATAATGGAGGCCCTCGCCAAACGAATCAGGGAGAAGAACGCAGTGACTACGCTTGCAGACGTTGCTGGCTCTCCAGGTGGGCGGTGTTCTCTTGTTCGACGTATTTGATATTAAAACACCGCTATTTATAGCAGCCACAATCTGGGTCTAGTCCAACACCACAACCATCACCTCCGGTTGTTGTTGCGAATGGTGCGTTCGTACCTTTGAAATATTCTTCCCTTTTTCATGGCATTGTATCAGCTCCCCCTGCAGCCGCTGAGATTGACGACAAGACGGAGCAGCTTGTCTCCGGGAATGAAATTGTCGTCGCCCTCCCTCCGACCACCCATTGTTACTGCACCCGGGGATGAAGTCTCTGAGTCGCTGAAGGCGTCTGCACCTTTATCCCCGATCCATTCTCCTTCAGCGCCAACAGTGACACCACCGAGGATTTCACAGGCACTCGTTGCACCAGTTCCCGCAGCTCCAGTACATGCGCTTCGCATCGTGAAGCGGTCCAAAGCACATGACAGGTCAACTTCCCTGTCTAGTGCGAGCTCGTCGTCTGCTGGAAGTAGTGCAGAGGAGCAGGTGGCACCGACTGTGTTTCCCGCCCCGATCCACAAACCAATACTAACGGGTGTGCGCCGCCCCCCTCCGGGGCTGATGCCTGCCGACCTTAAGGCGAGTATGTTTTGCAAGCCTGAAGAGGGTGCGCACCCTACACTGGGTATGAAGGGCAAACTCACAAGCGTCCTCGGTCTGCGCACAAAAGCTACCGAGCCTCCCCGTTCACCCGTTGAGACGTACATGCCCTCCCGACCTGCACAGACAATAAAACTACCCAGCGGGACCCTCAAATCAAGGTTGTTGAAGCCTACCGCGTCATCGCTTAGCAAGGCTCCGCCAGTGAAGATACCGACCGCATCTAATACCACTGCTGCATCAAATAGCCTTGCGCCCGCCATCGCGCTTTGCGACTGTGGGCATGGCCTCGGGGCTGCCCCGTCCCACCGGCGGAGCGCTACCTTCATCCAGACTTCCTGCGCCCGTCATTAGCGCGCAGAAGTCAAAATTACCCAGCATGACCTCAAGTTCAAGCACGATCGGGAGGAGTGCCACTATCCGGAGGGTTTGAAAGATAATGAAAACGAAAACGAAGAAAGGGGACGACGCGCATGGAATGGAATTTCACGTATGTCAAGCATGTTATCGTTGCATTTGTTCTTTGCGGCATTTTTTTCCCTTTTATTTTTGGTCTCTCGCTTTGTTCTGTATATGCCTCGTTATTTTATGTCACTCACAATGCATGCACATCAGGAGTTGTAGATACGCATCTTAGCATAGTAGTTATGGTTATGTAGGCGTTCGCTACAGTTTAGAAAACATGGCTCATGGACTTTCTCAGTTTTGGATGACTGTATTAACATTGTAGCCAAAGGTTCGCTGTAGTTATGTAACACCCAAACCCGAACCAGCCTGGCCCCCGGTGTATAAGAGCCAATGCAAGAGTGTTAACTTACTTTCTAGCTCAACACTAGTTACAGCGTCTAACGAGTGCTAATATACTCTCCTGCTCGACTCTAGAGTCGTTGGCAGGGTTAGCACGGACTATGTCGCTGTACGAGCGAATGGGTCCAGATGCCAGACGGAGTCCTAATGTTTCCGGTCATGAGTCGAGGACCGCCCAACCAAAGGCAGAGGGCACTTAACAGAGTCGAGCAGCGTAGCCGCGACAGCGCTGGGGCCCTCCACCGGACTCCGGAGGTCGAGCGCCAGATAGTAGATTAACAAGATGATTTCCGAACGCATCTCTTGACAACTAATGACTCTAGCGCGGGTGCGCGAGCGTATGTTGTAATGGAGGGCGTTAGACATTTTATGGGATTTATGTGTCTCACTGTCGAATAACCTGGTGGGCCAGACCAATATTTGACTCCGAGGTGACAAAAAGATCATTTTCATGTAAAAGAAGGGAAGATTAATAAATATGTGACGGCAGATAGAAGTTATTTAGACTTTAGATGGCGGCACAATATATCTCGCAACCAGATAACAGCCTAGTTTATGAAAATCCAAGGGACAGATATGAGTGGTTCAGTAGGTAGGGTGCCCGTGATGATCTAAATGAAAATATTGAAGCCAACCGTTGGGAACTTCCATGACTCTTATGGCGGTCGCTTCCCGAGTCGCTTCTCGATCAAGACCCATCAAGGCACTGTCACACAACCCTCTCCCAAGAAAGTAACCATACTATTGGCCAGAGCACACGAACAAGAACTACCACACCAGTGAGTTATTTAGTTAAATACAAACTGCTCATACTCACACAATCCGGCTTATCAGAGCAGCACTCATTTGAATGTGTGCAGAAAAATGGGCAGTCGCTGGCAGCATCGGTGGCAGATATTAAAGCAACAACAACGGCGAGGACAAAGGCGAAACGCATTGTTCGTAAGGATGTGATACTAGCATGTGCTCAGATGAATCTGAAGGGGAAACTGGGAAGACGCCTTGACTTTACGAGCTGAATACTGTTTGTTATGTAGGAGAACTAAGTCCACCTGAATCCCCTTTCGAGCTAACATATCCAGCGGATTGCCACATAAGATCTACATTGTGAGGGTCTGTTGGCAATTAGGCGTGGAACGAGATATCACATACTGGAGCAAGGTCAATGCCAGCATAGTATTGCCACCTAATAAGGTCTGTCTTGTGAAGCAATGTTAGCCGGCAGCGATTTGGCGTGGAACAGGATATCTCCTTGCGAAGCCAACTCGCAACAAGAACTGATGAGCTAAGTTCAGCTTGTTGTTTGGAGTGGAGACAACATGTTGAAAATTTGAATGCAATAAATCTGTGTGATGTAGCAGTCCATCGGGGCGTATTATTAGCTATTTTGACGTGTCATTGACGCGGAGCCATGACGTGGCCACTGGAGTACTGAGGCGCAAGTGCAAGCGTGACGTTTCACGCGCGCAATATCTTCTTCAGCTGGCATTCAAGTTTCAGGTGGAGTGCGCAGTGATGCCAGTTCTATGTGTGACAAGAACCGTTGCAACAATAAAGAGTCACGGAAGCATTGCTCACATAAAGCATGTGAAGGCCGAGTGGTCTGCACGGAGGCCCGAAGACAGGCTATTATAATACCTGTTCTACTTGTCAAATTTGAGTTCTCAAAGAGCATCAGTCAATCGGCGCACCTGGGCGGTCATATATACATAGCAGAGGATGAGGTTCCCGGCACCCAGCTGTTGATCTGGATGAACTCCGCGTTGCCACCTTCAGAATGCCTGGTATATGGTTTTATTACTGCCTATGGGCAACTACAGTGTACGTATAATTCTGTTAGGACGAAAGGAGACATTGTTAGACAGATTGAAAATATACTGAGTTGAGGTGCTCACGCGCACGGTGAGGTTCGACTTGCTGACGCGGACTATGCACCTGCCCAAAAGGGCAAAACCAAACATCTGAAGACGCAGAGGCTTAGCTTCATGCTCCATGCTTCAAGACGTGTGTCTTATCATATACCTTTAAGCTTAAATATGACAGTATAACATGCCCGATTTTGGAACGTGTCTAGGTTGCGTTCCGGATCCTATAGACGGAGCTGTGTTGGTGGATAGACTCAATGCACAGGATCGATAGCCGGGCGATAGGAGATATTGACGATATCGATCTACATGGTCGGTTCCACATGCTGTAGCTCCACAGGACCCACGAAACCGAAAACAAATGTCAATTTCCTATCACCGTTGGTATGTGTCAGGGGAAGTCAACACGCGAGGGCCGCGGGATAGTGATCCCTGCTGGTGGATCCCAGACACCAAATTCCTTCTTCATTTCGTCCAGATCCTGTCCCCATCTCTCCTCCCAATACACTGTAAGCAAGCACCTCGCATGACTCCCGCATCTCGCAGCCCATGGGACAAATTCCCCCCAAAGTCGGGCCCGCTGATGTGGCTTAAGTCTTATTGAGGCTCCAAGGGACAATGCAGTCATGGGGAAGCCTAGATTCGTAAACTCAAAAGCTTTGAGTGCAAGCTCGGGAAGAGCCGAGACTTTAAATCCAAAGAGGGCGTGATAGAAGTCGTGCGTCTCGCGATAGCGCTGCATGACATATGCTAGCTCTGGGTCATCAATATAGTGTACCTGGGTCCTCAATGGTGAGTATCTGGTATGAATAGCCAGAAAAAAGTGACCCCACGGGCTCTCGAGAATCGGGTGTGACTTTGCAAGTATCAAGCCACCCCACATAAGCACGTCCAAAGGTGTTCTCTGGAAGGGACCCCAGCTTCTTCAGGTCCAAGGTCTGCGAATTGATACGTGGCATTTCTTTGAGAATGCGCCGACCCTCTGGAGACTCCAGCATTATATCCCTCAACTTTACCAGAGTTGACCCAGCAGTGGTTTCTCCGCAAGCTGCAACCATGTCTAAATGAACTTGTCAGTGAAATGCACCCACTATAAAAGATCAGGAAGTGCTTGCCCGCGCGACGAGTATCTATGAGAGACATGAGTGCAGAGCCAACTGCGAGAAATCCATTTTCAAATGGGGTCAGTGGTACATGGCCAGAGTACGCTGGTTGAAGTCGTGGATTAGTGTGAACAGAGCGTGATTTTCTGTTGGTAGCATAGGATGAAAACCTAGGCGAAGCCGCCAGTGCGACGAAGGAGCGAGCTTGGCTCATGTTGATTACACCGTCCCATCTATGTATTCCACGATACGAACCATACATTGGGTTCATTCGTGAGTAAGCCCTGATGCGCATTATCGGAGGAAGGGAAGTACAAATCACTGACATGTCGAAGTTAGTGCCAGTGTTTGGTTGGTTGACGAGCCGACGAGCCGCCACTGTGGGTTCGTTGAAAAGGGGACCCTAACCCTAGAACTGGGTTATGCCCGAAATGGGGATCATTGAAACTTTGAAGTGGACCAAACCACACTGGCCTGAGTGTCCACCAACTTCAAAAGCGTCCACATCCACAAAAGCGTCGAAGATCCACATCTAGCGCGTATAAAACACCACCGATTATTCTTCATGGAGTACATCACTAGCTTCCTCTTTCCCTGCTTTTCTCTGTGCCCCCCGCTTTCACTTTTGTCAGTTAATTATGTCGAGCTCAGAATCAACTACTGTCACGAGCGTCGATGTATTCGACGACTCCAAGGCAGACACTCGCAGATACGGCACCTTCCTCCCCTCTCAAATTGTAGAGGGGATGTCATTCCTGTATCTCGATGAGGAGGATACCGATGACGATGCAAGCCTTTACACCGATTTCGTATCCTCATGGGAATTTCCTTCTGGACCCGTGGAATGTGCTGCAGACCCCAAGCCCAGCGATTCCGTTCTGTCTGAGGCTCAGGAACTCGTCAAGAAATATCGAGAGCATCCCGATGGAGTATCTGAGGCCCAGAAAGTCATCCAGGAATACTTACAACAGCATGAGAGAATTGAGGACCAAGGAACTGGATATGTCTGCCCCCTCAACACTGCCAAGGAACTTCCAATTACTCCTAACAACAGGGATTCGACATACACCCATACCGTAACTGACGACGGACAATCCACTATTGATCTTGAGAAGCGTCCCGAGCCGGAGATTCGTCTGTTTCATCATGACCCGGAAGGCGTAGCGCAGGCGGTGAGCACTACTCGCACCCCATGTTGCTTCATACTGATGTTTGTACAGCAGCTTCAGGGATTGGAAATGGTCCAGACTGGTCACTGCACTCCTGGAGGCATGATCCGTTGTCAACGTCCTGGATGCACTAATGTCCTTCGCGATCTCGATGCGCTTAAATTTCATTTGCACATCCACAACATCGGCGATATGTCTGATGTCATCAGTGTTTTGTCTGCGCACACGGAAAAGGAACCTGGACACTCTTCCACGGAGTCTTCACCACTTAATAAACCCTCGAGAAAGGTTCGCGATCGATCCAAATCGGTTATGGACATGGACGCCACATCGGACCACTCATGCGACACACACCCAACGCGAAAGGTCTATGCGAAGGACCCTTATTCACCCCCTCGCAGTCGAAAGCCCAGTGCCACTCATATTAAATCGAGTACATCGCCTACGCGAACGAAGCTGCTCGATGCATCGACGCCCCAAACACGTGGGCGACGCAGCAATAGGAGCACCATTCGCAGCGGACTCGATGAGGCCGCGTATCATGACAGCATTGCGATGGTCCTTTCCCGCCCTGCATCGCCTGTACAAGGCGCTCAAGAAGCTTTGGGTTCCGACATCAACCTGCCTGTTAATTTTGTGACTAAAAGCAGTGTGCTTTCCCCTCCTGCGAGTCCGACTCTCGGAGGAAAGGAATTGTCTCGTGCCACGAGCCCCAAACGAGCGTTCAGCCCGGTTAGAGCTCTCAGTCCCGTCCGAGGCATGTCTTGTTCTTGCTTTCTTTCTGTTCGACCAGCTAATGTTTTGATGTCTCACAGACCGTCTTCGACAAGTGCTTTCATTCGGATGCTTGAATGAGTGCAACGAATAGTTCATATAAGATACATTTGGTTCTTCAACTCGTCTCCAATTGTTTGTACCATAGTTGTTAGAAGTGGGTGCCGCTGCGCGGCTCCCAGACTGCTTCTAGACTAATAGCCAAATATCTAACTTTCTGGTTCAATTCATCGATTCTATTGTAATTGTTCTTATTGATTCGAAATGAGTTGGGTGAAAAGCAAAACAGAGCAAGATCTGCCGAAGGTCGCCGGTTGAGAACATCAGTGACGCTTAAATCGACCCTGGCTCAGTGCATCAACGCCTAGCTTAGTAAAACAGACGGTAATTGGGTGTCCGCAGACAGAGAATCATTAATAGATAACAAATATGGACTCGTAAACGACCCAGTATAATCTTACAGTACGAATTATCCAAACGGGAAGATTTTTTGAAGCCTAGGTTGCCTTTCCGGCTTGCACCGCGCAAGTCCTTGAACAGTAAGGATGCTTGCCGTACTTTGGTTTGCTGCGACAATGCTAAAGAATGTCTCAGTCAGAACGACAAGACCGTCGGCCAGAAACGTAAACTAACGTTGCACATGGTCGCTGCTTGTTTAGCGCATGTCCTACCACAGTAAGGATGGTGTTGATATTTCGGTTTCAGCTGGCAAAACTACAAAAAGTTAGAGAAGCGTGAAGTCAAGGACAACATCAATGAACCTCGCAAAGGCCAGTGTCAAGAGGAGACGCTGACTGCGGACTGACTGCCATGCCTGTGGGAACAATGGAGAAACGCTGAGGCGCTTGGAATTGAGGTTGAGGTAGTACTGCTGAGGGCGGGTTGATTCCCATACTTATGGAAACAACGGAGCGGCGTTGCGATGCTTGGATCGGAGGTTGGGGCGCTGCCGCCACAACCAGCGACGATAGGTCTTGCAACGAAAATCGAGACGTGTCGCGCTTGACCGGGGGCACCCTACTTGGTTTGTTATCGTGCCCTTTACGTCGGTTGGTAATTAAATATTTCCGGTAGTTCGTGAATGGTACTTACGAAGCTCATCGCGTACTCTCTCGAGTGCTTTTCCCAGCTCATTGCGTCCAGAGCCATCAACACCTATCCCCCAAAAGAAGTCCTTTGGGGAGTCCTATCCACGAGATCAGAGATCGAAAGAAATCCCCATAATCACCTAATTTTACCTCAACTAGCTCAGCATCACCAGTGCCAAGAAGCAAGGCCTTTAGATCTTTATGCTGAGTGAACTTGAGCCGAAGTGTGACTTCCATCTGTGGGTCAGGACAAAGATAGTCCTTGTCAGGTACTGACAGTCAGGAAACATCCGAATTACCTTCTCAACGTTTACTTGTCTCCAATCGGATCGAACCCATTTCTGGTGACGATGAGCTTCGTCGAACACGGCGCTTGGCCTGTCCCCACACTTGCGGATGTGCTCCGCGATGGCTGGCTGGGAGTCCAAAAACTGTTTCACCGTATCCAAGAGTGTCAGAAGACATCGAGAAATTGATCACTTTGACCAACTTTGAAAGATTGAAAAAGATGCTCGCTGGTTGGGTATCTCTTCCCAGCGTAGACAACGTCGTGCGGCGAGAAATTCGTGAATTCGTAGTAAGGTTCATTTTTGTTGTAAAACAAAATGCGTTCCCTTCTTTGAAAGGGCGCTACTGATGACCCCACGGGTTCCGGTGGAGCGGTGAGCGGAGGATAGTAAGCTTCTGGTTCTCCGTCTTCCTGCACACCAGTTGAAGGCAGCTTCAGGCTTGGTACATGCCGAGAGTAACTTCAACATCGCGATAATGTGGACAATTAAGATGCTTACTTCGATGGCGCTGAGGAATATTGGGTAGCGGGTCGAGCCCGACGCGTGGTAGATATTGACTGTGGCGTATCTGAAGGAGAATTGAGACCGAATATGCTAACAAGTTTCATGATCATGCGATTGTCTAGCATTCCAAGCAGGACAACAGCAACGGCAACAGCAACGGCGAAGACTGCGTAGAGTATTTTGGTAAATTCTGATGGGCGATCGAGTGAAAAGTCCAGTTAATAACTCAAGAAACCGAAACAGCTTTCCTGGTCCAGAGGTTCTTATACGGTTCCAAGAAGGCTATACAATCGGAACAGACTCGGCAGGGACGAGTATTTCGGATGGAAGTGTCTAGCCCGTAGTCAGTGGATGTCATGTATTCAAATCTGGGAGACTCCGTCGTCGATTAAGGCCGCGAGGCGCTCTGCATGGAGGAGGCATGGAAAGCGGTGAGCTTATTAAGCAGCTTCATCTTATCTGCCTTCCTTTTTTGGACTCGCTTTGCATCCACTTCTCCTCATGTTCTTGTCGTGGCTGCAGAGCATTTGCAGCATGGATACAATCTTTGAGATTGGGCAGTGATTGTGATCCACCTTTTTTACGTCTGCTCCTGAGAAACTACGGTTGCAATCATTAATGCACTTCGCATTGATTGGGTCGACACGATTCAGAGGCTCTTCATTGTGCGGGTAGACGGGTCCGATAAATTCGTTATGGCTAATGGTGCTATGCGAATAGCGTGCGGGGAGTGCACCTCAACCGCGTTGGAATACCGAGATCATATTTTATGGACATGAGTAGGGCTCGGTTTGTACTCCATCTATCTGACTTTGCTATCTATGTCAACTTCGTCTTTTGAATCCTTAAACTTGGACGAGTTCTCTTTGGAGAACCCCGTCAACTCCTCCGCAGGCCGGCGCAGCCGCTTGGTGTATTTGAGTCGTGATAGTGCTCACTTCGCCAAAGGTAGCTTGATCTTGCTCATCAGTCGGGGCTAGCTAATCCTGCTCTTTCAGTTGAAGATCTTTTCAACAAAGGATGGCGACATGGCAAGAAAGTCAGGCCACACATACAAGGAATTTTTAAGATCCTCTGGCCTGACAGCAGTCTTGAGCCATATCTACAGTACAGGTGCTGCCACAAACGCTCGGAGCGGAAATGGTGTGCACTAATCATTACTGCGTTATAGGGAGCAGGTGCAGGCCCGCGTAAGGGCTCGGAACGAGGCAGGGAACGAGAAGTTACTCTTCCACGGTACAAACAGGGCATGTCTCCTGGGAGAATCCTCGAGGAATATTCTCCTGTGTGGCCTCAACGAGTGCTATCTTTGCTCCATTTTGCGCGCATCTTTTGATGTAAAGAAATGCGGTAAGGTTTTTCTCGATCACCTTCATATCTGTGGTCTAACACTACATAGGCACGAAGAACGCTTTCAAAAGGTGAGAAAAGGATTTAGAATCTAGTACACCGTTTTGACAGTTGACATTGTAGGTTTGGGCATGGTATATATACTTCTGCTTGTTCGTCTAGTCCGTTTGTCTTCCTTTTACATCGGCGTACCCGCTCAATCGCAGCACAGAAGCTGACGATTACTCTTGCAACTTGTCACAAGATGCATGTCTCCGCACCTTGCTAGTCAATCGTGTTGTAGTTGGGAGGCCATACAAACGGTACAGGAATGCACCTGATCTCGTAAGACCTCCCGATGGTTTCGATTCCGTGAGTTCCTCGTCGTTTAATAACCATTTGCTCACATCCTCGCAGGTTACTGGTGAGATCGGCTGGGATCTGAACCATGAGGGCGAGTTTAGATTGGTTATTCATATGTGGATTTATACTTACCTTTCATATTCGATCTAGAAACCGTATGCTATACAAATGACGCTGTGCGCCCTGCATATCTTATCGTATATGGACATAAGCCCAAAGATTCGCTAAAGCCAAGCTTTAAGACCCTGATGTCAATGTTATTCAAGACACCGTTAGTCTCATGAACGAATGTTCGACTTTACTGTTACATCCATGATAAAGCATGGGGATGCTCGAGGGGAATTACTTAATTATTTATTCGAAGCAGCTACTACTGTTGTAATACTACTTTTTGTATGATTAGCACAATTTGAGGCGAATATCGCCGCAGAATGGTCGGCAAATACGATTTGATGTGGCTGTGCAATTACATGAACCATGTTCCTTTCGCATCCACCCCGCAAAACTTCTGACGTCGTGCCTTCACACTTACAGTTTGCGGGTGACGAAAGAAATTTCTTTTACCACGAGTTCAATATCGAATATCACTTGAGTAGCGACTAAACACCTTTCGGGCCTACACATCATAAGCAATATAGGACACGTCGGCTCGTCTCTGCATCGGTCGTGCGGTGCAAGACACTATTCTGGCACTGTTTAATGATAGTCTGGGCCTGAAAGCCTGACATCCATCGAACGTCCATCGATATATTCTGCGGCTGTACTTATATGAGTACCTTAGAGGAAAATGCGCGAGCTGTGCATGGTGCACCGTGCGTCAAGCCGTGCGTCCAATCGATACAACTGTCATATTACTATCCAGCCTCGCATAATCCTGCTCGCTCGGATCACGAGATCTCCGTGTCAATGTGCAGTGTCATTGATTCCAAGGTTGCACAGAGTCCACGGAGTCTCTTTTCCCTCGCGGAGAACACGCGTCAAACGCGTTTCATTGAAGAGCGATTGGCCCCTCTCCATGATGGACTCGTACTAAGTATAAAGTGTTGTTCGCCTCGAACATCACTAATCACAACTCATCCGCAGACTCAAAGCTCCTGGAGAGCCAAGTTCGTTGAGTATCTAGCCTTGATCCTAGTGTCATCTTGCTTGAGACGAGCCTGGTACCCCTGATACCGGCAAGATGAATGCCACGATCCCACCCATGCATACTGCACTTTCTGTGCTCGGCACGATGGCTGGCCAGTACATTGCCGCGCAGGGCCAAACGGCTCAGGCTAAACAGCCTGTGCCCGCCAATGCGTCTACCCAGCAGTCCACCGTGACTGCGACTCTCGCAATATGTGACGTATGTGATTTGAATGAGGTCTCTACTTCTCAAGAGTTAACGCCGTTTGCAGATTTGTAAAGTCCGACCCAAGTACTTCGACGGACAAAAGACACACTCGTACTGCGGGAAGACTTGCGCGACTACAGCACAAAACAAGCATATTCCCAACAGCAAACCTAAGCGAAACAAGACCAGCAAAGCCTCCCGCAGATTGTGCGACGTACGATGATTGGTACCCATTTAAAGATAAGGTCGACTGACATGCATCACTTCAGCATTGTCATAAGCATCCCAAGTACAACGATGGCACCACGACCCATTCGTACTGCAGCAAATCTTGCGCACAAAAAGCGAAGGCTGCAGGAACGTCGGCTGCACAACCTATACAACCAGCCAAGTCCGTTCGATCATTCTTTCATCGGGTGTTGACAGTACTTACTACTGCTTCTCGATCCAGTCCAACAACCAATGGTTGCTTGTTGTGTGGAAAGGCTGTGAAGGGCAAGGGTCACTTCTGCAGCCAGGCGTGCACCTCGAGGGCTGAGAAGAGTGCCCCAGGGCTCCTAGAAGTCCCACAAGGACACGATACATTCAAGAGCGGTAAGTAGCACTCGCATGTTAATGCGGGTGATTGATGACGTTTATGTGCTGTAGTCGCTGACCAATTTAAAACGTCGTGGAGACATCAGACTCCATGCCCGGCAGTTCGGAAGGTGCACAAAGTGATCGCGTCGCCAGCCTCCATTGCTAAATACGAGGCATATCGGTCAGTCTTCATTAACGTAGATACTGGCGTTTTGGTTGACAAGGAGCAGTGCTGCTGTTGAGAGCCGTGGCAACTTTGCTGCAGCTGGGCGTTCTGCAGGGAACGAGAATCGCCGCTGGCACGGAACGACCAGGGAATGCAATCTGGGCGATAACGGCAACTCCATGCTGTGCTCATCTCAGACATGTTCCTTGTGCTGCATTCTCAGAACGTCATACAACCTGAATCTCTTCGGCAAGAAGACTGGCTGGGGCCGGTATGTCCCCCTTTAACTAATCGATCATGGTATCTTGAATCTTAATGCGTATATTAGATTCGGTCACGGGATCTACACGTCGTCGACGTCATCGAAATCGAACGACTACTCCACGAACGTGAATCCATCGAAGTTGAAGGCGATATTGCTAAACAAAGTGGTTGTTGGCAAAGGTTACAAGATGACGCAAGACAACACCTCACTAACCGCGGCTCCAACTGGTTATGACTCCGTATGTGTCCTGCCTTTCGCCTTTTGTGCTTGCTCTCAACTGGTCTAGGTCCTCGCGGAGGTGGTGAACGGAGGATCGTTGAATTATGATGAGCTCGTGTGTTACACTAATGACGCCATCCGCCCGTCCTATATAGTCATGTACGATGCATGAGAGGAAGGGGATCCTCATCCCCTCCGCGGACAAGCACCATATTACATGTGTAATTTACTTATCTATTTCTTTTTCAACCTCATGTATTCAATAGGAACGCGTAGACTTGCGCTGGGACATATTAATGTTACGCACTATATTTTTGCATGTTATTGCCAATAGGCTAATCACTCCACTTTTCTTGTGGTGCATGGAGGCAACATGACATAGCACCGACTACCGACAAGCAAGAGAGAAGAGTATATCGTGGTATGAGCGGGGATAATGGACGCAAGGACATGCGAGCAAGGGTGGTCGTCTAACGTACTAAGACCTGATGCAAAACCGTACTGTAGCTGTAGTCTGTATATGAGTGGGATGTCCGTGGTGGATATAAAATTAGGCCGTCTGGAACAGGAACAATTCATTAGCATTGATCTCACGGCTATTCGTGAGGAGAGATGACGTACCGCTTTCTTCAAGAAAGTAACAAGGTCATTCCTGTCCTTCTCCTTCTTGAGACCAACGAAGTTCATGCTGGTTCCAGGGATGTACTGTGTAAAAATTACAAGTGCGTCAGTCGGTGATGATGCACAGAAGCTATCCGCGCCCGCGACGAACCTTTTTGGGGTTCTCAAGGTAATCGAAAAGAGTGTCCTCTCCCCATACAACGCCCTTCTTCACGTTAGCCGCCGTATACGAGAAACCCTCCACGGAACCAGTCTTGCGACCGAAAAGACTGGGAGACGTTCAGCAAAAGTCGAGGGCGGCAAGGAATACTCTTACCCATGCAAGTTGGGGCCGACCTTGTTGGGCTCGCCAGCACCGACGGTGTGGCACAAAGCACAACTTCTCTTAAAGATGGCAGCACCCTTACCAGCGTCACCTTAAACAGAAGTCAGCCTCTTCTACTCCGCCCTGCAGCAGAAACTGAGCTTACCTGAAGCGTAAGGCATTGCGAAAGTCTATGATGTGAAGAAAGAGAAGAGGATTAATTACGCGAGCGAAGCCTTGAAGGCAAGTGGAGACGATGATGAACCGGTGGATACTTTTGGTCTTTGAAACTTTTTCGCCTCAAAAATGATTTGAGCCCGATCGAGCCGAAGGTCCGCCGGTTTTCCCCGATGCAACGCTGGCCAATCAACATCGTACCATTTCGGAGACGGAACGGAAGCATACTCGGCCCCTCAAATGCTTAGCGCTCCAGTGGTCAATCACAACATAATATCTATTTTACACACTGTCACATATGTACTAGAACCACATACAGTACAGCAGTCACTATTGTTCATGATACAGAACAGACACTCAGTAGATCGTAACTAGTTATGGTGGTAATGCCTCGGCGGTGCTCAAAGTTACTCGCCAGAACTGTGTACCTATATAGCGGCCGCAACTCGGATAACCATCGGATGGCGAATACTGCGGGCCGATTGCCAAACAAGCCAGGTAATCACAAGCATACCAAAGGTCAAGGTGAGGCTAATGAACGTGGTCAGTTAATAGTCCAAGATGATCTCGGCATACGCACATCTGGACAACTGCAAGGGCTAAAATTGCACATCAGTTTTTGGATATCCCTCGCGTGACAGCTTACTAACCAAAGAGCATCTGCAATTGACCGCAATACACCACTCCATCGCATGATCCATTCATGAACATGCGAGGAAGCGACTTGTTGAACAGACCTGCACCGGCAACCCAGAATACCCATGTCACGAGTACCCAGATTGCCTGTGTACCTACAGACGCAATTGGATGTCTGGACCACAAGGGATCGAGGAAGAACAAAGTATATGTGCCTGAAGTCACAGTTGTCCAACAGGCTGAAAACCTGTTTGACTGCATGCTCAATTGCATATAACTTCAAATCGCGAAACAAACGCACAAGAGAAACCGTACACCACTGCGAGTAGTAGGATCAGGTGCGTTGTTGTTGAAGCGAAATTGCAGCAACAACCAAGTGGCATCTGCAACCTATTATAATAGAGGTCATGCATGTTTCTGTACGAGAATTAGATCATTATTCTCACCTCTGCCAAGCTAACAGCCAACAAGAATACATACACGACTAGGTAAGACAAAGTCAAGGTGCGTCAACAACGAGGCAGCAAGACATGAGGATAAAACACCAACGTGGACCGTACTGCTGAACTCGCGCCCCAGATATCTTATTGATAGACCTTGGGTGCCGCTTTGAATGCCGATACAGAAGATAGAGTGGGCAGAAGTATATTAAAGCAAGCATGGGTGTCACCGCAGCTATGACACTCGAGATAGCACTCGTATATATTCTTGAGCTGCTGACTGCATCGGGGGCACTGGAGACTGTCGGGGAGCTTTGTAGTGCGAAAGAACCACAGACGAGAGCACCAAGGATGCAGATTGATGAGGCAAAGGGAAGCATTTCGACCAGCTAGACGCGTAACATTGGTGTTCAAGTTTAGCTAGCTAAAGAACGGACCCGACATACCGAAAGTGTTTGTTTACGGCCGAGTGTAGGTCTTTTTGCAACCGGTAAAGTAGCTGTTGAAGTCCACCTGAATGGCCAATCTGGTAGAGGAAAGAAGACAAGGAGCGATGTAGCCTTGAAACGACGAGCCCTCATCGTCTACTTGCAAGGGTGTTGCGGAAGAAGCGTAGACATGCTGATTGAGCATGCAGAAAACGTGTTTTCCGTGATACAGTAGGAAGATATCGATTCGCGTGAGCACATCTTGAGGATACAAATGTACCACGAGACAGGCGTAGAAGGCACGAGTAAAGCGATCTTTAATGCACAGTCTCAGTCTGGAGCTTTACATTACAAGTCACGAGTCTGACTCGCTTACATAAAGTGCTGCTTGACCTTACGGAGCCTTTAAATTGCGGGCGCTCTCTTTAGACGGACTTTAACCTTTCCACCCCCACTTCGGCTTCACGCTATAGAGAACGAAAGTTGGCTAATATGCGAAGGTTTAGCCGCCAAATCAGGAAAGATTTAGGGACCGTCTATGTAATTTACGAGAGGACGGCCGTAAGGTCACGGTGAAGTTGACACAGACAAGTTGACAACGACATTTTCAAGTTAGGGTTGAGCAGTTTCGAATTATCGTCGGTATGCTTGCAAACACCTAGACCTACGCATTCAAAGACATCGTACCGATATCTTATTCCCTCCTAGTAAGTACTCACTGGAATAAGTACAAGTCGTACGTGTGTAACTCGCGGACATGTAGAACCAGCTTTGTCACGGTATACTGGCACACCGCTTCCGAGCCCGTCATAATATTCGCGGCGAACTGCGCACCACAAGGCACCTGCCCTGGAGACTCGAGTCTGGACGCGAAGACTGTATTGCAATTGAATTGAGTCATGTAAAAAGTTTTTGCTCAGCGGCATACATATAAATTGACACGCCCGAAACACAGTTCTTTCATCCCCATCATGTCGTCGGGCTGGAGAGACATCTACATTGGCGCCTTGACCTGTGCCGCTCTTGTTGGTGCGGTCTGTTATGTCAGGGAGAAGAGAAAAGTGCTTCCGCTGCCGCCGGGACCGCGGCCTATGCCAATCATTGGCAATATCCGGGGGATTGACATCAATGCCCCATGGTTGGCTTACACGGAATGGGGTAAACAATACGGTGAGTGCGATGACACGGAAACATAAATATGACTACGCAGAATTTTGCTAAATGGTCTCCTGCTAGGCGATATTGTATACTCGCACCTTTTCGGCCAACATATTATTGTGATCAACTCCGAGAAAGTGGCAATCGAGCTTTTGGAGAAACGGTCATACAACTACTCTGACAGGCCGGAGCTTCCAACAAACAATCTGTAGGAAGCTATTCTTAATTAACCTGCCAGTACAGTTCTTGACACCGTAGCGTCTGTAACAGTCTCGGTTTCGATTTCAACACCATACTCATGAGATACGGAGCTCGCTGGCGTCGCCAAAGAAGGATATTCCATCAAGCATTCAGGGCAGAGGCAGCTCTAGGTTACCGCCCAATGCAGCAGCAGAAGGCTCAACAGCTCATGTGTAACATGCTTGATGCTCCAGAAGAGTTCGTAAACCATATTCGCGTGTAAGTCTTCTTCCGCTGGCCAGTGCGGTGCATTATTAATACCGCGATTCTCTACCAGATTTTCATCTTCCGTGATAATGTCGGCTTCATATGACTATGATACAAAGTACGATGACCCATTGGTGGCGCTCATCGGGACGTCTCTCGAGTTGGCCGTGCAGGAACTCAGACCTGAGGTGGCTGCTGTGTTCATCGCATTTCCGAGTCGTGAGTCTTCAGTCGAATTTTATGGGCTCGACTGGATGCTATTTATACAGTTCTTCGACTACCAGCATGGTTCCCTGGTATGTCGATCAAGAAGAAGGCCATCCAGTCACGAGAATGGGTTCGAGAGTGGATGAACGATCCTTTCCAGTATGTGCTCAAAAGAATGGTATGGGTCGAGTTCCCGCATATTCGCACCTGACATGTCCCAAAAGGCTGAAGGGACAGCCCAGTCATGCATAGTTTCAAACGCCCTCAGACGGATCGGCGGAAAAGGTACTTCTGGTGAGATATCGATGATCAAAGAATGTGCAGCCACGGCATTTGGAAGTGGGTACCAGTCGGATACAGTGTCGAAATAATATTGACAAGAACTGTCTGAGTAGCTGCTTTCGAAACGGTATTCAGTTTTCAAGAGATCTATCTTGCACTGCTCTGATTTTTACTTAGACAGATTCGGTATTGCAAGTATTCATCCTTGCCATGGTGCTCTTCCCAGAAGTACAAATGAAAGCCCACGCTTTGATTGATGCCGTCGTTGGCACGTCGAGGTTGCCGACTTTCGAAGATAGATCATCCCTGCAATATATCGATGCTATCCTTCGGGAAACTCTTCGTTGGCATCCGATTTTGCCCCTATGTGCGTGTACAGTTTTCAGACGCCCGTCCGTTTCTTACGGAATTGTGCATTGTGTAGCAGTATCCCATGCGTCGGTGAATAGCGATGTGTATGAAGGATACTATATACCCAAAGGCACGAAATTTCATGTTTTCTGATGAATTTCCTTGCTAGCCTCGTAAACAGGTGCCATTATTGTGCCGAATGTGTGGTGAGTCCGCATGTCCAAGGGATCACCCAGAGGCCAACTACTTTGTAGGGCAATGTCACAAAATGAAGAAAAGTACCCAAATCCTTCGCAGTTCTCGCCCGAGCGCTTCCTGAACGCCGATGGCAACCTCAATGATGACACCGTCGATATGGCCTTTGGATTTGGAAGAAGGTTTGTCATGATATCTCCTCTTTTCATATGACATCAAACATCCTGTGATACTGCAGGATTTGCGTTGGCCGACATTTTGCCGACGCATCTGTATGGATAGCAATGTCTGGTCTACTTGCTATGTTTACATTTTCGAAACGAATTGGTGCAGACGGGGAGGCGATTGATTTCGAACCACAATGGTTCAGTGGTATCGCAACGTGCGTTCGTTCCCGTTTCTCTGTCTCAACTAATAAGACTTTTTTAGTCACCCACTTCCCTTTCCGTGCAGCGTCACTCCAAGGCTCCGCAAGGTAGATATATGATCATTAGCCCAGCTATTTTATTCGAAAGGACGATCTTTTACACAAAGTAATTATATGTGGCTTCATTTTCACTCCTTCCCCAGTGCTCTCCCCAGTGCTTTCCACCCTCATTACAATGACATCCTGCTTCACCAAGAATGTGTTGGTCTTGGTAGTGTTCCTGTCGTTACTGTCTCTAGCATATCTTATACATGAAGATTGATATATATACTCACCGGCCGCCAAGGCATACATGAACGTCCCTCTGAACAAACATTAGTATTGGGAGGAATTTGGCTGATATGTATCCCTGCTCTTTTACGATTCGAGGAATAATTGCGTGTCTCTGCAAGCTTCTTGAGCTGATGTAAAAGCGACAAATCTTTAGTAAGAGCATGCTCGTGTGGGGTACTAAGGCTGGCAGGTAGAAGGTAAATAAACACGCAGGGCGCCGTGGCGAAGTCTCAGAGATCAGCGAGTTACAAGGCTCGAACAAGGTCTCAAAGGGAGTAACAGCGGGGCCGGTAACTGTTGCAGCTGCTGCTATGCAGATGATCAAATAGTGGCCGCCAGTCATCTAATGAAGCGACTCCGAGATAATAGATACCATACTCGTGATGTCACGATACACCAGTCAAATCGGTGCAATCGATGAATGTATAAAAGACAGACATTGGTAGAGCGTCATGACCATGAATAAAAGGAGGGCAACCGTAAGCGGCAACCAGATCTCACTATTTCAATGTGAGCGGCTTGTTAGTGCCTTATTATGCATAACAACTCACCCCTGCAGAAAGCTATAAGTAAGACTACAAACGGCGATGAGAAGTACCCACTGCAGAACTGAGAGTCTTCACTTTTGCTAATTGTATATCAGTCGCAAGAGTGATGGCACATAATTTTCGCTCCGACGGACTATAAAGGGCAATGCTAGGGAATGAAGGAGGGAAAAGAACCATCGGTACAACGAACGTGCTGGTTGATTATTGGGGCAGGGCTCCTGGGAGCACATCCAGGACTAAGTGCACAAAACGGCAGCTATGATTCCCAAAAGCTTGCCATGCAGTATACCTGCAGATGTGATCGAACGAGCCTCCAAAAACGACGCTGGCAACAGGAGCATTGATGCATCCGACGCAGCAATGGGTCGGTGTCTGAATGCAAAGGCGGGAGCTGAGTGGAAGGATGACAACGTGACAATGTAGTTTTCGGCTTGTGCGCATCGCAAAGGTCGAGAAACAGTAAGTGTGCTTTCGCGGGAGCCAATTTATACCCCGGATATCGGAGCTCATACGCGCACCCATACAGGATTTACCTGCGGGTACCAAATAAGAAAATTATTAGATACTGAACAACGAAAACAAACGCATCTACATAAGAACAAAGAACAAGCACGACGGACGAGTGTGAACGATCACGAACAAGTGCGAACAAAAGAGCGTGAACTAATGGATGCAAACGAGTGAATTACTTTATCATAAAACAAAATGGATGTGCAAAAGTAGGTACTCACACCTCCTCTTTTCACCTCCTCCTCCTCTCTCCATCTCTTCCTCCGATGCACTACGCATTCGTGTTTCGACGCCGTCAGCATCTGCTGACACGGCTCGAGGGTGAACGCTCGAGGGTGCTAGGGGGTGGAATGTGTGGGCAAGCAAAAGAAGAGATCACGCACCTCCTGAGAGTGCAACACGGCCGTGGCACCATCAGCTAAAATGCTCGAAAGACAAGATCACGCACCATCTGAGAGCGGGACATAGCCAGAGCACCATCAGCATTGAGTAAGCCGGTCACAAACCGAGATCACGCACAGGCTGAGAGCAGTACACAGTCAGAGCACCATGGAAGACGCGGTTGAGGCCAGAAACATGGATGAATAACTCCATGACGGCGTGTCTAGTGTTGTCGGCGGCATAATGTAGGATGAGTTGGATGGAGACATAGGCGCTAAAAGCGCGCCTTTAATGACTGGAGAAGGACGAGGGCAGCAAAAGTGAAAGTGAAAGTGACGGACGAGTGGAGTGGAGTTCGGTGGGGGGACAATCATTTAATGTTGGAAGTTAGATGAGGATACTAGATAGTACAAGTGCTAAGCGCTAAGCTGGTAAGTCGCGGGTGGCAGAACCGTGAGAAAATACTTGCCAGAATTAGGTGCGGCATTCGCTCACATTGGGGTTAAACTTGTCCTTCAGCATGTCCAGATATTGTGCCTTCGTCACTCATGTCTTTTTCTCTCATGTCTGTGGAAGTCTGCTTCTAGTTTTATTACTCATCCAAAGCACACACTATTGAGTCTCGCATTTACTTTGCCTTATGCTTCCGTGTCATGTACTACTTCTGTCTCTCGGTTCGCAATAAAACGAGTTCATGGTAACCGTTATCATTCGGATCTTTCTCGGTTCCTTTGAACAGCTTCAAACCCTGAGCGCAAAAAGTCCGGACACCCGCACGTCATTCACAATGAAAAGACCCCAGACTCTGTCATCTTCGAGTTTACTCACTATCGCAGCGCCGCCATGTCACGCAAAATCCAGCGGCACAGCCTGCAGGCAACGGACACCAGCACTGCGGTTCCCAACATTACACTACGCATCATGACTCATGCATTGCAGCAACCAACGCCTCGAATAACCATACCATTCACGCCAACGTCATCCTGCACGCTTGTTAATGCCCTTCGACCAGATATTAGAGAAGTACCGGAGCCGTGTCTGGCCGCGGCACACTACATAATCATATCAATGCACCAAGTTTGACTCTTACTCCACCTTGCCGATGTTCCCGTCTCGCTGGCAGTTCAGTACTCTTGACCTTGACGGCGCAGTGTGTGGATGATGATAGCCTAGGGGCCACCCAAACCTCAGTCTACTTAACCTACAACAAGACACTCTGACCCATTTTAAGACCATGAGCAGGCTTTGTGGCTGTGTGCTCTTCATTACCATCTTTTTGCGTGTCCAGAGTATCCCCCATTCTAACTCGCAAGTAACGCTCCCCCATTTTATCGCATATGCACTTCATCGCACCAAATTCAATTCTTCCATTCTTCCGTAACTTCCGCTGCTCCCGTCCTGCTCCAGAACTCAAGGCGCGCTTTATTTTACAGTAGCCGGACGCGCGCCCTTGTATAAGACTGCCCATCATATAATTTAATATTTATTGATGTGCTACATGGTAGGATACAAATAACACAACATCCTAACGAAGCCACGTCAGCAACATGAGTAACGAAGGAGATACGCTAATGAGGAAAAGACGGTAGCGGGGGTGGGGTGAGTGGCGGAAGCTGGCATGCGGGCAATGGTGACATGGCCGAGGATTATATCATGAAGCGAAGATGTTTAGCAGAGTCTGGGGTCTTTTTATTGTGAATAACGTAAGGGTGTCTGGACTTTTGTTTGCTCAGGGTTTGAAGTCGTTCGAAGGAACCGAGAAAGGTACGAATGATAACAGGTTACGAGACACCGATTGAATTGAATCACGAAAAAAAAGATGCTCAGCATACATATAAATGGACATGCCCGAAACACAATTCATTCATCCCCATCATGTCGTCGGGCTGGAGAGACATCTACATTGGCGCCTTGATCTGTACCATTCTTGTTGGTGCGGTCTGTTATGGCTTGGAGAAGAGGAAAGTGCTTCCGCTGCCGCCGGGACCACGGCCTGTGCCAATCATTGGCAATATCCAGGGGATTGACCTCAAAGCACCATGGCTAACTTACACGGAATGGGGTAAACAATACGGTGGGTGCGATGACACGGAAACATTGTGAAATATGACACGCCCAATTTTGCTAAATGGTCTCCTGGCAGGCGATATTGTATACTCGCACCTTTTCGGCCAACATATTATTGTGATCAACTCCGAGAAAGTGGCAATCGAGCTTTTGGAGAAACGGTCATACAACTACTCTGACAGGCCGGAGCTTCCAACAAACGATCTGTAGGAGCTATATTTAACTAACCAGCCAGCATAGTTCTTGACGCAGCGTCTGTAACAGTCTCGGGTTCGGTTTCAACACCATACTCATGAGATATGGAGCTCGCTGGCGTCGCCAAAGAAGGATATTCCATCAAGCATTCAGGGCAGAGGCAGCTCTAAGTTACCGTTCGATGCAGCAACAGAAGGCTCAACAGCTTATCCATAACATGCTTGATACCCCAGAAGAGTTCGTAAATCATCTTCGCGTGTATGTCTTCTCCAACTGGCTGGTGCGGTGTATTATTAATATCGCGATTCTCTGCCAGATTTTCATCTTCCATGATAATGTCGGCTTCATATGACTATGATACAAAGCACGATGACCCATTGGTAGCACTCATCGGGATGACCCTTGAGTTGGCCGTGCAGGAACTCAGACCTGAGGTGGCTGCTGTGTTCATCGCATTTCCGAGTCGTGGGTAGATTTTCAGTCGTATTTTGTGGGCTTGACTGGATGCTATTTATACAGTTCTTCGACTACCAGCATGGTTCCCTGGTATGTCGATCAAGAAGAAGGCCATCCAGTCACGAGAATGGGTTCGAGAGTGGATGAACGATCCTTTCCAGCGTGTGCTCAAAAGAATGGTATGCGTCGAGTTCCCGCATATTCGCACCTAACATGTCCCAAAAGGCTGAAGGGACAGCCCAGTCATGCATGGTTTCAGACGCCCTCAGACGGATCGACGGAAAAGATACTTCTGGTGAGATATCAATGATCAAAGAATGTGCAGCCACAGCATTTGGAGGTGAGTACCAGTCGGATACAGTGTGTCGACATAAAATTCTGACAAGAACTGTCTGTGCAGCTGCTTCCGAAACGGTATTCAGTTTTCAGGAGGTCTATCTCGCACTGCTCTGATTTTTACTTAGACAGATTCGGTATTGCAAGTATTCATCCTTGCCATGGTACTCTTCCCGGAAGTACAAGTGAAAGCCCAAACTTTAATTGATGCCGTCGTTGGCGCGTCGAGGTTGCCGACTTTCGAAGATAGATCGTCCCTGCAATATATCGATGCTATCCTTCGGGAAACTCTTCGTTGGCATCCAATTTTGCCCCTATGTGCGTGTACGGTCTTCAGGCACCCGTCTGTTTCTCACGGGATTGTGTAGCAGTAACGCATGCGTCGGTGGATAGCGATGTGTACGAGGGATACTATATACCCAAAGGCACGAAACTTCATGTTTTCTGATGACGTTCCTTGCTAGCCTTGTAAACAGGTGCCGTCATTATGCCGAATGTGTGGTGAGTCCACATGCTCAAGGGATCACCCAGAGGCCAACTACTTTGCAGGGCAATGTCACAAAATGAGCAGAAATACCCAAATCCTTCGAAGTTCTCGCCCGAGCGCTTCCTGAACGCCGACGACAACCTCAATGATGACACCGTCGATATGGCCTTTGGATTTGGAAGAAGGTTTGTCATAATATCTCTTCTTTTTATCTGACATCGAACATCCTCGTGATACTGCAGGATTTGCGTTGGCCGACATTTTGCTGACGCATCTGTATGGATAGCAATGTCTGGTCTACTTGCTATGTTTACATTTTCGAAACGAATTGGTACAGACGGGGAGGCGATTGATTTCGAACCACAATGGTTCAGTGGTATCGCAACGTGCGTTCGTTCCCGTTTCTCTGTGTCCCAACTTAAAAGACTTTTTTTTAGTCACCCACTTCCCTTTCCGTGCAGCATCACTCCGAGGCTCCGCAAGGTGGATATATGATCATTATCCAGCTATTTTAATCGAAAGGATGATTTTTTACACGAAGTAATTATATGTGACTTCATTTTTCAATGCTTTCCCGGTGCTTTCCACCCTCATTGCAATGGCATCCTTATTCACTAAGAATGCGTTGATCAAGAAATAAGGGAGATGATGTTTTAAATATACAAGCTAGGTGAGGTTTGGCACATCATCTCGGCCTTCTGTTATTCCAGCAGATGGTTGTGATGGGAGAACCATGTCCATCTCGTCGACTTCAACGTAGATTTCTCCTTCAGTAACTCCTCTCCTCCATTGGACGCGACTGAGGTCCGTATGGTTGAGCAGCCATGCCGGATCAACATGGTAAGTTGCAGCCAAGGAGCGGATGCTTAGCATCGCGCGACAGACAGACGACTGTAGTTGCTGCTGCTATGCTGGGAATAGACGTTTCTCATGAGCTTTAGTGAACTACCGTGGACCAGACAGTCTTACTTTCCCCCAAGAGCTGAATCATAAACCTGGCAATGGTTTCGGAGTGTAATTTGTTGCGAGGCTATGGCGATAGAACTGACCTCTGGTTCAGTCATAGACAGACTGATGATTTCATACAGCAATGTTCCTGTCATTATTGCCTTTAGTGTCTCTCATACGTGAAGGTCGATATATACTCACCGGCCGCAAAGGCATACATAAACATCCCTCTAAACAAACATTAGCACTGGGAGCAGAATTTGGCTGATATGCAATCCTACTCTTTTACGATTCGAGGAATAATCCCGCGTCTCTGCAAGCTTCTTGAGCTGATGTCGAAGCGATAAATCTTTAGTAAAGGTATGATCGTGTGGAGGACTAAGGCTGGCAGATATATGATGAATAAAAACGCAGGGCGCAATGGCAAGGTCTTAGAAATTAGCGAGTCGTAAGGCTAGAACAAGGTCTTGAAGGGAATAACTGCGACTTCCGGTAGCTGTTGCAGCTGCTGCTATGCAGATGATCAAAACAGTGACCGCCAGCCATCTAATGAAGCGACTCCAAGGGAATAGTCTTTCACGACCCTCGGCCATGTGATAGAGCTCAGTGCACTTATGCCCAATCGATCCTATTAAGATATCGACGACAGTGTGCAAGCTAAAAATGTGTGGCTGGAACAAGGAGTTTCATGCCCATCACAAGTGAATGGACAACATCCATACCTAAAATATGACGAGTTTGACCTACGATGACCGACACTCATCACACTCATCAGCTCCTTGTGGAATACGTAGATCACTGGACACTGCTAGACCAAAGGTTGCAATGCATCTGTAGTGTAATATTAATTTGCACCGCTGGAATTTTCTGTCTCGGAAAAAAAAATCTCGCCTTCAGTCTGCCCGTAGACGACTACCTTGAAGCTATGTGTGGCTGAGGAACTAGTACCAAAGTGTGGCAGGTAAATGCAGAGCTCGATGCAGATCGCGATCGGGACATATTCCAGCGTATCTGGTGTCTCGCTGCAATACTCCAAATGAGAATACAATCTGTAGTTTGATGGTATTGCCCTCGATAAAATAGTGCGGTTTTGTCAACTCCTGTCGATGTAGCACTCTCTGTACGTTTTACGTTTGCGAAGCGGAAGAGACAAGTCAGACATAACATATTCTTGGAATTTAGCGACGTTGCGGCAGTAGGACCATGCCAAATTTCTAAACCAAGGTCTGACCAAGTACTAGAAACTAGGGAATGGATAGAGCGTCGTATGAATTATTAAGTACTTCAAGTTGGCACTCAGTGCTATTCCTGTCAGGCTGTAGTATTATTAGTTGTTTGGTTGATTTTGAAAAGAAAACATTCAACCGTTCAACTTCAAAGCTTCACAGTTTTATTATCACCGATTCACGCCAAAATCTGTTGCACCCTCGACTACCATGCCCTCAACAGCTCCGTCATCATCTGCTTGTGCAGCCCCAGTTTGTTGCTCCCATATCCATCATGCCTTCCCTGCCGTCATGTACCTGCCTGGCCCTAGTGCCGTGTTAAAGATCAACTTTGTGCGTGATTCCTTAGTGTCAACATTGACATCATCACAAAATAACTTGCCACATATCCCTGACACACCCTCGAGCACGGCTGTTTCTGTCCTGCTAAATCATTTTGACCCCCTGTAACTAAGTTTGAGTACCGGTGTGGCCCAGTGAGGAGCGGAGGGGGGTGAAGGTTTGGGAGTGTATTCTATCAAATCAGCCTGGACATCATTTGGATAAAGCGCAAGGTAAAAACATTAACATAAAGGCAGACCTTTCCGAATGTCTGGTTTCACTCTTTTTTGGCAGGTACATAGCCCACATCAGTGCCTCGTCACACCTACTACATGCCGCGTCACCTGTGCGTCAGCACTTCAGAGTCTAACTTTGGCGTATTTTCAATCTGTTTAACAGAATCTCCTTTCGTCCTAACAGAAACGTCATAGTCGTCCATACTAGGCAGTACTAGTAAACCATTTCTTAAGCATTCTGCGGGTTGCAATGGAAATCATCCAGATCAACCGCAGCCTTGGTGTTGGGGACCTCCGAGTCGTCCCGTGCCATGCCTGCTCAGGTGCGCCGTTCAACTGACGCTCTTTGAGAACTCAAACTTGATAATTAGAACGGGTCACGATATAATAGCTTGTCTTCCGGCCTCTGCAGATCACTCGACATTCACATGCTTTAAGTGAGCAATGCTTCCATAACTCGTTGCTGTTGCAACGGTTCTTGTCACACATAGAACTGGCGCCAATATGCATTCCGCCTTAAACTTAATGCCAGCTGAAGAAGGAATTGAGCCCGTAAAACGTCGCCCTTTGCTGCTGGCTGAAGAATTTGCACCCGTTAAACGCCGACGTGCTTCGCAGAGGGTCCAGAGAGGGATTAAAAGAATATGGTCATTGGGTGATTAGTAGCTACTACTTGGTATGTGTTCATAGGAGAAATAAAATAACGAAGGAATGGTAATGAACCCGTGCAACTTGATCTGGGAATCGCATAAACCTGAATCTAGAAGATATATGAACGTTTGCACTGGCGCGTCAGTACCTCAGTGGCCGCATCAAGGCTCCGTGTCAATGGCACGTCAACATCACATAGGTTCGTCACATTCAACATGTGGTCCCTACTCTAAACAACAAGCTGAACTTAACTTATCAGTCATTATTGTGAATTGGCTTCGCAAGGAAACATCTTGTTCCACGCCAAATTGCCAATATACCCTGCTTCACAAGGCAGCTGGCCATCGGCTGGAATTGTAGGTTTATCAGTCCGAAAGGGGATTTCAGGTGGACTGAGTTCTCCTACATCAAGAACAGTATTCAGCACGTAAAGGCAAGACGTTTTCCTACTTTCTCCTTCAGATTTATCTGAGCCCACACTAGTATCACATCCTTACGAACAATGCGTTTCGCCTTTGTCGTCGCCATTGTTGCTGCTTTAATATCTGCCACTGACGCTGCCACTGATGCTGCCAGTGAGGGCTCACGCTGTCCAGTCTTCTGCTCCCATAGTAACCAGTGCAAAAACTCTGACTGCATGGGACCGCATTGTGTGAGTATGAGTGGTTTGCATTTAACCAAATAACTCATCGGCATGGTAGATCCTCTGGATATGCTCCTGGGGTTAGGCTATTTGCAGTGCGGGATGGTTTTCCTGATGCAGAATCGAAGGCCGAGTCTAGAACCGAAAGCACGACCGTCATAGAAGTCTTCGTTTCAGTATTTTCGTTTAGATTATCACGGGCAATTACTCTACATTTAACCGCACTCATCCGTAAAGTTCCCTTAGGATTTCTCCCAGTTAAACTAGGCTGGTATCTGGTTTTCATTGCACGAGACTATATTCTACATTGCGCCACTATCTAAAGTCTGAATAACTTCTACCTGCCACATCAGGAAATCACGAGATCACTTTTTACCCACTTAAGTACCACTTTTCATACGACTTAGCGAGCAACCATCGCACAAAGTCAAAAAAGTAGCACGGACTTTTTTCAGTAGATCTCACTACTCAAATTCTACTTATCCTCAGCTTTTTCACACTTATTTTTTGTGGGACGGATTGAAAAAAGCACGATACTGAGCATTGAAAGTTGACCACATCAAAAAAAGGGGTCCAAAAGCATGAAAAAGCAACTAAAAAGTAGTCCAGAAGAATGCAGGAAGCTCGCTGAATGTGTGGATTTGTAGGTAGTATGGCTTCAATGATCGGAGTGGGGGTGGGGGAAATGCAGCAGGGATCTATTAGTGTGTAAACGGTACTGGTACTAAGCACAGAGAGCATGGGATGGAACAAACAGCCAATATTCTGCCGGTGTCAGATGAGTCAGTAGTTGTAGAGCGCATGACGAGGAAAAAATACATACAAAGCAGGGCACGCCCACACTTGGGTTTCAGGTCCTCGGCAGGAGCATTCTTGAGCTTCTGGATTGCCTCCTGGCGCTGCCGCACCATGGCGATGGTGTCTATTGTATACTTCAGCCCCCGCCTTGCGAGCGATTGGTAATAATCAGTCGTCGCCGATCCACAATTTGCCTCTGAAAATACCGACGTGCCAGCGTCCTTGTTACTGGATTTATTGCGTTTCGAAGGTATCGTTCTGCAAGATTTAGTACTGCCCTTCACACTACCAGTGGCTATGCTTTGGTCATCGTCGAGAGCCTTGGGCTTTGCAACAAAGTTGAAAGCGCGTTTGAGCTATAAAAAATGATGGTTAGTTAGAGTTAGAATATTTTAATAGGACCTACTGAGGCAGCACATGCTGCAATCAGGGCCTGCATACCCTGCAATTGCAGATCATCCATGTTGATCGCAGGCACGTCGAGGAACCCAGCAATTGCATTGAGATGAGTGGCCTCGATCATTTCCAACATAAATTCAGACCGGTAAATCTGACCTGGATCGCGAACCTCTGGATCCTCGTAGAGGAAGGCCCACTCCTGAAGAAGTTCAGCTGCCAGCGTTTGTTCGAAGTTAGCGTCTTCGTCCTCGTCCTTGTCCTCGTTATCTTTTGAGGTAGCGAGAAAATTCGCAACAAGGGCGATGGCCGTGGATCCAAAATTACTGCGCCAGGAGCAAATGTGCTGATTCACCTTTAATCAGAGATGAGTCATAGTTAAAAATATTAGTCTGAAGGTAAGAAATAGAAGACTTACCAGACCAATGATAGGGCCGCGCGGTTGAACCTTATGATTCATTCCTGGATAAGCAACATCGAAGATAGCCTGGAGCGCTGGGAGGGGTTTCTCGGTCTCAATGGACCAGAAATTAGGCTGAGCGCCTGCCCACAGAAAGACGGTGGGGATAAAAGACCTTCGCCACATACCATCCTCCAGCATAAGTGGGGGAAGATCAGTGTTTCGCCACTGGTTTCCACTTTTCGGCTTCGTCATCATGTCAGCGGACATCACACTGGGCTCAGGTGATACCGGAGCATCCATCTTCTTGGTAGCCGGTTCCAACTTGATTTTCTTGGGTGGGTTTGCGTTCTTGCAGACTGTTACACTAGTCTATTGAGAACCTCAGTATCGATAGAATTAGATATTGAACTTGAAAAAAAAAACTACCTTTGAAGTGACCCAGTGCTGGCTCAACCTCAGGAGACATGAAGTGAGTGGCATCGAGTACCATTGCATCAAAAGATGCATCTGCATTATCCTCGTCAGCCACGTTTGAGTCCTCTTCAGACGAGGTAATTAAGTCGACTGCCTCGATTGGCCGCTTTGAGGAACTACCAGTGCGAGTTGACTGGGCCTGTTCTAGAGCAAATTGCACTATTTCAGCTTGCTGAGTGAAGGGCAATAGATTGAATGGCGTCGACACTGGCAGTATCTCGGAACTGTTGTCATCTGAATGTTCAGCGATCTCACCAGAGATCGCCACGACACTCTAAAATTGTCAATGCGCATTGAATCATGTCAAAATCAATGTTGTCGAATGCTTACCTGCATCTGCTCCCGGGCCTTTCCTTTTGTGTTGGCCACAAAATGCTCTTTGAATTCGTTGTTGTTGTCTTCTTCGTCATCGGTGTCGATGTCGATGTCGTCGTCTCCATCTTCATCCAATGTGGGAGCATGTGAAGTCTTGGATGAGTCTGTCAAAGAAAGAGGCGGATCCTTCGCGAGTGAGACTGTGGTTGCAACAGTTTGGCTTGATTTTGCTGACGAGATACCCAGAGAGTCAACAGAAACAGTTTCAGTGTGAATGCTGTGAACAGGAAAAGGTTTTGCAGCAGCCTTTGGCTCAGGTTCGAGGTGAGTGCGCCAATTATTAACCTTGCCCGTCAGACTGTATTTCTTACTTCTGAGCCCCCAAGTAAGGGTCATAAAGCGAAGCGTAGACTCTGTAAGCATCAATAGCATGGTGGTGAGAAGATTACTGATGGGTTAAGATTTCCTTTCTTGTCGCTATCAGCTTTCCCTTGAACCAGATCGCCATCAATGATCTGCCTTGTAGCTGCACTTATGGCTTCTCGCGATACTGTAGGGTTGACCTTCTTCTTCTTCTTCTTCATCTTGACTTCCTCATTCCCAGCCACCTCATTTTCAACCACCTTGCCATTGCCTCCACCCACACTATCAACTGGGTGCTGACCGCCTGCGCCTTGGACTTTGGCTTGTGCTGGGGGAATGGAGGGGTGCTCTAAGGCAAGCTCATTAGTTTCATCTTGCCACTTTTCCTTCTTCTTCACTGGTCTAGCGCGGGGTTTTACCGGTTTTGCCCTGCTGGTCGCTTCAGCCACCTGCTCCACCTGCATGGCAGCCTCAATGCCTGCAATTCGATCAACTCCACGCTGCAGGGCAGCTTCCTTAGCGGCCTGGGCTTCGAGAGCACAGCCTTTGTCTTCTGCAACCTGGGCTTTGGTACGTCGCTTCTTTTGACCTTCGAGAAGCACAAGTCCAGGGTGTCGAGTCGCATTTGCAGGGTGTGTACGGCGAGGGGAAATGGGGGGTGCCATAGTGGTTATGGGGGGTAGGAAATAGCAGAAGAGAGCATGGACCTCGATACTAAAAGGTAAGAGTCGCAAACTGCAATTTTCTAAGTGTTAAACCCAAACAAACAACTCTCCAAAACGTAGTACTACTCAATACCTCATGCCATTTTCTAAGTCCACCTATACTTCAGCACAACGACAACAGGGTGTGGCTGCTGCACCAGAGCAGGTACTGGCTAGCCTACCAGCAAACTTTATCCCCGACTCCAAATACCATTAACTCAAGTGCCGGTACTGGCCATCCTACTGACGAGCTCTCCCCAACTTTATCCCTGACTCCAAATACCATTAACTCAAGTGCCGGTATGGTACTGGCCATCCTACTGACGAGCTCTCCCCAACTTCATCCCCGACTCCAAATACCATTAACTCAAGTGCCCTACTGACGAGCTCTCCCCAACTTTATCCCCGACTCCAAATACCATTAACTCAAGTGCCGGTACGGTACTGGCCATCCTACCGACAAGCTCTCCCCAACTTCATCCCCGACTCCAAATACCATTAACTCAAGTGCCGGCACTGGCCATTCTACTGACGAGCTCTCCCCAACTTCATCCCGACTCCAAATACCATTAACTCAAGTGCTGGTAGTGATCCTACTGACAAGCTCTCCCCAACTTTATCCCCGACTCCAAATACCATTAACTCAAGTGCCGGTACGGTACTGGCCATCCTACTGACGAGCTCTCCCCAACTTCATCCCCGACTCCAAATACCATTAACTCAAGTGCCGGTACGGTACTGGCCATCCTACCGACGAGCTCTCCCCAAATTCATCCCCACTCCAAATACCATTAACTTGAGTACCAAAGTCAGCACCCACCGTTCTTCCTGCTTCTGCCCTCCTACCAACAAGCACCCTCCTCCCCTCCAAATACCAACAACTCATGTCCCAGACTGACTCAGATGCAAGTCACCCGCGCCGCAAGCCAATTGGTCTTTGTATCCCTTGCACAAAACAAGGGTGCAACTGCTGGTTTAAGAATTGGTCAGGGTACACACAGCACACAAACGCTAAGCACCCCGTGTTTCCTACATCGAGTCAGCCATCCAGGCCTTTTTCGCCAAGTCCTGGGCTGCCTGACACCATGGATTTGGGTGATGCTGGCGCTATGGACTTTGGAGATGATGGAATCATGGACAACAACGATCCTGCGCAACAAACGGCTGAATTTTTTGGCCCTGGCAGCTGGCTGTACAGAAACTATCACCCATTTTTGTCCGGTATGTGTTTTCTCATTCAATTTCTCTCGAATGTTATCTTATTCGTAATCTACAAAGCTCAACCTTGTGATCTGGAAGGCAACTTCCTTCCACCAGGAACCTCACCTCCGCCACTCACTGACAAGGCACCAGATGACTGGACACCCTACAGAAGCCGGGTAGAGTTCGAGCTTGCCGATTATCTGTTCACGAAGAATCAGACCCCCGCACATTCTATTGACCATTTACTCAATATCTGAGCAGCTTCGCTTATACACGCCGGTAGCAAATCAACTATATTCTCAGATCACCGCAGCGTCTATAAGGCAATCGATAACACTCCTTTCGGCGACATAAAATGGGAATCGTTTACTGTCAAATATACTGGTGATATTCCAGAGGAAGGCACAGCACCATGGATGGCAGATAGCCACGAAGTGTGGTTCCGTGACCCCCGCGAAGTCATTCGCAATATGCTCGCTAACCCTGATTTTGCTGCAGAGATGGACCTTAGACCTTATCGCGAGTTTGCAACCAAGAATGATGAGCGCCAGTGGAAAGACTTTATGTCTGGAGATTGGGCTTACAAACAAGCGGTACGTGTATTGTTTTCTTTATTGTTTTTAGGTTTGACGTGCATCTACAGGACATTATCTCTGAAGATACTGATACTCATGGCTCTACATTCGTGCCTGTGATTCTCGGGAGCGACAAAACAACGGTTTCGGTTGCAACAGGACAAAATGACTATTATCCTCTCTATGCATCTATTGGAAACGTCCGGAACAACATGTGCCGTGCGCATCGCAATGCTGTCGCTGTTGTAGGGTTTTTTGCAATGCCGAAAAGTAAGTGCTCGTTGATTCTTTATTCTATTGTCCTTACGTCTCGCACAGCTACCAAACAGCATGCCGAGACAAAAGAATTCCGAAGGTTTCACCGGCAGTTGTTTCACTCCTCACTCTCATATATTCTCAAGAGCCTGAAGCCCGGTGTAGAGACTTGATCCTGAGTAGCCTCACAATGGCATATATTGCAACATAGGTCGAGTCTACAGTAATATGCATGCAACGCGACACTTGCGCGATAAACGCGACGTTCGCGCGACGCACGCGACATAGGCGACACTTCCGCGACTTGCGCGCGCTTTAGGCGAACTTTCCCGCGCCTAAGCGCTATAGGGCACCTGACTTCCCACTGTGTTTTCCCATGTCCAACCAAGTTCCCAGGTATGCATTTCTCCATTTATCATTTATTCCATTATCGTACCATGTTTATTTTCACTTGGTACACATTTACACAACACACATTACCACGGACGACCATCATCATAGACAGTCACCATCTCCGAGTTTTTATTATGTTTTGAATAAATCATCGCAAGCCCTAGTAGCAGTTAGCTCTAGTGGCCATATCCGCATCAGTTGTCTTATCAGCATCTCAGTACACGTCTTAACATCTCACTATCGCTCGCATACCGCTTTCACCCAGTTCCGCTTTTCGACGCGCGACTTTCCCGCGCTTCGCGCGCCTATAGCGCCTTTGTTCCCGCGCTTTCGCCTTATCACGCGCTTTGCGCATTCCCCCTAGAGTTGACCAGTGGATATTTGCTTTCTCCGCTTCCCCTAAGGGACGAACATATCGCACTCATATTTTCCTCCCTTCAACAATTATATCAGCTGCACCCTCAGCTGAGTTGAAGATCCTTCACCGGCATGACAACGCCTGAGGTCGCACGTTTTGGGGACGGGCACTATCGCCGTGTCATCTATGGACTTGGGCCTTATATCGCAGACTATGAAGAGCAAGTACTACTTGCATGCATAGTTCGAAAGTGGTGCGCTAAGTAAGTAAATTTTCCGATGATCTATTGTATTTGTTCTGATACTGAAATAGATGTCTTTCACATTCCAAGGCCCTTGACGAGATCAATATCCTTCGCTCAAGACGTCATGTAGATGCACTCATTGAGGAGTGCAATTTCGATACTCTGTGGGCAGAGTATGGTGTAATTGCCGTCCTCGTGGTATGTCAATTGTTCACCTTCAATAATGCTTAGTACTGACTCGTTTGCAGCCATTTATGAACGATTTCCCTCGCGCTGACATCCACGAGTTACTCGCACCCGACCTTCTCCATCAAATCATCAAGGGGTCATTCAAGGATCATTTAGTTGAATGGGTTGAGAGATACCTCTTGCAAGAGCACGGAAAGACACGGGCTAACATCATCCTCGATGATATCGACCGACGGTACGTTTCGTCAATCTTAATTTTGATTTTTTCTTAATGTTTCATAGAATTGCAGCAGTTCCTCCTTTCCCTGGCCTGCGCCGATTTCCACAAGGACGTCACTTCAAACAATGGACCGGTGACGACTCAAAAGCCCTTATGAAGGTATACTTGCCCGCAATTGAGGGTCATGTCCCTGAAGATGTCGTGCGCGCATTCAGCGCCTTTCTCGAGTTCTGTTACCTTGTCCGACGCAACGTACTCACGGAGAAGTCCCTCAAGGAGATTCAAGATGCACTCACTCGTTTTCACCAGTACCATGAAATTTTCAAGACCACCGGAACAGTGACGACATTTTCGCTTCCACGACAACACTCGATGGTACACTACGTCCATTGTATTCGGCTCTTTGGTGCGCCAAACGGCCTATGCTCTTCAATCACGGAGTCGAAGCATATTAAAGCCATCAAGGAACCTTGGAGGCGGTCCAGCTGATATAACGCACTCAGTCAGATGCTCCTGACCAATCAGCGTCTAGACAAATTGACAGCATCGCGTGTGGATTTCCGCACTCGTGGGATGCTTGCAGGTACCTGCTTATCATCCATTCTTGCAGCACTTGGTACATGTTATTTCTGTCTTTTTTACTACCATCTAATCACTATCTTTGTTGCTAGAACCATCAGCAGATGTACCTGCGCAGGCCGAGCAACCTGTGCCCACCAGTGCAGAAGAGCACGATTCAAACCAACAGGAGCCACCTATTGTGCGCGAAAGCGCCAGCATACCTGACGTCGACGTTATTGCTGATTCCGAGGATATCGATGCACCAATGTCAATCCTTGCGCACATTCAACTGGCCCGAACATCTCGTAAGTCATTTTTTTCATTTGCGTCTCAATATACTAAGTGCTATTGGTACAAACAGAAGGGAAAAAGCGCGCCCAGACCATTCCTGCATTGGCCAACGAGCTCGCTATCCCTCACTTAGCTGATCTTGTTCGAGACTTCCTCGTTAAACAACTGTATCCGGAAATGCGCACCGCAGAGATTCCCGAAAGCATTATGGACTGCCCTCGTTACGAAGGAAGGATTTGAGTGTTCAATTCCGCAGTGTCAACGTTCTTCGCACCAAGCGACTTGAGCGGCATTGGTGGGATGAAACGCGAGCACATTCGTGTGTCTCCCAATTGGAGAAACGGGCACACACGCAAAGACTGCGTGTTTGTTATTACTGATCCAAATATTCATGGAATGCGGGGCATGGATGTTGCCCGGGTACTGACATTTTTTTCGTTTCGGCTCAGAGGTGGATTTTATCCATGCGCGGTTGTCCGGTGGTTCAACCGAGTCGGCAACGCACCAGATGATGAGACAGGCCTATGGATGGTGGAGCCATCTTCTATCAATGGCCACGCGCACTTTGCAGTGATTCACGTTGAGTCAATTTTTCGGTCTGCTCATCTTATTCCTGTGTATGGTATTGAACCGCTCCCCATGGCCATTAAATCCCACCATGTCCTTGATATATTCACCCTCTTCTACGTGAACAGATACGCTGACCACCATGCCTTTGAAATAGTTTGCTAGTGCTCTTACTTTTCTCTTCGTTGTTTGCTTTTTTCCTACTTATAACTTTTTTCTAACTTTTTCACTTATGTTATCATTCAATTTCATGAAGTTCTCGCATCCGAAAAATAAGCGTGAAAAAGTGACCATGAGCAATTTGTCTCTTAATTAAGTGCCGAAAAAGCTAGAAAAGTGAACTCGTGATTTCCTGATGCAACGTCAGAAAAGCGGAGAAAAGTAGGATGAGTCTGATTATACGTCATTTTGAGATTTTGAGATGTTTGACGTGGCTTCAATCGGTGTCGTACTCTCTGGATGGGAGAAAACTAGCAGCACCGACACATCCAGTGCACTCTGCGCCCTATCACACTTATCATTAATTGCAGTGCAGTCCATTCTCAAACAAGTGCGAAAAGCCAAAAACAAGAGGAGGGAATCTGCTTTTGAGCTTGTGGCAGCTTGTGACAAGGAGACGTTATGGTTCTTGTGCGAAGCTGCGGCACTCGTAGAGTGTTCGCACGAGAGAGACGATCAAGAGTAGACTTAAGGATTCGAATGAGATAACTGTCCGAACTATAATGTATTCAGTCAGGGAAAGATTAACTGCTCTGACAGTAAGATCAACGCTAGTTTATATACTGTAGAGCTATGAAACTGAGGTAATCAAAAGGAAAGCTAAAGAATGCGATAGAACTAAGTGCGTGCCAACGAGGATATTGCTGATGGAAACCAATATCCAAGGATGGCTTTTACAGATCGTAACAGAAGCTTTTCGCGCTTATGTGGGAAAATAAGTGAGGAGGTTAAGGAACGGTTTCTGGTAACCTGTTATCATTCGCGGACCTTTCTCGGTTCCTTCGAACGACTTCAAACCCTGAGCAAACAAAGTCCGGACACCCTCACGTCATTCACAATGAAAAGACCCCAGACTCTGCTTGACATCTTGCAGTATATAATCCTCAACTCCCCACTGCCCACACGCCGGCTCCCGCCCTCCCCAACCCCGCGCTACTGTCTTTTCCTTGTTAGCGTCTCTCTTTCTGAGTCGTTACTCCTGTCGATGACGTGGCACTTACACCTCGTTAGGACATTGTGTTATTTGTATCCTAGCATCTAGTACATCAATGAATACAATTATATGATGGATAGTCTTATACACTGAGTGCGCGTATCTAGCTACCGTAAAATAAAGCGCGCCTCGAGTTCTGGAGCAGGATGAGAGCGGTGGAAGTTACGGAAGAATGGAATTTGGTACGATGAAGTGCATATGCGATAAAATGGGGGAGCTTTACTTGTGAGTAAGAAGGGGGGTACTTTGGACAAGCGAAAAAATGGGTAATGAAGAGCACACAGCCGCGAAGCCTGCTCACGGCCGTAAAATCGGTCAGAGTGTCTTGTTGTAGGTTGAGTAGACTGAGGTTTGGGTGGCGCCTAAAGTATCATCATCCACAGTGCGCCATCCAGAGTACTGAGCTGTGAGACGGTAACATCGGGGAAGTGGAGTGGAACGAGTCAAGTGCAGTGATATGATTGTGTATAGTATGCCGCGGCCGCAGATACGGCTCCGGTACAGCGATACTCCTCTAATATCTGGTCGAAGGGCATTAACAAGCGTGCAGGATAGCGTTGGCGTGAATGGTATGGTTATTTGAGGCGCTGGTTGCTGCAGTGCACCACGATGTGTAGTGTAATGTTGGGAGCCGCAGTGCTGAGCCTGGTGTCCATTGCCTGCAGGCCGTGCCACTGAATTTTGCGTGACATGGCGGCGCAGCAATAGGGCTAAATCACTGTTGAGATTTGAACGGCGTGAGTGAAGATGCACGATAGGTATGAGTGGAATCACGATCACGAGTGCCAATGCCCAGTGACGCGTGAATATCAATGCTCTGCGCCAGTCGATCGTCAAAAGCGCGTCCTCTCCAGCTTTTCCTGTACTTCGAAGGTTTAGTATTGCGGCTCCAAGTCCAGCAGTGGTGCATCCCCAGCGAGGCAGTGCCATCCATAATATGTCTATTCGTCGTCGCCATCGTCGTCGTCGAATCACAGGTAATAGTATTCCCTGTCCATGTCCGTATTTGAACTCTGTCACAAACACAAATGCTACCATAGCTGCGCATGCGCGACAACTCCGCCGCGCATCTGCTCGGTGACGGCCACCACATTAAGCCGAAGCGAAGATGTTAAATAGGGCCTGGGGTCTTTTCATTGTGAATGACGTGAGGGTGTCCGGACTTTTTGCCCTCAGGGTTTGAAGTCGTTCGAAGGAACCGAGAAAGGTCCGAATGATAACAGGTTACCATGAAGTCGTTAAGGAATGTGTGAATAAATTTTACTGATGCACGCTCCGACGGACTGCTACATCACATAGGTTTGTCACATTCAACACATCAAGGCTCCGTGTCAATGGCACGTCAACATCACATAGGTTCGTCACATTCAACATGTGGTCCCTACTCTAAACAACAAGCTGAACTTAACTTATCAGTCCTTATTGTGAATTGGCTTCGCAAGGAAACATCTTGTTCCACGCCAAATTGCCGCTGGTTGACATTGCTTCACAAGATAGATCTTACTAGGTGGCAGTAGTACGCTTGGCATTGACCTTGCTTCGGTACTAGTAGGTAACCTCTTGTTCCACGCCAAATTGCCAATAGACCTTGGTTGACAAGGTACTAGCTGGCTATCAGCTGGAATTGCGGGTATATCAGTTCGAAAGGGGACTTTAGATGGACTGAGTTCTCCTACATAAAGAATAGTATTCAGCATGTGGTAAAGGCAAGACGTCTTCCTATTCTCCCCTTCAGATCTATCTGAGCCCATACTAGTATCACATCCTCACGAACAATGCGTTTTGCCTTTGTCCTCGCCGTCATTGCAGCTTTAATATCTGCCGCTGCCGCTGCCACTGGCGAGAGCTCACAATGTCCAATCCTCTGCTCAAGTGATGACGATTGCAAAACCTGCCATTATGGGCCGAATTGTGTGAGTTTGGAGTAGTTTGTATTTAACAAAATAACTCACCCGCGGTAGCTTTTCTTCAGATGCTCCAAACATTAGGTTTGTAGTGAGACTGAGGGGATGGTTTTCCTGATGCAGAATCGAAGTCTAGAACCGCAAGCACAACCGTCATAGAAGTCTTTCATCAGTTTCAGTATTTTCGTTTAGATTATCACTGGTAAGTACTCTACCTACTGAGTATTCAACCGCACTCATCTGTAAAGTTCCCTTAGAATTTCTCCCAATCAAAATAGGCTGGTATCTGGTTGTCATTGCGCGACATTATATTCTACATTGTGCCACCATCTTAACTTCTACCTGCCAACGTCAGAAAAACAGAGACAAGTAGGACGAGTCTGATTATACGTCGATTACCAGCCACTGAGAGCTAAAAACGTATGGTTGGAACTTGAAACGAGGAGCGAATCACCGTACTAGGCCACATAGCCTATCGTGATACGGTGGCTCACCAGCACTCCCAGTCATTACCTCGGACCGACAAAACAGTCTCCATCGCTTGGACTCGGACTTTGCACGGATCCAGAGTTTCCGCGCGAGTAATAGTAATCATGGGAATTCTGCATCGTTGGCCCAATGTTCTAGCTCGGTGCAAATCTCAGGCCAGCCTTCGCAGTCTCCATTGGTCCATTGGACTAGCTCATCATAATGCTTGCAAGTTAAGATCGTAAATGCAGGTTTTGCCATTTTATTACGTAGCGAGGCACGAGCGGAGGAAATAGAGTCAAGTCTTTGAACGAACAACAAACGTGGCGTTCGCACCTCTTGTTTCTCTGCTGCGACGACCCCGATGCTCAGTCTGCCGTTTGTATTTCCGGTTTGGGGATACGTCTCTAGTGAAATACTGGAGGATAGTGGCTCAGGATCATATTGACTCACAGCGAGACATTTGCAAGTGCATGGCAATATGCGTTTGGAAGAGGGGGACCGGAAAAATATACCTCGGACCACTCCGACTGGACGAGCTGGCTCGGTGTCGTACTCTCTGGATGGGAGAAAACTAGCAGCAGACACCAATAAACACATCTAGTGCACTCTGCGCCGTTGTACATTCGTGTATTAATATTACATGCCAGACCACCACAAGTACAAACGAAGCCTACTTCGAATTCATCATCGCTCGAAGATGTCCTTCTCTCGCTGTGTTCACGATTTCAAACGAGCAGTGAAATGGTTCAGGGTGCCTTCGGCAGAGTCAACTGCAGGTTTTTGAATATATACTAGGTCACTTACATCACCAGGCCGGTGCCGAACTGCGGCTTCACCTCAATCCTTTCTCCGTTTGAATCTTTGGCATGATCGATGCGCAAGACGGCGAGTATGGCAGAAGCTGCAGTCCACAGGCTGCATTCTGCAAACCAACGACCTGCCAAGGGAATTTGTCATCCTCAACACTGCCAGATGAACCATGAATCAGCTTACCAGGACAGATACGCCTGCAAGGGTCAGTGAATAATTGAAAATGATAGCAAGTGTGGAATATTCACCTGCCATGACCAAAGGCAAAATGGTTGACGAAAGGATCCTTCAACTTCCCGTCAACTGTTAGATGGCGACTAGGATCGAAGCGTGATGCATCAGGAAACATGTCTTCATCCCGAGACAGTGCCCTGAGCCATGCTTAGCTTAAGCCGCCGTTACATGGACTCCATTGTGACATACCACTGATTTACCATTACCATCGCACCTGATCAAACTACAGATCAGTCAACGGCAGCCTCGACTCGTATAACTTCAAACCTTTGGGTATAAAATACCCGTCATAAACATCATCATTTGATGTCGCATGTGGAATTCCTGTGCCAGGGGTCAATTATTCATAGTTATATTTGTGCAGACTGACCTAGGGGGGCGATAGGATGCCATCTCAGAACCTCGAGGAGAATGGCATCAAGGTAGGGCAGTGACACCCTATCATCAAGGCGTGGCATCTTATCATGCTTCACAGCTTGATCAATTTCTACACGAGCCCGGGCTTGGACGTCAGGATAGAGAACCATAGCCAGCAGGAATGCCTGCAATGCGGCTGCAGTCTGCAGGACATCAAAGTAGGAATCAGGACTGCTTAAGTAGCGACTCACGGTGTCTATGCCAGCTAATTGGGTGTCGTATTCGCGTCAATGGATGAATTCTGTCTTGGTAGAAAAAAATCTTACTCGCGTATCCCGTGAGTGCAACAGCTTTCATCGTTTCTTCGTCAGCGTCGTCGTGAGCTTGACTGAGAAAGTCAGCGACTAATGAGTGTAAAGCATTACCATCTGCCTTCACGCGAACAGATCAGATAAAATTTCCGTCCACAACTCTGCGCAAACGTACTATCTGTGCCTTCACAGCGTCAAAGGGCTCATTTAAAAGCTGTTGGGCTAATTCTCTACTGCGTCCCATGAGGGCAAGTGCTCCACCGAAGCACCAAAATGGTAACTTTTCGACTGCAACCTCATGCTGAATGTTCAAAATCATGTCGTCGACAGGTGCACTCACGGAAAGGAAAGGCCGTGAACATGGCAGCCTTGTCGGGAGAAACAATATTTTCGCCGATATGAATGAGTTCGCGTGCGCGGGTCAGAAATGGGTCTTCGTGTCCATGAGCAAGGTATCCGTATGTCACGGCCATGATTAGGGGTGCCATGTATCTGTCACATGGATTGATTATCAACTGGACCATACATCACAACGACACCACTGAATTAGGTACGAACGCTTCAGTCTGTTGCCGCAGGTCACTGGTGGCATTCAAGAGATTGATGACTAGATCGTTTGCGTGGCGAGAGTACATCTCGTGGTACGAGACTGAGACTTCGGCCTTGAGGACTTGATGGAAGATCTTGCGATGTCGCCGTAAAGTCTCGTCATATGGAAGGAACACAGTATTGAAAGAAAGTCCGGCTCTGCATTGTCAGTGGATGAAGAACAAATTGAATGAAAACCGGCAATACATACAATTCGTTGGTGCGAATAACGGGGCGAGTAGAGTAATTCGCAGAGCGCTTGTCCAGCAACTCTCGTGCGATGGTTTCGGAGTTTATGATGATCAAGTCGATCCCAAGTATACGGGAGTAAACGATTTTGCCTATGTTTAAGTATGAAATTGAATCTAAGAGCTTGGCAAGGAGGCCATTAATTGATCTGTTACCAACCATATGTCTTTCCCCCACTCAGTATATGTGAGCCAAGGTCGTTTAGTATCCAATTGCAGCGCATTACCCAGAATTGGTAACGGACGAGGGCCAGGCGGCAGAGGTGAAGGGTAGACACGTCTGCGAGTCAGGCCCAAAGCAACAACCAGGGCAATAATACACGATATCCCTAAAGCGAGAATATGAGTGAAGAGCATGGGGAAGGATTATAGGCGCCAAGACTCGGAGTTTCAAAGGGGAGTTCATGGTACTATCCCCTACGCTCTATTAATATTGGTTACGCTCCTGTTTCGTGATTTTTGTCTACAGCGCTCAGTACTCAATTTCAATTTTAAAGTAATTGCTTACATAAGTATTATTAGTTGTTGGTAAGAAATCAATTCGCAGTAGTTCCCACGGCATACTCTATTGTCTTCAAAGACTTAAACTCATTCCTACCGTCACGATCTACGGAGAGAAAAGACAAAAGGTATTTAGACGTCTCTTGTAGGAGATTATACCTCGTTTAGGCGACATTTTCGCCCTTGCCTGGGTGGGACAACTGTCTGACTTCAATAGTTGTCTGCCAGCCGACATTTTATAAAGCTCTGCCATCCATGTCTATCTGAAGATGGATTGCCGACATCGGTCTCCACGACGCGACGTGCCGTGGTCATGGAGTCGGCCTCGAAACTGTACACCCTCCTTGCTAACCTCAGCATTCCTCGTTTCGCGAACGCCAGACTGCAATTGCCTTGCATTGTATTTCCTCTCACAGAAGTCAGGCGGAAGCCCGGTCAGGAAGGGACAGATGCTTCACTTATGACGTCAAGGCAGACGAGCCACAAGACCTATTGATCACCACGGAAGATACTGACTCAATTCTCTCCCGCACGGCCCATTCTGTTGACATTCTTGCTCATCCCTCCATGAAATCGTCATGATCTTGGGCTGCTTGACTTTGCGGACGAGATACAGGGCATGGATGATTGACTTGAGCCCGTGTCTCCGACAGACCATCCAGTTGGGTGGGCTCCTGAAGCCAGTTACTCGAGAGTTAAGGGTGCTTGTTCGCTTCTGACAGCCTTTTGGCGCACTTTTGCTAGCGCAGCAGCGTGTTGGGGAGTAGTAAGAGAATTGCTTCGGACAACAATATCATCGCAGAAAGTCGAGGACATAGCTTCTGTTGATGACATGGCCGATATCAGGACTCCGGAGATATTATAACTAGAATTTTGGACACAATTTCATTTATACCTTGACAGTACCTGCATGGACGAGGACTTCGTTTCGTATCAAACCGTACTATACTATCTCATACAACACACCTGTGCTTTAAGTCACCCATCCACTTAGTGCGTGAGACTTCGCAAGGCAATATGTTCCTATTATATTTGGAGCAAAATCATGATTGTTGAGACGATACATCTGGAATCGTCCTTAGATCTTGCCTGAATCCTCCGTTTGTACAGCGGTTAACGGCAACGACCCGTAGGGGAGAACCACATCCATCTCGTTGACTTCAACGACAATTTCTCCTTCACTGGTCCCTCTCCTCCACTGGACGCGACTGAGTTCAGCATGATTGAGCAACCATGCTGGATCGACGTGGCAAGTTGCAGCCAAGGAGCGGATACTTAGCATCGCGCGACAGACGGAGACGACTGTAGCTGCTACTGCAATTCTAGGAAGTAGACGTTGCTCATGAGCTTCGGTGAATAATGAAGGATGACATGACCTTACTCTCCCCCCAGAGCTGAATAGTAAACCTGGCCACGATTTCACATGTCAACGAGTCATGCAACTATGACCATGAAACTTACGGATATTTCCCCTGGTTTAGTCAGAGAAAGAGCAATGATTTCGTACAGTATCGTTCCTGTCATTTGCTTCAGCGTCTGCAAAACGAAATGAATCGAGATATAGATATATTCACCGGCTGCAAACGCATACATAAATATTCCTCTAAGTAAACATTAGCTTAGAGCCTGTGACCGACAGGGGTGACCCACTCTTTTAAGAACCGGTGGACAATCCCGCGACTCGGCAAGGCTGCTGGGCTAATGCCAAAACGATATATCGTTAATGATAACATGGTCGTATGGACGACCAAGGCTGGCAGGTATATCGCAAATAACGTTGCAGGATTCCCCTTTAAGGTCGACGGGTCGTATAGCCCGTACGCAGCAGTCTTAATAGCATTAAACGCGGCGCTGCCAGCGGTTGCGACTCCTACCGCGGAAGCGATCAGAATAGTAACCGCCAGCCCTCTGATGAAGCGACTTCGGTAAAATAGATGCCATACCCGCAATGTTACTACACCTGTGCACATCAGTTACTTCAGTGTGATCAATGAATACACAAAGACGGACATTGGCAGAGTTCCATTACTACGATCACAAGGATGAAACCTGTAATAAAGAGCCAGTTTGTACTATTTCCTGCGTGAACTGGTGTGTTGAGCCTCGTCACGCATGACTCACTTCTGTGGAAAGTCGTACGTAAGATGCGGCGATACGACCTTGAGAAGCACTCACAGCAGAACTGGGAGTCAGGACATTTCCTATTCGCCTGAGTCGTTAGAGCCACGACACGTATATTCTCGCTGACGGACCATAAAACACGATACTAATCAATCTCGTCAATTGGTGCGATGTCATTGGGAGGAATCAAACACGCACATCATTTGTGTTAGAGCCAAGTATCGAATCTGTCAAATCCACGATTAAGCACCGGCGGCGAATACAAATTACCAATGGCGTTACACTGAGATATAGTATTCTTGAAGTTGACCATGGCCCAGACCAGAAGAAGGTTACCTAGAACAGTGAGCCCAGTGTGAGATTACTATCGATGATGGAGGCCACGGTACCTCTTGAGAGAACGTGATAATATGATCGTACACTACTAGGGTGAATGATGCTATGGCCAAGTGCGCGGAGGCAGCGCTCGCCGACTTCTGCGCGATCGTGGACATGGTGAATTACAGAGGGTCCTCGAATGCCTACTAGAGGAAGCACTATTCCGGGGAATCACATTGAGGAGTTTACGTGGACCCTATATACCAGATATCCACTCGGAGGCGAGGCCGTAACATCTTACTACGCGTCGACCTGCTCGAAAAGGAGAGTCATTCAAACAATTATAGCGTCCAACCGTGTTTGGCATCTTTCATCAAGATATATGGCGTTGACGTTGAAGTTTCCAAATGCGTCTATTTGATGTTGTCATGCTGTATTTTTGCCACTCCCATCATCAGCTGAGACACAGCGTTAATAAGAGGATCTCCTCCGATTCGTCAATGACGCATATCCGTTATGAGTAGATAGAAGTGCATAGAACTTGCCTTACTCTCTCCCACAATGACCTCTATCTCGCGTGTAATAGAGTAATGCGCAAATCACTGGGTCAGCGCACAAATTGAAGTCCACTAAACCCTATTTTCATCAAGGCATTGATGCAGTGTACCAATATGTACTAAAAGCGTATAGCTGAAACTGCAAGTTCATCACTGAAATTAGTCACATCAGTGGCCAAAACACAGCCACGAGTCTCACCTATAATATATTGTAGTTCTTCGTGGGAGTGCCTTGATCATCGAAGTTGCTACCACTCGAAGATACTGTATCTGGAACCACCGTGTGAGAAAGACTTGTCATGGGGAGTTCTGTGGCGCAGGAACAGTCTAGCTCGACAAAAATCTCGCCTTCACTGTTTCCCTTGGTCCATTGGACACGACTGAGTTCTGCGTGGTTGAGGAGCCACGCTGGATCTACATGAAGCGTCGCAGATATAGATCGAATGCCGAGTAACGCGTGGCAAACGGAGACAAGGGTTGCAGCGACGACGAGGCTGCGTAAATAATTGATTTCATGATTTCATCCATCAGTGAGCCATGAGAGCGACCTACCCGCCTTGTAAACCTGTGTAGTAAACCTAGAGAATCATAAGTTGCTGAGCAGAGCAAGATACGGACTGAGGCTACACACGTCTAGTTGCGAAAGGTTGGGAAATGAAAGAGCGATGATTGTGTACAGTAGCGATCCTGAGCTATAGCATGACAGGTGTGAAAGTCGATATCAGACTTGAATGCTTACCCGTTGCGCATGCATACACGACCAGTCCCCTAAGAATGCATATAGTAAGTATTTGGTGTGAGTAGGTGCACAATCAAAAGCATACTCTTTTAAAAAACCTTCCAGAAGCGAAGAGCGTCTCTGAAATCGGTCGCTTGTCATATACCTATATACCTTGAGGGAAAAAAGCACGCTATGGTCTACAAAGCTAGGCGCGTACAAGAGGGCGAAAATCATCGGGCTCTTGGTAAAACTCGGATCGACTATTTCCTCATAATATTGATCGAAGAGATAGTCACTTAACGCTATGGTCGACCCTATGCACACGATGTATAGCGACGCAGCAAATATTTGTATTTGCCTGTTCCTTGCGAAAAGGTACCAAACACGGAGAGCGATGACAGCTTTGGAGGTCGTTGATAGATGCATCAATAGATTTCAAGCTGCGTACCTTGACACAACGCCACACCCAGAGTTACCAACACGACATGACCAGTAAGTAATGCCTTGAAGCTTAGTTATTAATGAGTGTGGAGCCTTGGACGATGACGGAAGCTAGCGAGGCTCACGTCTGCGAGTGATCTGAGCGATTTGGCACACCAAAAGCATCTCATCACACTTACAGTAGGTTTGAAGACATGAAAGTGCACTGAGGTGACATGGAATCAGAGATCACCCTTGCCATAAGAACCTTCCTTACGGTATACTGAAACACTGAGAGACGATGAGCGATCATACTAGTTAGACGCTTGGTGCTCACAATGCTTGAACTAATCCCAAATATCGTATCTGCAGATGGACAGTCAGGGAGATGTTGTACTGTGGAGTGGGATGTATGTATCTCACGCTGAGATAGAAGAATTTTGTTGCATCTTGTCGACCGGTCCAAAACAGATCCACCTGCATGTGTCGTCGATCAGTAACTCCCCGTCCTAGTATTAGGAACATCATGAGGGTACTGACCTCCTGATCAAACGTTATCACATGGTCGTAGACAATTAGAGCCGCTGAGGCGACGGCGAGGTCTGCAGAGCGAATCGATGCAGTCTGGCCAATAATATAGTCGGTCATCAATGAGGTTGACATGGCTGGAGAAGTGGTGAAGAAGGGTTGCAGGATTCTTCTTATGCATTTCAAGGGGTTGCTGATACGCGTCCTCACGTGAGGCAGTGCCGATTGATCACAATGATGGCATCTCTCGCACCGTACTGCCAGAAGCTCGAAATAGAGAATCCCGCGTATCGCAATAAAAGCGATTATGTTGACGGCGAACTTCACGATCTATCACGATGTTCTGGACTTCGACAATGTGAAAATAAATGCAAAAATGAAACATCCGTGGGATGGATTTCGTTTGTCGTCCTGCTCAGATCTGAAAAGCTCTGGACAAGCCAGAAGGAAATTCCACACTTGTCATGGATTGTCATCGATGTATCGCAGGATATCGGCGTATGACCGTGTGGTAGTACAAGTTGTAGTGGTCGAACATACAAATTTGCTTCAACAACAGACTCGGAAGTCCCACACCAATTAAAGAACTCGGGTTCGACTTAGATATATATCATATAACAGGCACACGTTGGACATGTTACGTGCAGCGGGCGTTGTAGTAGCAACCCATTCACAGAAATTTCCCTAGGTTCGCAAAAGGTAGGTAAACTCAAGACGGCATGGCGTACAGTAGTACTCACCATGTGACATTGTTTTTTTGTGATTGAAGCGGGTCTTGTACCTGTTTGAAATTGATCAAGGACGTAAATTCCTGCAAAGGACCAGCTGTTCGAGGGGGAAAACCTGTTAGGCATTTTCAGGCTGAACCGTCTAAGAACACGTCCACTTTGTGGCTGAACCATAACTCTATTGGACGTACTTATTCTCGACCAAATGGGAATGGAGTGGAGCGACATCTGACATCAAAAGTACTGGCGAAAGTAGAGTCTCCATGATTGACAAATTTTGCATGGCATGAATGCATAAGGGCATGCGAGGACAATCGACGTAGATGTAGGTAACCATAACTTTAACGCACTCAAGGAGCGAACAACGTGTTGAGGAAAGCCTCTCCAGCAGAAGAGCCCTTGGCCTTCTTTCCCTTCTTGTCTTTTTGTGCCTTGACACGCTCTTGCTTGACTATAACACATCAACGTGATGCATGAGTCATCAATTGAATTGGATGTTAAGTAGATAAGATACATACGCAATTCTTGTCTGCGGAGGGTCTTGGCGTAAGGGTTCATACGGAAGAGGACGCCCTTGTTGACGAGAGGGTTCTTCTTCTGCGTCCATGGGCGCTTCTGGACCCTGGGACCTGCGGGGCGGACAACAGATTGAATCTCAGTGCTGTTAATGAGACGAGTGACGTCGGGGTTGGAGATCTTAGCGGTGGGAAGGCTATACACAACAGTCAGTCGAGCAATAAGGCACTGCACACGCGACGCACAGGTAGTCCTTCTTGTACGAAGAGGCTTTGTCGAAGGTGCCGAACACCTCATCAAGGAGGCTGAAGGCACCCTCTGTCCAGATGACGAAGCGGCCAATGTGTCCACCAGGAGCGAGTTGGAGAAGGTTCAACCTTTGGACGTTGACGAGTTCGACACCAGGCAAGTTACGGAAAGCCTGGACGATGCCATTGTCCTCCTTGAAAACGACAAGAGGGCCACGACGTTGACGGTAGCGGCGGTTGCGCATCTTGCCCTTTCCTGCACGGAGTTTGCGCGAGTTGGAGACCTTGGTAACATCCGTGTATGCATTCAGGGCCTGGAGGAGAGCTATAGCCTCCTTGGTTTTCTTGAAGGACTCAGCTGCGTTCTCAACGACAAGAGGAACCTCAGAGATTTGCTCGATACGGTGACCGCGGGCGAGAACAAGAGATGGGAGCGCGGAAGCTGCGAGTGCGGAGACGGTAGCGAAGCGGCGCTGATTTTGGTTGATCTTGACGTGCCATTTGCGCCAAGTCTTGGTGGGGGCGAACATGCGACCGCCACGGCACATGTTTCCAAAGGCAGCCTGAGGATATATTGTCAATTATGCAAGATCATAGATTGGATGGCGGTCCACGCACCTGACCAGAGCGGTGGGTACCACCACCACCGACACGAGGAATACGCGCAACAGCGCGACCAGTACCCCAGGACTCAGCGGAAGTCTGGTGGCCGGCCTTCTCGCTGACAGCGTAAGCCTGACGCCTGTTCTTAGCCATGCTCTCTGAGATAATGTCATATTTCTATTCAAGTGAAAAACACTTGTTACGCACTGTGAACCTGGGCGACTACATCAAGCCTGATGGGAGCTGTGAGGACTGCAGGAAGGGGAAGGGAAGTCGAAGCCTCTATATGAGATAGACTTTAGTGTGGATGGTCAGCAAGTCCGACGATGAGTACAGACCTCCGGAGACGGATTGGACGGTAACGGTGGGTCTTGAGGCCATTGTCGTTGATCTTGACGGTTTTGACGGTCTTGAGGTGTACTAGCCTGCCTAACGTGTTGATACAAGAAATAGAGTTTGCTAGTTGTAAGCCTCAGAGCAAACATGACCAAACAATCCCCCGACTCAACTAGACAGACTTAAATCGCCTTCATCTAGTGCCATTGCTACGTCTACGATACAGTCGCTGGAACAACGAGATTAATGGTGTCTGCGGACCTTTACACCAAAGTGGCACAAACTCGAATTCGTGTTTTTACAGGTCTTGGTGTTTAACAGGGGTCAGCTTATTATGAACAACTGACTAGAACTGGTACGACGCGTGCCGGTTTTCATTTTGTCCTACTTACCTGTTCCACGAACCCGACGACACATCGTTGCAGTCTAAGTAATGCGTGATCATTCTTAGTTTCATGGACGTCTTATCTTCCACGATATCAAATACGATATGTGCGTTCCTTATCAACTCTCTCTCTCTCCTGCAGAATACCTCTCAAGCTCAACAGGTGGAAGCACGATGGAACAACCGACAACTTACTAATGGATCATCGGATCTAGTTCTGGTTATAATCATTCATTTCGACTTCTACAAACAGTCCGCTTTACTTCCTCTATCAAGCGCGGCGGTGTAGGACAGCTGGAATAGCTTCTAGGGGTGCTAATTCGAACCGAACGTGCGATCAGGTCCCGGATTTCGGAGATCCTAGGGCTTTGTTCACACGTTCGATTGGGATTAAGACATTCAACTTCATTAGGATTTTGGTGTATCGATACTTGTGTTGTGACACTCAAGAGTGCATCATAGAAGTTTTTTCCCGTGGATTGACGCTAGCGGCACCACCTGGAGCTCCTCATACCTCTCCATACTCTCCTAAGTAGCCGGGGAGGGATTCAGATTTGGCTATGCTGAGTCGGCCGCATCATTCACCACGCATCACTCCGAGTGTCATAGTGGTAACCGATCCGCCGTTGATGGCCGTGGTGTATCGTGAGGGCTTGATCAAGGAGGCTGGGTCAGGGGCCGCTGATTGTGGTGGCACAAAATGCCCATTGTTGGCCAATTGGGACGATAGATATCATGATACATTGCCTCTGATGTGTTTCCATTGGCTTGCAATACATCATCCCGCACTGAACTGACAAAGCCGCGAGGCGGTGATTATCAGGCGTGTCAGACGTTGAAGTCACAGCCTGAGCACAGATTCACTCGACAGAATGAAGCATTGGGTTCACTCCGATCGTTGTGGATGTATGTGTCTTGCATAACATAAAAAGCACGATTCATTGACGTGGCACAAGCAAACACGTGAACTCACACAACTCCAACACTTCCAAGCACACTGCCCAATTTCCCTCCAGTACGCCCCCATTCTGTTGCCTCCTCTCAAGTCCTGGACATCCGTCGACTTATACCCACCACCTTAAACCGGACGACAGAGGCAGAGAGCACTGTTCTCAGGTTCATCCTAGAGCAATTACCTTGCTACTGTATCCTGAGCATGTCAGTTATATACCTTGACAAATTTGTGATAGACGAGATCATGATCATGTGGCTGCGCTTGCATCCACAACCAGATGTGAATAGGCGTTCGGTCATCCAAGATGCGGGTTAAAATAGGTACGCAAAGAGGCCGTGACGATAAAGTCCACGTTCTTGCCACTCGTGAAAAGAAAAATGACAGGCGCGGAACAAAACGTACTGTTCTGGCGCTGGTGCTATCACGGGTTGTCCAGCTAACTGTTAGTGAGAACGACAAATGCTTCCTGAGCACGCAAGACAGAAATGTGTCACCCTCGAACAGGATGATCTGGTAAGATGATTGAAGCAAAACATGCTCATAGCATCACTGCGACTCTACATCAGCATAAGTCCTATTCTGTAGTCTATCTTCTAAAGATTGGGTATCGTCCATGAGATCAGCGTCCATTGAGACGACTGACATAGGGGGGCATGAGATAACTGTCAAGTGTTGTGATTGAAGCTGTAGATTTGGCGTTTGCCGGGGTTCAAGTGAGGCTGCAGACTTCGACAGAGTAGGAGAGTGCATGGAGTAATTTCGGGTTTGGTCACCGGAGGTATAAACTACCGGTGACCCCATTTGCTTTTTAAGATTTAGTGTGACGCGCGACGTCATTACAACCTAAGTACAATAAGAGAAAATGTCAATCGAGTATAAATTTTGCCTGTCCATCGACTTACTGTTAACCTATTAACAAGATCACAGAGATATTAAGTATGACAACAGAATGATTAACTGAGAATCTCACAAGTACACTGATCTAGTGAACAGGTGTGAACCATTGTAGCCACGGGCACAAAGTTAGAGTAAACTTACTGAGCAGCAACACCTTTCTGACCCGGGGGCGCTCGTACGATCATCACAGTCAGTACTAGGTTGGCAGAGAAAATGACACTACTCAATTAACAGGTTAAGTAGTCGACTTGAATGGAGAAATGTACACACGGATAGTACAATGCACCTTCGTATAGCAGTCTGAGCCCAGCTCCTTTACTCCGGATGAGGGGCACAGTGATCCATAGGGTCATGGTAAAGAGGGCTGAGTCATATGCCAAAGGTATCCATGCCCGAGCAGCAGAGAGTGTCCTGATGCCACGATATGGTGAGTGATTGATAAACTAACAGGACAAGAAGTCGTACAGCGGAAAGTCATGAATCTCACGGCAGGCTGACCGAGCAATCAGCAAGAAATCACTACATCAGGTAATAGTGCTCACAGTGTACTTGTTGAGTAATGGAAACCACTAGAATGGTATGATATCACTGCTGTCTGCACATATAACAGGTGTGCTTACTTTCTCCACGAGCCATGGCATACGCCTCAAGTGCAACCCAGACTAAAAAGAGGAGACCCGGTATCGTGAGACCCCGGGCCGGTATTCTAGTAGCAGGTCTGCACCCTAGATACAAAGCGTAGATCCTAAAAAAGTCGTCAGGCGCACCAACCACCATCTCCTTGAAGTGGCTCACCGTGACAGCATTATTAGTTGCGCTATACTGACACCGATGATTGCCATGGCCCCTTCGTATCTCACAAATTTTCTGCAGCTTAACAGCAGTTTGATGCCAGTCATTTCAGATCGAAGTTACATACCTCTAAGATAATACATGTGATTAGATGATTTTGAGATACTGTAGAAAGCAGTTACCTACCTCTGTAGACCAAGTGGGGAGGGTCAACGCTGACAATATATTTCAACGAAGAGTGACCTATAATACGAGAAGAGAGCTCACCAACAATGTTGATGACAAACCCCAGAGGCGTGACATATCGATTCTTGAAATTGAAGTAAAATGTATTTTCGGAAGCGTCAGACGGAGGCTCACGTACCAGCAGAAATAGATACACAACTAGAACGAATTTAGACTGAAGTGAGCGGACGAAGATGTCAGAGGGTAATCTATACTTACCAAACCCTTTGGGTTTACACCAGATCAAATCTACCTGGATTAACTTCATTCACGCTGTCGAGATAAAAGATTCGGGAGACGTACCTCGTCCTCGAAAGTAATTATGTGATCCCAACACAGAACCGTGAAGCTCGCGATAGTCACCAACTTGAAATACAATGATATATCAGATGTTGAGACGGTGAATAATGAGAATCAGACGTACGACAATCTGTTGACTATGGTTAACAGGAGATGATTCGTGAAGGCGTGCGATGCATTACGACAGCGTAGGTACTTACGCCTGGAGTGAACCCAAGGTCATAGATCGCGTGATCGATGGTCATAGCATCCATTCTTGACAAAATAGTGAAAGTGCAGACAAGCGAGACCTGTAGATGTGGTCTCTGGTTAACGGAGAGCATCTGGGAGTCTCTTATATTCGCAACGCACCCAATAGTTGATGCTTTGCGTCAAAGGACTATGAATCAGCGTATGCAGAAATAAGAACATGAGCTTCTCGAATATCCATGAAACACTTATTACCAGTCCTTAGGCGCCGGTGTCGGACGGAGTGTGTGCAGTGACTCAATTCATTTGGCATCTCAGCTCTAATCGCAACAAGCGTAAGGTGTTTGCATAAAGTTAAGAAAAATGGCCAACCCGTCGCGATCGTTGTCGTCAACACAGGGGAGAGCCCGGAGCACAACTTGAAGGACCGCCAGTGGCTGTGCAACAAATGTGATGATAATTACTCTCCTCGGATTACATAGTAAAAGTACGTATATACTGCAAGCTACCGCTAGTACTATTGGTGATATACATACATGTATGCTGTGAGCACTGCACTGTAATACGACAGCCTGTTGTCGAATAGAAGAATCTCAACTGTACTGATTTGTTCGTAAGAAACCTATCATAAATGTATTTTTGACGATTTGTAAGCGGCTTTTTGGTTGTGGGTAACTGTGCTCGTGGGTAGCGTGAGGACCAAACCTTGACCGCTAACTATTGTCCTTCAGCTCTCTCGTGTGTCATCATGAGCTTCCAGGACATTGAAACTGGCCTTGCACGTACGGGACAATCAAGTTCGACAGCGCTTCAGCCGCGTGAAGAGTCTGCGTTTCTCTCCTTGCAATCCTCACTTTCACTCCAAGTGTTCAAGATAAATTCGAATGTACAGGGTATTCTCAAGCTGGTCGACCAACTTGGCACCACAAAAGACTCTGCCACGCTCAGGAAGTCTTTGTACGTACTACCGGCTAGTTACCAACTCAGTTACTAAATGCATTATGGACACAGGCATGACCTCACCGAAACGACGAGGGCTATGGCCAAGCGAGGCTCTGAGGACTTGAAGAAGATTGCCTCAACAGCTACTGCAAGCGTAAATTGATATCCTATACTGGCTTTTTTGTCAACTGAATCGGACGCACCAGCCTCAACACAAGACCTCAGTTCAGAAGATATCACATGACTTGCAGCTGTCTTTGGTGGCATTTCAAAGAGCACAACAATTTAGCGCAGAGCGCCAGAGAACAGTGGTGGAAGGGGTGAAAATAGCAGTAGAAGACGAGCACTACGATGATACGTGCGTTACTCTCCCCTCATGAAGGTGCTATTACCTCATGTTTCCACAGGTCGCGCCAACGAGAGCCAAGCGCGTCTCCCCGACTACGTCAGGTTCAACTTCTTCAGTCACAGCTTTCTCCACACGAACTCGCGTACCAAGAGTCTTTGATTCAAGAACGAGAAGCGGAAATTCAAGAGATCGAGTCCGGTATACATGAACTATCGGAGATATTCCGTGATCTTGGGACACTTGTCAACCAACAAGGCGGCATGATTGGTATGTGACATAACTTCCGTTATAACACTAACTCACTGGCGCTTTTTGTTCTTCCCCCCCTTTGTCACAGACAACATCGAATCAAACGTGTATTCCATCGCTGTAGATACCCAAGGGGCAGCCGAGGAGCTTTCGACTGCTTCCGAGTACCAACGCAAAGCTGGGCAACGTGCAGCATGTCTCATGATCATTCTCGTCATCGTCGTTGCAGTTGTGCTTCTGGCTGTATGTGAAACGTCCACTATTGCAGGTAGACTTGACTAATCAATCTCCAGATTTTGTCATAGATGTGGCCTTGTGTCGTCGCCTCTCATACCTTTCCTATTTAGTTGGCTGATGGATTATGGACCTCGCCGTGGATATGTTTCATGAAGTGTTTTTATTTCTAATGTCTATTTTTGATATCGATACACTTTGATGCGAGTTCATAGTACCCTCCCTAGTGAATGTATGTGTGGTAAGTTAGAACGAGGATGGCGTAGATTTTAGTTATGGGTAAGTTCTTCTCGAGTTCTTCTCGATGTGTGATATGCGCGTACGTAGTCTCATGAGTTTGTATCTTACAGAAAACAAATTTAGAACGTATCACTACTCAAGAAGCTGGGGAGAACTCTTGATATATGGACACGAAGCTTCCGTTGCAGCCCCTTCACTGGGTTGCACGTTGACGGGTTAAACCTGAGGATGACAGAGAATCACAAGGGGTTTCATAAAATGGACAAGAAAAACTGATCCTGGAACAAGGCAATATCAGCTTGTCGGACATTTGGGTGGGTGAATTGAGAAATATTAGAAAAATACATACCTGCGAAGAAGACGACGAAGACGAAGACGATGCAAGTTCCTGCCCTTCTGATAAAATATCAAGACAAGACCGCAGACCCTTCAAACACCACTGTCGTTCGAGCCAGGAAAGGAGGTGACGATTCCAGAAAACATGGAATTTATGGTTGAGCGCGTCGTCCCGTGGATTTGGAGCACACGAGAGATGGATAGTCCAGTTTTGACAGGCGTACTTGAGAGCTTCGGAAGATGATTGACTTTTTTGCTGCGCTTTGTGTGTGAAAGTCGTGAAGGCGTTCATGGCATGGATGATCTCCCTGTTTGGCAGACGATGTATTGATAATGCAGAGGCAGAATGATGCTGATGCCTTAACGCCATCAACGCCGGCAACATTAAGAAATCCGGCAAGGTTTTGAACTGTTGGATAACTTGGGCTAGCGGTAAAGGCAATTCTGGAACGATGGTATACTCGCTGATTGCTTCCAACGTACTCGAGAATTCTTCCATAGTCACCCAGAAAGACGCCGCTGGAGTGGATTGCCACACTCGGCCATGGGGCGTCTGCAGCCAATGTTGTCCTGCCTGGGTCTGCAGCCAGTATTGTGCTCCCTGGGTCTGCAGCCAGTCTCGTCCTGCCTGGGTCTGCAGCCAGTCGTGTGCTGCCTGGGTCTGCAGCCAGTCTCGTCCTGCCTGGGTCTGCAGCCAGTCGTGTACTGTCTGGGTCTGCAGCCAGTCTGGTGCTGCCTGGGTCTGCAGCCAGTTTTGTGCTGCCTGGGCCCGCATCCAGTCTGGTGCTTGCCGGATCAGCGGCCAATCTCGTGTTACCTGGGTCTGCAGCCAGTCTGGTGCTTCCTGGATCAGCGGCCGGACTGGCATCAGCCGGTCTCGTTCTCTCTCGGTCCGCAGCCGGCTTCGCCCTCTCTCGGTCCTGAACCAGCTTTGTCCTCCCTGGGTCTGCGGCTGGTCATCTGGCACTTCCTGGGTCTCTGACGGGTCTGACGGGTCTGATGAGTCTGACACGTTCTGTAATTCTGGCATTGACCCGTCGGACTCCCAGTCAGATCCTCTCTTGGTATGCAACCAGACCCTCTCGCCCTTGGTACGCAACCAGACCCTCCCGTCCTTGGTACGCAACCAGACATTCCCGTCCTGGGTACGCAACCAGACACTCCCACCCTTGGTCCTTAGCCAGACACTCCTGCCCTTGGTCCTTAGCCAGACACTCCCATCCTTGGTCCCCAGCCAGGCACTCCCGTCCTCGGTCCCCAGCCAAAATTGTAAATCTGAAGTACGATCTCCCCGAAGCCATAGTATACCGATAAGGATTGAGAGCGGTTCAGGTGGCTGAACGAGGAACGCTAATGAGTCTTTTAATTTTTTTGGATCCTCAGGTTGCATGGCTTGGCTCTGTTTCTTCAGTTCTGAGAGCGCATCCAATAGGGCCGCGCTTCCTGGAATCTCTTTCATCATCAAGCCAAGAGAGGAATCCGCGAGTAGGGAGTGGGGTGATTTCATATCGTGTTCGCGTACTTGAGGGAGGCTGCAGTTTGAGGGGTCGGAAACGTAATCACGAACGGATGTGTGATGGATATTCACGGGGAGACCGGTGTCGGTAGGAATATCCACGACAGACCGTAGCTGTATCAACGTTGTCCGCACATCCCTGCCCAAACCAGGGCCAAGAAGTGTCGTTATTTGCGAGACGGGAATAGGGTCTGCGAGGGCGGCGACAATGGACAAGTGCATGTAAGCCCGCTTTGGGTCGGCACACGTAGAGAGGATACAGTCGTATAACTTGTACACCTCCGTTCCTGCTAGCAGCTCGCTCGTCAGCCTGAGCATCAGTTGTAACCGATCGTGGGGATCCTTGTCTTCATCGTCGATAATAAACTTCATCATTGTAGACGCCACGATGAAACGTCTACCAGCGCGGGTCGCCAGCTGCGTGAGTTCATCCCTCGTTGGTTGAGGGAAATCGGGATGGCGACTTGCCAGCTTTGCGAAGGAATGCTGCAAGAAAACATAGATATCTATGTTGACATCGGCGCCGTCGAGCGAGATGATAGCAGCAAGACCTTCCCCAGAAGTTTTCACTGGTATTTCACACAACAACGGGCGCACCTCTTCGTCCTGAAAGGCTTCAGAGATATGGGTTTCCGAGCGACTTGTGAGCAGAATGTGGGTCACGGGAAGATGAGGGTCACAAAGAGCCTGTGCGAGGGCAAAGATGAGATCAGCAACCTCGGGTATGGATGTGCATTCATTAAGGGCATCGACAACAAATGTCAGAGGCTGACATCCGCGCAATCTGAGTTGAAGTTTTCGGAGGGGTTGGAGAAAGAGAGCCTCCATCTGGTCGCAGAGGGGTGTGTCTGGGTCTAGTAGAGCGGGATTGTCCCGGATAACTCTGCTCACATCCTTCCGGATGTTGGAAAATTGTTGGCAAGTTGGTAGACAAGCGTTGCAAAAAAAATATCCAGCCGTGCGACGTTTCGTGTGCTTGCGCGAGAAAAAGAACGTCCCCGCTAGCCGCTTTTCGACGTTTGTCTCTTCTGTCACTTTGAGACCTCTCATCCTCTCGGCTACAATGAACGCAACAGCAGACTTTCCGACGCCTGCCGTGCCATGCAGCCAAAGGAGCTGATTCTTCTTTGTGTCGTCCAGGAATCCGTGGATGTATTTGAGGAGATTCACCCGGGTCCCTTCCAAACATTTCGAGTGGGGCTGACGTTCACGGGAGTTATATTGAGCACCCTTGACAGCGACCTCGGATAGCTTCTCCCAAGTTCCTTGAACGACAATCAAAGAAGTCAGAGACCTTGCGAGAGATAAGAGATGGAAATACTGACCTTGATCGTCACTCATTGACGAAGATTGCAACATGTGTGATGGAATGGACTTGCAACTGAAAGTACTATTACTCAGTAACTGGGTTCGAGGGTACGGTCAGAAATAATCCGGATGATAGTTATCTGGAGGGACGACGTACGAAGATTTGAATCGAAGCTTGTAAGTTATGACAAAACTTAGGTCACGGATGAAAACGGGATGGAGGGACGGATATTTCAATATATTCTGCTATGGAAAGCTCGCTGGACGGTTGTGGAATGCAGTTGAAGAACAAGTAGGCGCTCGCCGTCCAGTGCTTGCAGGAAGGCACGAGGCTGCAGTGCCGCAATCAGTGAACCGGTGAACAGATGAGAAAGTTATTTAATGTAGAGCATCGCTCAGACTCCTACTCAGTCGGCAGTCATGTGTAGGGTATACAGGATTAAGGCTCTCTACACATGTGTAGAGAGCCTTAATCCTGTATAGTCACACTGTGTAAATACAACAACACATAGTTTTTCCGACACTTCTTGTTGGAGCAGGCTTGCAAATGGGTTATATCAGGCTCCTACCCATCCGCGGCTGGAGAGGTTCGAGGACGGACTGCTATTACATCTGAGGTGTTGTGTTAGGTTATCTGACATCAGCATTCACTGCGGAAACGAGATTTTAGGCAGACCCTAATCAGAGGGAGACGGCGCGTGTAACACGACTCTAAACGTACCTAGCTTGTAATCAGACGTAAATCCGAGATGTCGCAAATTTTGCTCGCTCGCTCCGGAGCAACACATGTAAACAGACACTTTTCCAACTTCGTCAACACGTCTATTTGGACCCCGTTTATTCTCTTCAAATACCTGCAATTCCACCACTAATCAACACCGCATATTCAATATTTCGACGTCTGTTTAGGTCGCGCTTGAAGCAAAGTAAGTTTTTCAAAAATTTGTCTAAGTCCCGCGTTACACCTGCTCTACTAGTACGGGAGTTTTGCTCACGTGACTGCATACAGTCCGACATGTCTAGATATCGATATCGTTATGTCCTCTTAGACCATACTACTCAAACACATCCGAACCCTGTATCGATTGACCAACATGGCTCCCCCTGTACGCTGCTACTGCAAAGTTACAAAGTGCAATGGCATTCTTGTTCCACCTCACGTTTTTCGCTCGCATGAGCGCTCTGACTTACGCCAACGAACTCTTGCTGATCAGGCTAACTTTGCCCGGTGTGTCGGGCAACGCATCATCTCACAGGGTGATGCAGATATTGAGCCAGTTCCTCGAGGATTTTCAGTTCCATTACATGAACCTCCCCCTCCCTTGTCTCCGGAGTTTCGTGACCCTTTGGAGGATGTTGTATTGGATTACGGGGCACTTACAGATGTAGATTTTGGTATTGCGACATCCAGCGGCCCTCTGCCCAACCTTGGTCCTAACATGCGCAGTCCCAAGGTTCTTATTGCCGCTGTTGACCACTTTGACGTGTATAACAATGCGACAGCTGCTGGCTCTCGGCCCCTGACAGCTCATGACGCGCACAAACTTCCTCTTGACCCTGAGCAACGTGCTTTTGAACAGCAACTTGCGAAGACCGTCGAGGAAATGCAGAGAGAACAAGCTGCTCTTGATGATGAAGGGGAGATACAGGATTTCGATGGAGATGGATGCTTTGATGGACCCGATGAAGAAGAAGACCGTGCGCCTATACAGGCAGAACCAGGGGAGGACGACCCTGATCCCTTCCTTCCTGATGAAGACTACTTTTCAGAAGACCACACGGATCTTTCGCACCTCCCTCACCATCTGCTAGTAATATACGCACTTGTCTCATGGCTTCACCTTCAGTTTCACCTTCCACGAGTTGCATACAATGCACTCCTTGCGATACTGGCTTGCATTTTACTCTCGATTGCACCCGCCATCGACACTCCTTTTATAACGCTCCAATCCAGCAATCGGGTACTTGGTGTGGACAAGACTATCTACACTCTTCCTGTTTGTCCTTCTTGCCGTGAAGTTTTCCCTCCTGCTGGTTCAGTGCATACCGTGGATACCTGTCTGATCTGCCTCGATGATCTTTTCCTGTCAGAACACAGGTAACCAACGAGCAGTCAAGTCCCCGGTGATAAAATATCTTATCTCCCACTCTCCGAACAGCTGAAATCTCTCTTGAAGATACCTGGCTTAGAAGCACTACTGGATGGCTCGCCTTGAAGTGTTTGCACTTGTGCTGTAAGTGCATTGTTTGAGGTCGTAATATTACTACAAAACTGTTGTATGCTTTCAGACAGATGCAGCAATTCGCTGGCACTGGCAGTTCTACCCTGTGGACCCGAGTACTGCATGTCTCCAGTTTGGTCCTGGAAAAGCAAGCCGCCACGTTGGTATGGGTATGTTCCCGCACCGTGTGATTGATGAGGTTGTGCAAACTGATTATATTCATGGTCGTGGCCTCCACCTGGTGCCAAGGACTGCGAGCGAGAACGCGGCTCACTGCCTGATGAGAAAGGAGTGTGCAAGTGTCCATGACCAAGGTATGGTGTACCGGCCGGCTGGGGGTTCATATAATTATTGACACCGTGCATAGACAGGGAAGGTGTACGCTGCTCAGTTGTGCCTGGGGATGAATGGGTTTTCTGGTAGGTTGTTATTGCCCAACGGTCTTCCCATATTCTCATTTACACCGTCTTCCCCTGGCTAATAATATGTGAGTTTTCTGTGTTCGCATTGAATTGATTCTGACAAGTTTACCATTGCAGGATTGGGCAGCCGTGGTCCACTGAAGTACTCATTGTGCTGCGGCAAGTCGTCGTTGAGCAAGTTGAGTGGGGACGGCCCAGGGTGAGGCTGGCCAAATTGGTGTGGACCACTCATTTGAGACTGGCGGTCTTGACTAATGCCGTATTGGTTAGGATACATGGGGGCACCGCTAAGGCGTCTCTGTGGGCCTTGGGATCCATGCATCGTGGATGTGGGGTGTGGAGAACGAAGGGAAGAGCGAGCGAGAAGCTATGGGCAAGCGCATGGCCATGGCGAATCCTAGGAAGCATATGGAGCATATGGACCTCTTGTACTATATCCTTTGCAGAGTCTAATCAGAACTATTTTGTATATGTATGCAGACATAATTCAGATGTGCAAGTCATGTTTTCCGATATGATCCTATTGTCGGATTAGATACACAGATAACTAATCTACCTCTGCAAAATTTATGTGTCCAGTGTCGGATTAGAGCCAGCACTGTGTACCTCTCGCTAGTCTAGCGCTTCGGGATTTGCGTTGTATGCGATGTCTGTTTATATTCCGCATATATGGTCTGTCCCTACACTAATCCGGCCTGACTATTTTCTCGTTTCCGCAGTGATTCCCGTAGTTAGGTTGCAGCGCTTACATAATTTTTTTTCTCTTGCAAGTCAACAACTTCAAATTTCCTCTACATAGACCAAATCTGTGAAATTCGGCTACGTTCAAACCCGTTCATAGATCCTGAAGCTTAAATACAAGCCAGGCTGGTCTCTAGCTTACTTTCCTACCACTGGGTTATGAACCTCGTCACGCCGCAGTGGTCTGGACTCTGGATGTAATACCTGGTCGGGGCCTCGTGTCAATTGCTTCTATCAGTCAGCCAATGGAACAATTTGTACAATGTGGTCTTTAACCTTAAGTCTCAGTGTGTGCTGTGACTTGCGAACGAATTCCTCGACTGATCATGCCAGAACCTTTTGAGATTCTCCGCATCTCAGAAATTCTCGCAGTTATCCTTGATGGATTACAAGACGACAAGAAGTCGTTGTACCACATGTCTTGCTGTTGTCGTGCATTCACAGATCCTGCCCTCGATATCCTCTGGAGATCTATGCACTCCTTTGCTCCATTTACTTTGTTGATTCCACAAAGCGCATCATTTGTGAATGTAAGTGTCTCACCTCACGTCTGCCGCTGAAGCCAATCCTCGTTATATCCGCAGGACGCCCCGACGAGTGACTGCGATCTCCTGAAGTATCGCTGCAATCCATTGGATGACTGGAAAACGTTCGACAAATACGCTGCACGAGTCTGGAGTTTGCGCATAGGAGAATACAACAATGATGGCGCAGATCTCATAAAAAATTGGGATTGCTATACACGCCTCACAGTCATTCGCGGACAGGAAGAGTTTCATCCTTTCCCAAAATTACGAAGTCTGGCTTATGTCCTCTCTGGCCCAATTCCCCCCGCAAGCGAAGCTATTTCCCCCCTCCCTACGATCTCTTACCCTCGTATGTCATAATACACTTGATTGTGACCCCATTGAATTGGCACTCGACCGCGCTGTTGCTGAAGCACCATATCTGAAGGAACTGCGCATTATCGGTCTCATGCGGACAATGAGAACGTTGCACTCAACACCCCAACTTCAATTCGGGCAGATCAGAAGCGTTGATCTAAGCAAAGCCTATATTCGTGCCCCCGAGCTCGCAGCTCTTTGCACGCTGCTGTCCCATGCACCTGTTTCAGACCTCAAAATCCACCTTCAAGATCGCTTGAACATGAATTGGCAAGCGATTCCTCCGATGTTCCCTGCATTGAAGCAGTCGGATGTTCGAGGATCAATGTTTTCCGTCATCCTCTTCATGTCACGCCTTGCAGCAACAAATTTACATACGCTGGTGTTTCAGCCAGACGGGCAACCTTCTGGTGTCGCGGCCTTCTTCGATCACCTCATACCAATCATCGTTGAGAAGCTCGGAAAGTCGCTGAAATCATTTGATCTTCATATCAATGAACCTAGGCCTCATGTCCGGGATAGCGACCTCATCAAGAGTATTTTGCAGGGGCTTGAACCTCTTGTGGAGGCAGGGTTGCAATCACTGCGCCTGTTTTTGCAAGTAGACTCCACGATGTCAGTGCAATTCCCTCCGGAAGTGCAGTCCATGCTTAAGCCTTGCGCTTGGCCTTCTTTGAAACAATTTCGCTTTACAACAAAGACGACCGCATTAGAATAACAAATTACAATAAAAGCAGTTTTCTTCCTTGGTATGAGAGATGGTTTGGGTTATACACTATCATGAGTCGTTTTTAGTCCCTATGTTAAGTACTTAGAGTTTCCTGTTTAATTTTCGACATGGCTGCATACTAGGCTATCCTTAAGTACATACACAGTTACGTCAACATTGTCCGATACCTTTCTAATCGAGAGCATCACCTTGACCTTACCTCCCGGCTGCATGCTCTGCGTCTAGGACGTAACAGCGGTACCCACATTTAATTCTCGATGAGTTTTGCTATGGATTTACTCTTGTTGGCGACCAGCTGGACTCATGTTCTTTTGGCACCGTACACGAAAGTCGAAGAAAGTTTCAACTTGCACGCAACCCATGACGTTCTTATGTATGGAGTTGGGAGGGATAATCTGTACAAGGTGTGAAACTTTCTCATCCTAACTCTTCGTGTCTGATATGTGGCGAAGTTTGATCATAACATATTTCCAGGCGCTGTACCGCGGACGTTCATAGGAAGCATTCTACTTGCGTGGCTCACTTCACCTGTCGCCTACGTGGCGAGTCAGTGGGGCCTGCTAAGCACAAAACTCGATCTTCAGATAGCAGGTTTGATTCTATGTAAATACTTGGCTCACAGCGTCTTGAACTCTCTGATAGTGCGTTTGGTCCTTGCTACGCTGAATGCAACAGGCTTCATGTTGATACGACGGGCCGTATGTAGACGATTTGGTCGTCCAACTGGCCTCATGTACGTCCTCCTAACATGTTCGCAATTTCATCTGCCGTTTTGGATGGGCCGAACATTACCAAACATGTTCGCATTGTTCCCTGGTAGGTGATTTGCCTGCGACATGAGTCTCTGCTTAACGAAGGACGAACACAAGTTAACCTCGGATTCTACGCGTTGTGCAACAGAGCTCCGCAGTCCCAGTTTCCTACCAGAAGGAGTGCCGATGTTACATTTGCTTTACTGACGTTCACCGCCGTCGTGTTCCGCTCGGAAGTCGCGCTATTACTAGCTCCTCTCGCTATCCAAGCACTTCTTCTCCGGCACATCAGTTTTACGAGACTGATTAGCGTTGGTTTTCTGTCTGCCACGTTGTCTATCGGTGCGTATTGTTCTTTGCGCACTGAAAGGTCTGCAACTGTTGAGCGACTAGCTTTGACCGTCACCGTCGACTCATACCTATGGAACCAGTGGCCGCTGTGGCCCGAACTGTATGGGATATATTTCAATGTATATCAAGGCAAGAGCTCTGATTGGGGCGTAAGTTGGTTGCTTTCTTTTTCTTCTATGTGTCTCACCCATTATGCAGACATCACCCGTGCACGCGTATTTCTTTTCACACCTTCCGAAGCTTCTTCTTGGATCCTTGCCATTGGCTGTACTCGGAGCTGCGTTGGATAGTCGCGTCCGGGCCTTAATGTTTCCCCCAGTGCTCTTTATTGTTCTCATCAGCTGTTTGGGCCACAAAGAATGGCGCTTCATCATTTACGTTGTTCCTTTCTTCAATGTCGCCGCCGCTCGGGGTGCCCGGTGGATGTAAGCACTCTTCATTTCATCGGAGGCACACTCAGCTTTTCAACAGGGTATCCCGAAGGAAAGGTGGTGTTTTCGGAAGAATGATGTTTCTCGCAGCTACGGGCATACTTGCTCTGAATTGTGCCATCACTATCGTATCGACCCGGGCGTCGATGGCAAACTACCCTGGTGGTTCTGCACTCGCAATATTCAACGATCGATATGCAGACCAGCATGCTGGTATGAGCCACGGTGAATGAGCTTCTGGGTGTAGCTGACAAGACCATCGCAGTGCAAGTTCACATATCTAATCTTGCAGCCCAGACTGGGGCGTCGCTCTTCCTGCAGAATCATTCACCACCTTACATCCGTCCATGACCGGACCAGCAACAAATGATTGGGCGTACAACAAGACGGAAAGTCTGTCCCCGCGCGATCTTACAGCGTCGACGCCTGTCACTCATCTCATTGCCGAGTCTTCGGTAGAGTTCCTCAAGACCGGACGATGGAAGTTGGTAGACAGGGTGCAGGGGTTCTCAAGATGGAAGTTGAACCTCCCTCGGGGTGGCATCGCCAAGGTTCTGGAAGTTCCCCTTCATGAGTGGTTAAGCGTGTTGGAGATGGAGACAAATGACCAGCTTTATATATTAGAGAGAGCTAAGTAAGATGATACTTGTCGAAATTTGTCCCTGTATAGAAAATTTTCGACTAGAAACTTGATGAACAATACTATCACCTGATCCTTACGGTAATGCACAATCGATGGGTAATGCACAACGCACTCCAGAGCTCACAAGTCTACATATATTTTATTCGGAACAGCTGGAGAACGAGTATTAGCATATGCTAAATAAGCCCATCAAATCAAAAATTTAAAATCGACTCTGTGGAGCCTTCCTGAGATGAAACATTGTGCAGGAGTACCTAAAATGAGTGATTTTTGGACACTAAAATCACGATCCACCCAGATCCAATTAACCTATCAACGTAGAAACTTCAACAAATATAAAATACACCATTCCGAATCTACTCCAGGTGTTTCTATGTCAATAGAACAGCACCACAGCGTGCCATTCACGATTCATGAGTGCAGCGTGACAGTCAGGCTAAATCAGGAAATCACTCTTTCGGCTTGGTTGAGTCTCCGCTTGTTGCATTGGACAGAATCGGTGGCGTGTGCACTCATTCGCTTGGGGCGCTGTCGGACTTTGGATACTACCGTCTCTTGGCCGAGGCGCCGTGTGTGACATAGCGTGACGACATTGTGCATTTCTATTGTGTTTTCGACATCTCAACTTCCGCTGCTGCCGCTGTAACAAGCTCACAACAAAATAAAAAAAATCTTATCGGGCCCAACGCGCAGAGACCTAAAGTATACACTAAAGTAGATCCGACACGAATATATGTTGTTGTTGTGACGCTATTCAGCAATCAGTGAAAATTGTGCATTTCCCGTCGAATGATAGTACATGAACGATTTTCATTGGCTGACACGCTACTGACGCCACTACATATAGTAAGATGAATCAGAAGCTTGGGATATTTATATGTAAGCGGATCAACGTCATCGGCGGCTGGGGTCTAACGTTAACTTCAAACTCGAATGCTGTTCACAAGCTGTATCGCAAGCTACCACTAATTGTGTGGTCATACCCAGGCTCAGGCTTAAGTTCATCTGTCTTCAAAGTAACCATGGACGGCGCACCTTCAGACACTACTCACCTGGATTGGAGCAACGTCGGCCTCGGCTTCTCCTTCATTCTTTTCAATGCCCTCATTTCTACTTCGCTACAACTCGGAATAGGATCGTCACTACTCTCTGCGGCCATACGCTGTGTGGTGCAGTTGGGACTAGTCGCGCTGGTGTTGCAGAAGGTGTTCGAGACGAATAATCCATGGGCAGTGGGCAGTATTGCATGTGAGCGTTTTCCGCGTTCACTTGAGGTTAACCGGGCGCTAGAACTATGGTATCCAGTTTTGTTGAATTTACTAGGAACTATCGAGGCAGGTGCGTCCGAACAAATTTTTACTATTGTCTTGGCTCCTGATGCGGAGAAGTTGTGAACAAGTCTAAAAAGCGCTACAATCATATGGCGAGTTCTACGACGGGTGTATCTATCATTCTATCCTGAACAGCTGCATAGTTCTCCTGCGTGCTGTTTGGTATGCTGTTCTCGACGATACCTGTCTCTATTATCGGCATCCGCTTCGCTATGGCCATAGAACCGTTCTGGAAGCCCGAACAATATAGTATGTCACAATCTGTTTGTGCGGGATCAGTGGTGTTGACTTGTAACCACAAGTTCCAATTGTCGGCATGTTATGTGGAGGCACGATCTCGGGAATCGTTGTTTCCGTGTCTTATGTACTCCGGGAGATATAGTAAGTCGCGCCACTAATGTATTTGAACATTTGATATCGACCAACATCCTTGCAGCGACAATCGCGACAAAGTAGAAATGTACCTCGCATTTGGAGCATCACGTTTTCGAAGCGTGTAGACCTGTTGCACGAGAAGCTCTTCGTCTTGCACTAACTCCAACGATCAACCAAATGAGGTTCGTACCATCCAAATTACAAGCTATTTCTAATCCAGTGTTTGCCCTTGACAATAGCGTGATAGGAATCATTGCTATTCCAGGAATGATGACCGGTAAGTTTACGCCACGACGTGGGCGAATGGTTGCGCTGATCAAGGGTTTCAGGTGCCATACTCGGTGGCTCTTCAGTTCAGCAGGCAGCTCGGCTCCAGATGGTTATCATGTTTATGATTTCCGCCTCCACGGCACTCGCATCGATTATCACCACGATCACAACGCTTGCTGTCGTGGTCGATAGCGAGGACCGCCTCCGCCCAGACCGCGTCGATGTGCGCGAGCATCCGGTTTGGCGCGCGAGGAACTGGCTCTTTAGCCGAGCAGTGAACGGGGTGAAACACACCGTGCAGAGCTGTTACGGGCTCAGGCGTAAGGATGCACAGAATGGGGCTGCGGAGACAGCAAGGTTGCTGGGCTGATACTCATCAAAGATGGTTTTGTATCCGATTCTGGAAGTCCATAAACATAGTATGCAGATGTTACTGAATGGTGTATAGCTTAAATCGGTTACATTGATGTGTTAAGCTGAGGCGGCGAAGAGGACCTGGTTTACCTTGCAATTATGCCCGTCTCTGATCTCAAACCTCGTCCTCATTTTTGTTGACATAACGCCATGTATGCACGCGTTGAGAACAACTGCCTGATCTTGGAAACAGGCCCAATGTGCTTATTACATATCTGTATCGTGGGCGGTCATTGATGAGGCTAGGGCACGCACAGGAGGAAGATTGATAGAAATGGCTAGGCTTAATTTCGATTAAGGCTTGATCAGAAGTATCCCTCGAAAAAACCCTGATGCATATCTACCGACAGATGAAAATGGAATCTTAGATCAAAGACTCATGATTTGAACACCAATGCAATGGGTATATAATCTCGGAGTC